TTTCCACCTGATTTTCGATGGTTAGATTTTGGGCGCCTTATTTCATCATAATCATCATGATAATGATGATGTTGAGATTTCAATGTAGCGTGATTATGATGATGATGATGATGATTTTTTCTCAAATCAAAATAACAACAACAACAACAGTAACTAGTTTTTTTTTGACATGAAACACATACACACTTTTGCTCTTAATACCCAATGACCTAATCTTTTGGTATGTCTAGCTGGTTGGTAGTTTGGTTGATTGTCATTTCTTTCTATTTTGTTTGTTAGTTTTTTTTTGAAAAAACATTCTTAAAAACCAATTAATGATAAATAATCCAACGACGATAAGGATAATGATGATGATGATGATGATGGCAAAAACTATCGTTTTTTTTCTAATTCACGAATAAATGAATGAATGAATGAATGCAAAAAAAAATTGATACCAATCCCAATCGGTAATGAGTTGTTGTTGTTGTTGTTGTTGCTGCTGCTGCTTTAAAATCTGGATGAATGAATAAAAAAAAATATCCAATGTATAGAGAACAATGGATCATCATCATCATCATCGAAGAAAGTGCAAAATTGTTCCATTTTCATTTGTTTTATTTTGGTCAACATATTGTCATTTAGATAATACAATGGATTATGATGATGATTGAATGAAATGAAATGAAATGGAAATGATCCAGAACAAAACAAAAAAAACAAACGATGAATGAAAATTGAGGCTAAATATAGCCATTCACGATTGAAGAATTGTGATGATAAAATGTGAATGAAAATCCGAACAATAATAATAACAACGATAACCGGCAAAAAAAAATTTAAATCGTATAGTTATATTGAGTGATTAATGGCGTGATTTTTTTTTGTTCACTCTTTTCACGATGTTTCAAAAAAAAAACAAAAAAAAATTCCTATATTTTATTCAAGGTTTTTTTTTTGGCAACTGGAATCCTCCAAAATATGATTACCGTAATGATCATGATGACGGTGATTTTTTTTTTTTTTTTTTGCTATGTCAATGTCAAGTGTGTTTTATCAAATTAAATAATCTAGATATTTTGGCATTATCGATTCATTTTATTTTTTCATTACATTACATTCATTCAATTGATGACTACAGGTTTTGAAAAATTCCTTAAGATTATAAATCTGCCTGTTAACGATGATGATCATGATGATGATGTGTGAATCATAAATGAATCGAACGAATATTTTGTATTCAATACATCAATTCATTCTGTTCATTAGGCAGGCAAGTCAATCTGCAAAAAAAAAGATGTATGTTTGTGATTGCAATGCAATTTTACCATTTTTTTTTCTCTTTTTATTTATTTCATTCACTAGTTTTTCTTATCTCATGATCATGATCATTAATGTACATGTTGTTGTTGTTGTTGTTGTTGATATCATCATCCTCATGATGACGATGATCAAGCAACTTATCTCATTTTCATCATCATCATACCATATTATTTACCTTTATATGATTTTTTTTCACTAGTTTTTTTTGTTTTGTTTTGTTATTTTTCAATCTTTTTCTCTCTCTCTCTTTTCTCCTTGATAATAATGATAATTTGTAATTTAATTTTACAAATACAAAAGTGTGCAAAATTCTATCGCCTCAAACCAAAACAACAACAACAAAAAACATATAGCCACAATAACATCAACAAACGACGACGAACAAAACATTAACAACATGATCATTAGAACGATCAAACTACGTCATATATAATAATTATGATGGTGGTGGTGTATTCCAATCCTTCATCATTGTCAATATCGATTTATAGATATATTGATTGACAAAAAATGTTTATTTCATTATATTTGTTTGTTTTGTTTTTTGTTTTTTTTTTGATTGTTGTTACGTTGAATACGAAATTTGAATTAATTATTGATTTTTTTTCAACAATTTAATAATTTCTCTTTCCATAATCATTTATGAGAAATAATGATTTCAATGATGATGATGATGATGATGATAGGTTGGCTGGAGTTGAACAGAGAAAAAAATAATAATAATGAATAATAAGCACTTGGGCAACGAACACTTGCACCTAGAAACAAAACAAAACAGAGAGAATTAATTAGACTTTTTTTTTATTGCAATGAATTCTTAGTTCATTTTTTATCTATTATGATGATGATTGAAATTAGTATAACAGTGTTTTTTTTAAATGCCAAATCGATGCTTCAACAAAAAAAAATATTTGAACAACAGAAAAAAATTCTTTGGCTAATGGCCAATGAAATAAACAAAAACAGAAAAAAAAAATTAAATGATGAACCGGGCTCTATCAGGAATTTGGATTGTATAAACAAACACACACACACGCACACATATGGTGTGGCTCTATCGATATTTGATTCCGGATTAGTGATTCTTTTCATTTCAACAAACGAGATGAGAAAACAAAAAAAACATCATATTAAGGAATTGAATTTAAACATTTTATTTTTTTCCTCTATTTTCGTCATTTCGTTTTGAATGAAATTAATCAATTTCCTTGCAACAAGTGGTGTTTTTAGCTAGTCGAACGAATGAAACAATAGAAACAATACATTTCTTAGGATTCTTGATTTTTTTTTCTTTTTGACATTCAATCTATTTAATCGGTGTGTCATATACATATCGAATGATGAATTGCTTGTCATCGATTTGATTTGAATGGTGAATAACAATTTTTTTCTCTCTCTTTTTTTTCCAAACAATAAAATTCAATTTGTATAATTTGATTTGGCCACTCACACACACACACATACACATTGATTTTTAATGCAAATTCAATGAACCAAAAATGAAATTTTCAATCTTGTCAAAGTTTTTTTTTCTTCAGTCTCTGTGTGTTTCAAATCTGAATTCAATGATTCGGTGATTGAATTTTTTTTGTTCAATTTTGTTGCTGTTGTTTTCTTTTTTATTCATTTCATTTTAGCGATTCAAATTGGTGTGTAAAATGTCGATTTTGTGAAAATTCAAAACAAAAACAAAAAAAATTGAAATTCAATGAAATCAAACCATATCGTGCGTTGTGCAAAAAAAAACAACAACAACAACAACAAAAAACAATTCAATTCAATTCGATTCGATTGTTAATGGATGAGAAATGACTATGTGAAAAACCGACTTTACACCACTGAAATTAACAAGTGAAAAAAAAATTCGGTTATTCGATTATGAAGGTAACGAGCGAACGGGCAGAAAAAAAACAATAATTCACACGCACCACCCACCCACATATATGAATTTAAAAATATAATTTAAGAAAATTAAAAACAAAAACAAAAAAAAACGGGTAAAACCTCATTTTTTTTTGTTGCACTGTTTTGTTATTCAAAATTGACAACCACAAAACAACAAGTTCAAAGTTGAATTTCTGTTGTTGTTGTTGTTGTTGTTGTCAATTTTAAAACGGTCATTCACACATTTTGTTGTTGTTGTTAATATTGTGCCACTCAAAAACGATGATTATGATAGACTTTGGGTAACCGTTGTTGATTGTTGTTGTTGACAAACAAAAAAAATTGGTGATTGAATTACAAAAATGATGAAGAAATTGAGAGGATTTAACTTTGACAGAAAAAAATTTGCATTTTATCCCGAATAACGATACTAATATATCCTTATTTATTCATTTTTTTCTCATTCTTTTTTCTCTTTTTCTATTTTAGAGATAAATTTTTTTTTATCATCAAAAAAATTTTTTTTTATTGGTCGATTGGTCGGGCTTCGATCATCATCATCATCATCATCACCTGAATTGCATCAATCAATTTGATTGGCCGTGAATTCAACAAGAACAAATTTCGTACATTTTTTTTTATTTGTACGATAAAATGAAGAAAAAAAATTGTTTTTGCATTAATAATCAATCAAAATTGAAATAAAAAAAAAAGATCACTCGAAAACAACACAAGAGTGAAAAAACATTTTTTTCTTTTTTTTGATCGACTTTGCCACGATTTTTTTTCCTCTTCACTCTACTACTTTACTTCTTCAAATTGTGTTGTTTACATCCGAACGGTTTTTTTTCATTTTTTTTTTGGTTCAATTTTGATTTCGTGCCCTATTGATCGCGATTTGATTCATTCATTCATTCATTCATTGATTCCATTCAATTGATTTGTGACGATTTACGCGATAATAATAATAATAATATATAATAATAATGATGATGATTATAATATATCGTTGTTGTTGTTGTTGTTTTTTATTGCCATCGTTGTCGTTTTAGCTGTTGTTTACTATCATCATCATCATCATCATCATCAACATTTACTTGATGATGATGATGATAATAATTATATATCATCATCATCATTATTGCAACAAAACCACATTTTTTCAATGAAAACAAAAAAAAAATTCAATCAAATTAAGTGAAAAACGAAACGAAAAGAAAAAAATTCATCCAAAACATCAACAACAACGTCAAATGAAATGTGTGTGTGTGTGTGTGTGTGTGATTCACCATTCAATAATAATCAATCAACAACCGCGAAAGAGAGAGAGAGAGAGAGAGAGGAAAAAATATTATTTTTTGCAAATTAAAGAATTATCATCATTTGAAAAAGAATTCAAAGTTGTAAATAGAAGTGAAAAAAAAACATTTTGAAAAAAAATGTTGTTTGTCAATAACATTAACATCGTCAACAGCGAAGAAAAAAAAACACCACCAACCACCAAAAACAAACAAACAAACAACAACAACAACAACCGCATCAAATCATCAATCAGATTAATGTAAATCATCATCATTTCAAATGTGTACATGTTTTCTTGGTGAGAATATTCTCACTTTGAAATAAATAACTGGACTTCTTTTTTTTTTGATAAATGTTTTTTTTTTTGGTCAATTTGTGTATGCTCATGATCGATCATTGTTTATTCATCCATGTTAATTTGTTGATTATTTAAAAAAAATTTCTTTTTCTTGTTGAATTTGCTTCGTTTTTTTTTGTTTGTTTGTTGTTATTTATCATTCATAATATTTTTTTTTCATCTGATTTTAAATCAAAATCCAAAGTACAAAATAGCAACAAAAAACAACAACAACAGTTGAAATCAACCAGGTGAAGTGAAGACAATTGACATCATCGAATGACAAATTTTATTCATTTGAAGAATTGAAAAAACACAACACACACCTAAATTTATCAAGGAAACGATAAAAATCATCCAAGAAAGAAAAATGGGAAGAAAAAAGATACAAATATCTCGCATCACTGATGAACGTAACCGACAGGTAACTGTTCTTTCTTTTTTTCTTTCTTTTTTTTGAACAATTAAAAACGAAAAAAAAAATAATTCATGAATGTCATATAATTTGTCATTTGTAAAAAATTTTCGATTCTATTATAAAACACAAAATGTCCATTGTCATTATATGTTTTGTTTTTTTTTCTTTACAAACACATCACACATACATACATATATATAGGTTACGTTTACCAAACGTAAATTTGGTCTAATGAAAAAAGCATATGAACTAAGTGTACTATGTGATTGTGAGATTGCCTTAATCATATTCAATAGTACAAATAAATTATTTCAATATGCAAGTACCGATATGGATAAGGTATTGTTGAAATATACTGAATATAATGAACCACATGAAAGTCGTACGAATAGCGATATTGTTGAGGTGAGTTAAATGATTTCTTGATTCATTAATTTAAATGTAATATATAAATAAAATTTCTTCATTGAACCATAGGCATTGAATAAAAAAGAACATAAAGGATCATCAAATGGTTGTGATAGTCCTGAACCGGATGATTCACAATATACATTAACACCACGTGGTAATGAAAATAAATATAAATTAAATGATGATTTTGAGCTAATGATGCAACAACGTAATAATTCGCATATCAATGGCAATAGAGTATGTTTAATTTCTGTTTATATTTTAAATCTATTTTAATATTAATATTTTTTTTTTTTTTGATCCATAATCAAAGTCAACACCAACCGGATTAACCGGATCAACAATTGGTGGCGTTGGTGGTGGCCTAACACATCAAAATATACCCGTTACTTTAGCATTAAATTCATCATCATCATCATCACCATATGCGCCACAAGATTCTAGTCTGTTACAAACACAGCAATTATCACCTCATTCATCATGTGTTAGTCCAAGACCAAGCTCATCAGGTATTTTAATGCAAAAAATAAACCAATTTTTTTCAAATTAATAATTTTTTTTATTACTTCATAAATTCAGGCGCAATGATTGAAATGACAAGTACAACGGCGGCAACAACAAATGGTTATCATCATAATAATCATCATCAACATCATCAACATCATAATCGTTCATGTTCACCATCAACAATATCGGGTAATAGTTCACCAAATCTAATTAAATCATCATCATCATCAACGACGACGATGGGTAATCATAAATCAACAATTACCAATGGTAATAATCAAAATAATGGCAGTTCTGGTGGACAAACAACAAATAATAATAATAATAATCAGAATGGTCAGAATCGTGGTAATAATAATAATAATAATTTGTCAAGAAATATTGTTATGCCAAATTCACATGCAAATATGGTTTGTTAAATAATAATTTTTAGCAAAAAATTGTCCATTTAACACATGTTTCTTTTTTGGATTTTCAAACATTAGAATCATCGCAATCTAAATGGTACTCAGAATCTAACATCATTATCACAATCAATTCAGGGTATGGCTGCTGCTAGTGGTGGTTATCCGTCCTCATTATCATCGTTTGGTTCAAGTTTGTATTTGATTTGATGAGAATATTCAAATGATAATGATAATTTTTTTGTAAAAAAAAATTCTAGATGATTTTCAAAATATTAATCATGAATTGGCATTAGCAAGCTTTAATTCATCTGGTCTGTTGCCAAATTGGCCAACACATTCATTAGCAGGTGGTGGTGGTGGTGGTGGTGGTTTAACGCCCTTAACCGCAAGTGGTGGTGGCATAAGTCTTTCACATCAAAGGTTAGATTTTAATTGATTTTTTTATAATTATTCAAATTTTATTTTTTTTTTACAATTTCAAAGTTCATCATTACCACATTTATCTGTGAGTAGTAGTACACCGCCACCACCATCATCAACATCACCATTATCGATGAAGATAAAAAATGAGCCAATATCACCTCAACGTGAACAACAATCAACAGCAACGAATGGTGGAGGTGGTGGTCAACAACAAAATAATCAAACAACAACAACACAATCATCAATAGTAGCAGCGGCGGCAGCTGCAGCACATCAATTGGCAACATTACAACGGCCAACATCCGGTCATCTGTCACCGGGGCATCCATTAACACCATCAACATCATCATCGCCCGATCCATCGGGTAGTTCCGATTATGAAGGACCTATTGGTAAACGGATACGTGTTACAGCCGATGGTTGGCCTGCTTGATTGCTATTATTATATCATTATTATTATTATTGTTGTTGTTGTTGTTGCTGTTGTTGTTTTTTTCTCATCATCATCATCCGTTATTGATAAAATCAATTTTCAATCATCGTTCATCATCAACGATCATAATATTATTAAAATTAAAATAAAATCAATTAAACATATGATCATCATAATCCTGATCCTGATCAGCAAAAAAAACGGCTACAATAATTATAGAAATAGATCGAAATGAAAATGAAAATAAATTTCGTGATATGAAATTTTGATTATTTTCTGAAATTAAAATGTCAATTCAATTCAATTCAATCATCGACCAGACACACACACAAAAACACAAAACAAACGATTCATTCACATTTTTAATATTATTGTCGATGATGATGATGATGATGATAATGATTATGAAACTTGAACGAAACAAACACACACACACACACAAAATCAGAAAATGAAATCCGGAATCAAGCAATTCTTTACTCACTCACTTACTCTCAATCTCTCGCCTGAATCTAATGTAAATGTAAATTATTATTATCATTCTTTTTTTGCTCTTTTCTTTTCATTCACTTTTTTTTTTGTTCATTTTTATTCTTCATTTTTCCATTTTTTTTTTGCTAATTATTACCCATACACACACACACACACAAACACGTGTATTATGCATTTTTTTTATTATTTATTTCATCGTTGAAAAACAAAACAAAAAATTATTTTAATTAACAAAATCGAAAATTTAAATGTCACACCACATACCACACACACACACACAACAACAACAAAATGGATGTTTGTGTGTGTGTGTGTATGTCATTGGACCACATATTGTTGATCCCTAATGATCATCGATGATGTTGAGAAACACTGATCGATCTCTTTTTTTTCGAAATTTTAAAATTCTCTTTTGTCACATCATTGTTCATCATCAAATTCATTCATTCAATTCATTTCAATTCACATATAGAATATTTCGATTGACAAATCAGGAATAATTATTATATTGAATATTGATTATTGAAAAAAAAAACATCCATGAAAAACAAAACAACAAATGACAATCCCATTTATCTGTCTGTGCATATTTTTTTTTCTCTCTCTCTTTCTCTTTAACTTCACTTTCTTTTTACCACAACACACAGACACAAACATCCAAATCATATCCCAAATTATTATCATCAAATTGATCCATAAGCAACCAACCAACCACTACACACCGTCCATCTTTTTGAATATTGATTATGTAATCTTTTTGTTTGTTATTTTTTTTCGATCCATTTTCGATTCATCATCATTTCTGATCATCGATCATCATTACCATCACCACTCAGCTCTCTCTCTCTCTATCTCTCATTTTCCTCTTTCAATTTTATCTGTGTTTTTTTTCTGTCGCTTTTTTTTCTCAATCGATACCGATATATCGATTACAATCGATATATTCTAATTCTATATATAATAATAATAATATATATTCTAATTTTTTGAAGAAAAAAAAAATCAATCCGCTATATTTTTGTCTCTCTTTCTCTCTTTATATTCATTAATCACTGTTTTTTTCTGTTAATTTAATTACCCTAAAAATCGTGACTATATATGAAAAAAAACTGACAACAAATTTCATTAATGAGATTCAAATTATCATCATTTTGACACACAAATAAATATATAATTAATATATAGTCTTAATTATAAAATGTAATCAATAAATAAAAGCATTTCTCGTTCAAACAAACAAACAAAAAAAAAAACAAAAAATTCGTACAAAATCACATTTATTATTATTATTATCATTAAACACCATAATTGTCAATGAATCAATCAATAAATGAAAAAAAAAGAGAAAATGCAAATCAAAAATGAAGATTTTTGGAATACTATGAATGGTAATCGAATGTGTATCCTGTAAGTTTTCGGTATTTTTTTTTATAAAAACAAAGAGCAAAGCAAAAAAATCATTTCGAATTTTTGATTTTCATTTCACACACACACACACATACATTGTGTGGCTATATAATTTTCCTGGAATTGGAAATTTTTTAATTTTTTTTCCACATAATTTTTAAAACAACGATAAGAATGATGATGATAATAAACGTTTCAAAAACGAATCTCAGTGAATTCAAAGCTAGCTCCCTGTTGCCACTGCCCATACATCCATTTCATTTGATTTTCAGTTTATTTTTTTTTACGAAGAAAAAAACATTTTATTTTCCCGTATACCAAAAATGATGATCCACACATTTTGATAATAATGATGACTCAAATTCAAATCATGTAACGTTTGTTTGTCGCTTTGGTGTTGGTTTTCGTATATACGACTACAGTATTTTTTCAAACACACACACACACATACACACACATAAATCTAGACAATTATCGAAAAGTTTGATGATTTTTAATCGGAATTTATATTTCGATGGATGGATGTTGCTACCATTTTTGAATAAGTGCTGTGTGTGTATGAGAATGGTGTACCACTATTTCCACTTAATAGTGTACATGCATGTTGATGAAATATTTTCGTTTGTATAAAAATGTATATGCATTATCATTGATTTGTTTCATTCATCAACAACTGTCCAATTAGGTTACTTCTTCATTTTGATTATATTCTTCATTCGTTCAAAAAAAAATTCTATTTTTTTTTTTTGTTTTATTTTTTCAACATTTAACTTTTTTTGTTTGTTTGTTTGTGGTTGCATGTTTTGCTGAGTCCAATTAATTTTCACATTTATCGAAACTTTAAGAATTTTGAATATTGATTTTTTTTTCAAAGTGAATTTTGCTCGCCACCATTATCTGATTACAAAATGACTGCAAGTGGTTTTCGATTTTATTATGGACTTTTACAATCACCATTATCTTCATCAACATTGTATTCATCAACTGCAAAATCAGCCGCAGTAACATTAGCAGAAAACGCATTATTGCATCATCGAAATAATAATCATTTGAATTGTTCCATTAATATGGCAAACACTACTAATGATTTGTCATCACCAACATCATCATTTATGGCTTCTTTGGAAAATCAAAATAATACAGATATATTTCGATTTGATAATCTAGGATCATTGGGTTATTCAACGAATCCATTACCATCAACTGTGGCTAAATCGATTTTAATGGTATTGAACGATCGAAATCCATTCATTAATCATCAATTTGGTGATGACTATGGTGAACGAAAATTAAATAGACGTAATAATGGTAATTTTTATCATAATTTTGGCTGTAATTCATTTGAAAAGTATGTATGCATCACACACGAGAGTAGTAATAATAATTTATGTAATTAATTAATTAATAGTGATGGATCATCAATGATGTTGATGATGAAAAACTATAAATCACAAATACAAAATAAACAATATCGCAGCAGTAGCTTAAGCAAAAATGATCATCGAAATGGTCGTATGGAATGTTCATTCTGTAAGAATCTACCACCTGAACGTGCTACCAATTACCGTGATCATTGGCTTAAAGATAATCAAAAACGTGTTACCTGTCCAATATTGCGTGCATATAATTGTCCAAATTGTAATAATGGTGGCGGGGATAACGCACATACTTTAATGCATTGTCCATTGAATCGTACAAATCTAGCATATGGTTTTTGCCATCGTGCCATTCAACAACAAAAACGACAAATGCAACGAAATCGTCGCATTAATAATTATCATGTACCGTACACTAGTAGTACTGCTGCTGATCATGATGATTCTGATGATTATGATGATTTTGGCCATAATAATGATAATAATAATTATGCAACATTTGTACAAAAATCACCAAATAGTAATGTATCAACAATTTGGTCAACAATGTCGGAAGAATCAAATTCAAATTGGATTGATAGTGATGGCAATGGTGGTGGTGATTTTGAATGGTAATCTATCTAGTTGTTGGTCAATAATTTTCCACTATTTTACTGATTTTGCATTGATATACTTTCATATATACATTTTTCGTGCCCTTTTAAATTTCATTTTTTTTAATATCAATTAGAAAACCAAACCATTATACTAATACATACTGCTTTTGACCATGATGATTCTGGTCATAATAATGATAATAACTAATATTATGCAGCTTATTTTCAATTCAATTCGATAAATGTATTGATATATATTACATATATTTTATTCATAATATAATAAAATAAGTTTTAAATTCACGACAATCAATATTTTTTTTCAAATTTGTACAGCTTTTCCCTTTTTTTATGTTTTATCAATGGCTGTTTCTGAGGAGGATTCACACGTGTATTAACAATCCGAAGCTCCAAACGACATGGATAAAAATCAATTTTTTGTTTTGTTTTGTTTCGAGTAACACAATTTCGAACAAACACACAAATCTAGCCAATTACCTAAAAGAAGGATTTTTTTTTTTTTTGGATCGGACTTTATCAAGATGGAAATAGCTTCAATTGAATATTAAAATATTTGTTGTGGTTTGTGGTTTGTGTGCATGTACCACTATTTCTACATAATAGTGTACATGTATGTAGAGATATTTCGATGATGAAATATTTTTCGCTTTATATATATGTGCATTTTTATTCATTTTTATTCATTCACATCGACAACGATTCAATTACGTTATCGTCATTTGGATAATTTAATTTAATTTTTTCTTTTTTTGATACATTTCTTTCAAATTTTCTACCATTTGATTGTGGCATTCTGTTTTTTGTTATTGACTGTGTGCTTGCATGTCCCTTTAAAAATTGGGTTACATTTAATTTTTATTTTTTCATTTGTTTTCATTGAACTTTAAAAATTTTGAATTTTAAATTTTATATATATATCCATCATCCAATTGTATACAATTATTCAATGGCTACAAATAGTCTTCGATCATATCTTGGTCGTATACCATCATCATCATTGTATTCATCATCGACTGTAAAATCAAGAGTAGAATCAGCAGCAGCAGCAGGAAAAACATTGCATCATCGTTCGAATTATTCAAAAATGGCAAATAATAATTTATCACCATTGATGAATTATTTGGATTACTATAATCAGAATAATTCAAATATATTTCAATCTGAAAATCTAGATCGATTCAATACTACAGTAGCAGCATCATCATCATTAGATTATTGTTCATCACCATTGATGATGAATAATAATAATGGTCATAATCATAATTCAAAAAATCCATTACCATCACCAGTGGGTACATCATTTGAAATGATATGGAATGATGTTTATGGTATTCAACAACAACAAAAATCGGCTCCAAATCCATTCATTAACCGACAATTTAGTAATTATGGTGAACGAAAATTAGTTGGACGTAATGTTAATTATTATCAAATTTTTGGCTGGATTTCATCGGGAATGTATGTATAGAACACACACAACAAATTTGTTGTTATCAATGTATTTTAATAATAATTATTATTGTGTAATTAATAGTGAAGGATCATCGATGATGTTGATGGTAAAGAATGATACATCACAATTACAAAATCAGCAATATCGCAGCAATAGTGGCAGTATCTTAAGCAAAAATGGTCATCGAAATGGTCGCATGGAATGTTCATTCTGTAAGAATCTACCACCTGAACGTGCTATTGATTATCGTGATCATTGGCTTAAAGATAATCAAAAACGTGTTACCTGTCCAATATTGCGGGCATATAATTGTCCAGATTGTAATAATGGTGGCGGGGATAACGCTCATACTAGAATTTATTGTCCATTGAATCGTACAAAGCTACCACATGGTTTTCATCATCGTTCCATTCAAATGCAACAAAATCGTCGCTTTAATAATAATCATGTATCGTACACTAGTAGTACTGCTGCTGGTCATGATTATCATGATTTTGGCCTTAATAATGAAAATAATTATGCAGCATTTGTACGAAAATCACCAAATAGTAATGTATCAACAATTTGGTCAACAATGTCGGAAGAATCTAATTCAAATTGGATTGATAGTGATGGCAATGGTGGTGGTGATTTTGGATGGTAATCTATCAGTTGTTGGTCAATAATTTTCCACAATTTTACTGATTTTGCATTTCATACACTTTCATACACATTTTTCGTGACTTTTTAAAATTTTTTTTTTATATCAATTAGAAAACCAAACCAAAAAACATTTTTTTCAACTTTTTAACAATTTTGTCATTTCGAACAACAACAACAACTTGAAAACATTCGAAAAATATTTGCATCCATTTTTATTACATCGACACAACTGATACACACTGATCATTTTGCATAACATATTCTGTATCTCTTTTGTTTTCGATCTCTCCCTTTCTCGTTCTTTATTTTCTTTCTTTTTACATCAAAAAACATCATTAACTTTGATTTTTATATATATATATACTATTATGATGATGAAATTAAAATCTAATTAAAATCTGTTACAATTTTATACAATCCATGATTTTTTTTCTATTTTTGTATATTTATTTCTCTTCAATGTTTTTTTTTGGTCTCTTACCGATAGCCAAACGGGTATTTCTGTAAAAAACTAAATTTTTTTTACTTTTTTTTGCATTCTTATTTCAATCATCATCATCATCATCATCATAATTATGAAATGAATAACACATTTTTATAAAATAAATGTGAAAGAAAGCAAAAGGAGAAAAAAATGAATGAAAAATTTAAAAAAATATATGGTGGTGGTGGTGGTAGTGGTTTAGAGGAGATGACAAAAAAGTGTCTGTAAAAAATGGTGTATATAATTGTTGTTGGCATTATTTTATTTTTTTGTTGTTGTTATTCTAATTCAAACGAAAAAAAAACGAAAATTGAACATGATGAAAATGTGTTTGTGAGTGTGGATGAATTTATGATGTAAAAAAACCAATCTGGTCAAATATGAATTAAAATGAAAAAAATTTCGTAAATTGATTAAACAGTATATAATTGATGAATATTTTTGCATATCATTTATCATTTATGTTTCTTTTGTGTGTGTGTGTGTGTGTGTTGTGTGTCTGGTAAATGAGTGAACAAACAAATCAAATAAAAAAAATGGTCATCATCAAATAATAAATTCGATATATTAGATGTGTGATAATCATCAGAATGATAAAATAATAGAATCAGAATCACAATGAATTATTATTTTGATTCCATTAGTGAATCATCATCTTCATTAACATTATCATCAATGATAATCGTACCAATCATTGCAGCCATTTGTGCACCAGTGGAAATCGATATGAAACGTGTACATTCAGCATACGGACCTTTCGTTATCTGTTTCGGTTCAAATAGATCAACATCAGCATCGGTACCAATCTGTAAGCCACCTTGTCCCCAACAATATAATCTACCCATTTCTGTAATGGCCATCGAACAAAAATCACCACAATCAATTTTGATAACACGTTCACCATTGAATATGGAGGATGGAATTTGTTTAAAATCACTAATACTTTTATCATTACTATTACATTGTTGAATAAAATCTTCGCCAAGGCCTAATTTGCCATATAATGCCGAACCACAAGCATAAACATTACCATCACGATCCAATGCTAATGAATGTTGTTGGCCATTAGATATTTGTTTACAATGAAAAGATAACGGTATACGTGTCGGTATCAATGTGAATAATGAATCGGAATTCAAACTATTCGCTTGTGATATGAAATTATTTTTCAATCCAAGTTGAAAATAATTATTAAGGCCCCAACCATAAAGATTGCCATCTGAGGATAAGGCAAATGAATTCCATTGTGATGCAAAAACATGATCAATTCGTGCCTGTTCAGGTATCGATACCATTGCGGGCCGTAAAAATTGATCACGATTTGTATTGATTGAATTAAGCTCGGTCGATCCAATACGTCCTAATTGTCCTTTCGAACCTTCACCAAATGTTAATACACGTCCTTCATCCGTTAACAGTAGGATATGATGACATCCGGATGCAATATCAACAATTTTCACATCAAGTTCGATTGGTTTCGGTAATATAACAGGTAAATAATCTGAACAATTTGGTGATTTTTCACAATCAACAAATAGGCCAACTTTATCGGAATCATTTCTATCGATTTTTAAAGACAATTAGAAAAACGTTAATAAAAATGATAATAAAAAAATGAGATTACAAGAAAACTTACTTAAAATTTCCCCAAACATACACTTTACCATCATCACATAATGCTGCCGAATGCATATCACCAGCCGATACTTTTACCACTTTTTTTGATTGTAATTCTTTTACCGGTAATGGACGGCCGGAAAGTTTTTCCTCAAATTCATCATCATCCACATCTAATTCATCCATATCATCATTATCACCACCATTGGTGGTGATCTTATCATTCAGATATTCTTCACGAGTAATTATTCGACCAAGCACATAATCATCATTACAACCAAATGATAAAACTTGGCCATCCACGGTCAATGCTAACGTATGTAGGGCACCCATTGCCACCTGTTTGATTTTAAATGAACCGGTACGAACTTTTGCCGGCTGTGATCGTAATGTTTTACGACCACGAAAATGTATTTCACGTGGCCCTAATTCTTTGGATATTTGATCACCCATGGTGAATAGATTACCAAAGTTTTGCAATTCAAATTTTGCTTTTTTCATTGGAATTTTTTCTTCCGAAATGTTAAAAGTATTATCAACTTTACGTTTTAAACCGCGATCATCATCATGTTCAATGGTGATTGAGGATTGACCATTTGAATTGATTACATCAGCTACTTTTTTAACAGCAGGTGCATCATCATCCACAACCGAAATTGATGGTTTTATATCGACATCGATTTTCGTTTGAACATCATTCGTAATGACGGTGGATGATTTGGATTCTTTAATCTCCATTTCTGGTTCAGTTTCTTTGACTACTGATGATGAAGATGATGGTGGTTTTATTTCGGTTTCTTGTTTTGTGATAGATTCTGAAATCGTGGATTGATGTTGTAAACTATCATCAGATTGAACCTCTTCGATGACAATAATTGTTGAATCCAAATCTGAATCTTGTTGTTTATCTTTTGATTCGACTGATGATGGCATCGAATGTGAATCATAGTCTACGATCATTTTTTCATCATCAATATTTACTACCGGTGTATCGGATGTTATCTCTTCATTATCATCCATATCGACTATTTCGAATGATACTTGTTTTTTTGGTATATCATGTGATTTTTTCTTCATTTCTGATTCCAATGATTCTGTACATGTTTTAATATCATTATCATTATCATCTGTTACACTCCTTCCATCTTCTTTTGTTGCTTCTGCTGTTGTTGATGATGATGATTGTGAAATGGATGTTTCCGATTCGATTACTTCGACAATTTCATTTGCTTTATCAACAACTTCTGTAATTTTCAAATCATTAGTTGGTTTTTGTTGTTCGGATTCAGATTGATCATGGCCGTCTTTCTCGATTTCTACTTCTTGTTTTGGTTCCAATGGTTGTTGTTTATTATCAGGTTCATCTTCATTTGCTACTACCGAAACTTCTGGTTCAGTTTTTATTACATCATCATCCACAACAACAGTGTCAGCTGCTCGTCTGGAACGTGTAGATTTTCCTTTAGCTGTTCCGGCGGATTTATCAGTTACGACTGGTTTAGGTTGCGGTGTTGGGGACAAAATTATTGGTTCCGGTATTTCGATTGCAGCCTGATCCATTGATTTAGCCAATTTTTTACCGATTTTTTACTTTTTGATGACGCTGAAACTGGTTCTGATGGAGCATTTTCATGCTCTGTTCTGACTTCATCGACTATTTCGGTTTTGTTTCGCTGTTTTCGTGTATTACGTGTAGTTGTAGATTTAGCCACCGATTCAGTTAATGTTGCAGCAGCCGTTTTTCTTGTCGATCTAGGTCGCTCTTCCACAGCTATTTTGGATTCATTATCAACAACCTTTTCAACAGCTTCAGATTTAGATCTTACGCCACGTGTTGAACGTTTTTGACTACTAGCAGTTGGTTTGGGTTTATTTTTGGTGGCCTTTTCCGTTTGTTGTTGTGATATCGATTTTGACTTTGATTGCTCCACATTTTGAGCTGATGAATCTTTTGCCGTCGATTTTTTTGATACAGCAGATTTTGTTTCAGCTTTTTTTGATTTTTTTTGTTTCGGTTTAACCATTACTGATGTTGTTTCTTCGGCAATTTCTACATCAGTATCATTTTGTTCTTCATGAGAATGTTCGATTGATGGATGGGTCGATTCAACATTGTCTTGTTTTTTAGAACGACTTCGAGATGATGATGTCGGTTTTTTTATTGCTGTAGAGGATTTTGTTGTTATTTTTCTTTTGGATACCGCCGCTGAAGACGATGAGGATGAAGATGCTGCTGTTGAAGCTCTTGTTGTTGTTCGTGAACTTCGTCGTAATGTAGGTTTTGTTTTGTCTTCTTCCACATTAATATCAACAGCAGATGCAGCAGCAGCAGTAGAAGCGTTGTCGATTTCAAATTTAACATTTTTCGCTGATTTTTTCATTGATTTTTTTTCATCTACAATTGTAGAAGTGGATACGATATCAACAGAATTACTACTAGTAGTGGTGGTGGTCGATTCCGTTTGTTTTCGATTACCACGTGTTGTTCGTTTATTTGATTTATTATCAATTTGTGATTCAACTGGATCATTATTGTTATTGTTGGTGGTGTTCATCATCATTGTTGATGTCGTTTGATTAGTTCGACGTGTCGAACGTTTAGCCGATTTTGTTTGATGACGACGTTCATCATCACCATTATCAACAACAATCGGTGTAGATTTTTTTCCCGCCATCACATGGCCAGTAGATTGTATTATTGCTTCGGAATTATCATCAATGGCCGGAGGATTGGTGTCGATAGCCGACGATGCTTTACGTTTTCCGCTACGATTGACCATTTTTTATGATGTTAGAATTTCTAAATAAACGAAGGAAAAAAAACAATTACAACAAGCCAAAATAATATAGCAAAAAAAGAAATCGAACAAACCAAACCAAACTTCGAATTTTTTTTCACTGGTTCCTCTTTCACGTACAGACACACACCAATGAAATTGAATGCCAAAGAGAGAAAAACACGAAAAAAACGAAATTCGAATTAATCAATTGTCGATGCGTTTTGTGTGTGTGTGTATGTGGCTATGCAACGAATAAAATGTAGGCAATATTCAAAATGTCAACGAGAAAAAAATTAAATTCTGTAAAAAAAAATTGAAAAATTAAAAATTTTGTATTTTAAAAGAAAAACATTTCAACATAAATGAAAAATCAATAAACAAACAAAATGAAAGTTGAGACTGCTCACCACCACTGGTTTCGAATTTCACCAATGTTAATTTCTTGGTTTTATTCAAAATCAAATCTAACAACAACAATGATAATTTGTCTTTAAAAGATTTGCTGATTAAATTAAACTACTATATCGATGATTGAAAAAAATCTGGTTTGAATCGATTGACAAAAAAATGAATCAAACACTGACCCAAAAAAGAAGATATTAATTACATACGGTGGATTTCTGGATTATTCTCAAAATTCAACAACAACAACAATCAATCAATCAAAACAAACACACGATATATAGAAAAACAAACAAAATTAATTATTCTCGGCAAATACGTACCTTAGTGTACATTTTTTTTTTTATTTTATTTAAGTTTGTCACATCATCATCATGAGTTTATAATACAAAACACACATTCGATACAAACAATTTTCGAACACACCGACCGAAATCACACAGCTCGCCGGTATCAATGCGGTTGTTGATGTCACATTTACATACGTAACATCATTTTATATTGATGGTTACAAAAATAACATTAACGTTAATAGTATACTACTACTAAAAAACGTAAACGAAAATTTTACATTATGACCAATGCCATTATTATTTTCGTTTTCATAACCGCATGTATTTACACGCACACTATACTAATGCCATCTATCGATTTCGAATTTTGAACAATTTAAACAATCAAATACCGGATATAAATAGTCATTGGATTGGATAAAAATAGTCATTGAAAAATATTGAGATTGAGAAAGTTTATAATTACCGCGTTTTTTTCTCTGATTTCATCATCATCATCATCATCATTGTTGTTGTCACAAAAATTATCTCAATGTCAAAATTAAGTTTTTTTTCAACTGTAAGTAAGAGAAAGTAACCATGACTTTTTTTCTTTTTAATCTTTTTTTTTCATTTGTTCTATCACATAGTTTGATAATGAAAAATAGAAACGAAAATTTTCTCCCACTTCGTCAGATTGAATGCTCAAAATCAATTATGATGGATGTATCTGATCATCACCATCATTTGCATATCAATCAACATAATCCTGATCAACATCAACAATATTCAGGATTTATTTTTGAAGATTTGGATGCAGCATTTCTTTCGGTACCAAATAATAATGATGAAGACGACGATGATGATGGATGTTGTGGTACAGGTGGTGGTGAAGATAAAGTTACATTGATCAAAGATGATGATGATGGACAAACATACAGTATTATGAATGGTGGTGATCTCCCATCATCATCATCATCAGCAACAATATCCGTGAAAAAAGATTATAAATGGAGCCCGAATGAAACTATATATATGATTACATCATGGGAGAAATATTCGAAAAATGCGTCCGGAAAAACATCAACATATAATAAATGGATTTATATGAATATACAACAAGATCTACAATCATCGGGTTATGATCGTAATCTTGAACAGATACGACGTAAAATTTCACAGCTAAAAAGTCGTTATTTCAAAGAAATTCGTCAATCACCGAATAACGTTGAAAATTCCACGACAAATTGGGAATATTTTAAACAATTGGATCGTATTCTCCATCATCAATATCATGGTGACAACAAAAACATTAATGATCAACAATCATCGTCATCATCATCATATCTAATGAATAATAGTGAAAATTATCCGATAGAATCACCAAAACCACCAACAGAATCGAATAAACGTATACGAACGATAAATTATGATGATAATAATCATAATGATGATGAATCAAATGATGATAGTAGTAGTGTTAGTGTTGGACAAAATAGTATAACGGCCGGTGATTCAACAACAACAACAACAACAGCCAATTCATTCGAAGATCGTATAATGAAAATGATGAAAACACAGTATAGAAATCAACAACAACAATGGAAACGAATTTCACAACAGATTGAACAAAATCGACAATCGATTGATTTATTACAACAAACAATAAATCGTTTACAGGAACAATTACAGAATCAACAGAATGGCCAGTGGTATAATAATGGAATGAGTATGCAGAAAAATTGGAATTATGATTATAATAATCAATATTTTTGATTTATTTTTGAAAAAAAAAATGTTCCATGTTAGTATCATCATCAAGTACTTTATTTTTTGTGATTCTTTCTTTTAATGCTTTTTTTTCGTTTGATTTTCATATAAAGATATCAATTGTCAATGTATCAAGAATAATTCGAAATAAAAAAAAAATTAATTTTTTTTCCACAAAATTCATTTAAACATCAGGCAGAATTTCCTTTCGTCATTTGTTTTTTCTTTTGTGTCTTTTATTCTTATGTATTCTATTTTCAATATAGAATTATATTATTCATATGTAGACATGTTTTTTCGAGAATTAACAATAAACAACAAACAGACACAGAAACAAACAAAAAATGCATCTCGTTTCATTTTTGTCATGGTTTATGATTTCAAATTCTCGTATACCTGGCCTATCGTCATTGTTGTTATTTTTTTTTTCAATAATTCTATAGACGACCATGTTCCAGGTGTTTCTTTGTTTTTCTCATGTGTGTGTGTATGTGGAAATTAATTCGAAAACAATTTGTCTGAAAACATAGAATAGGCGTATATATTATAATGTCATTCAGTTTGTCGTTTGATAATTTTTTTTTCGCTGGTCTGTTTGTTGTCGGTAGTTAGTTTATGTGTTCCAGATGGAACAACATAGACAACAATGACAATTACATAAATGGAATTCAAAATGTGTGTGTATGTTAACTATAATATATTTTCACTTGAATTCAGATTTGGTCTTTTTTTTTGTTTCACTGGATCATCAATGGTCCATGTTCATGATGATGATGATGCTGTGCAGGTGTGTGTGTTTTAGGCATTGACGTAATATATTCAATTTTATTAGAGAAATGTAGAACATTCACAAACTGAAAGTTGTTGTTGAATGTTATTCTATATTAACAAAAAAAAAATGAATTACTTGGAATGAAAAAGATGCAAGAATAGACGGAATTTACTCACTTTTTTCACCAATATTAAATCCCGAGATTAAAATTCGAAAAAATCTCAATCAAAACAATATTCATTTCAGTTGTATTCAGAACAATCATGACTGGATGCAAAAATATGGTTTTTTAGGGATTTCAAAAAGAAAAAAAAAGAAAAAAATTACAAATTTTCAGCTATGAACATAATAAAAGAATGATGATAATCATTGTCGATATGTACCCGGAAAATATTATTTTTTCCTCGTTGTTGTTGTCACATTGTCGCCAAAAATAATGTTGTTGACATTTCATGGCCATTTTTTTTTTGTTTTCTCTCTGCAAGAATGTGTGTGTGTGTGTGCCAGAGATAATGGTGTTTCTTTTATGATGATGAAAAACGAATGAATGATGTTGATGTGCGGAGATGGCGTGAAAAAAAAATGTCCAAAACATTCAAAATGAGTATGTGAGGGCAAGATTTTTGTTTCTTTCTTTCATCCATCATTATGGATCCAATATGCTATTAATGTATATTATGATTTGATGATGATTATTATTATTTTGGTGGATTTCATAATTTAATGACCAGGGAGGGGGAAGGGAGATGACGATAATACGCTATGAAACATCTCATGCATCGAATCACAAATGAAAAACATTCGAATTTTTTTTTTTGGCAGAAAAAAATGTGCCAATCTGTTTCTGTGTGTCTGGTCTTCGAATCGAATCGAATCGAATCAAATTGCCGCCCTCCATCACCATTACCGACACTATCATCACGACCACCAAAACGATCAGATGCAATGTGTGTGTGTGTGTGTGTCAAATGCATTGGACCGTAAAGAAAAATGAATTTGTTATTTCATTTGTTCGAGACGTCCATTTATGATTATTGCATATTGTTTATGAAGATATATACGATGAACGGGAAATTGAAATTTTCGTAGAATTATGCAAGAAAAAACTTTTCAATTTTTCTCATGGACCAGTATTTTCTCTCTGCTCGCGGACCGGTACACAGTTTGGAAATGGGCTGTAATATATGATGATAATACGCAATAATCTTTTTCATGATTTTTTTTCTGGTTTTTTGTTCAATTTTCATTTATTTTTTTTTATTTCATTATTTTGTTTTCAATAGTTTTCCTCTTTAATATAATATATTATTATTAAGGGGATGAAGTGCTTGTTCATGTGTGTATTATTGTCATTGGTGAATGATTTGAGGTGTGAACAATATATAAATTTCTACATAAATGAATAAATGATGATGAAACAAAGAATAATAATTATTGATTAATTAATTATCAAATAATGATGGTGTTTTTGAATGATATAATACTTTTGTTGTTTGTGTGTGTGTGTTTATGAGTGTTGAACGATATATCATCTAGAAATAATTGTTGTTTGATTTGATTATATTTGAGATAACAAAAATATTTAGAATTTTTAGTCACAATATGAATGGTGAAATGATAATAATTAACAAATAACAGCAACAACAACAACAACAACAAGAAAAACAAATAATGATAATAAATTGTGATTGAATGATTTAAAAATGGCAGTCGTGAACATAGTAATTTTTTTCATGGATGATGGACTTGTTGGAACAGATATATATCTCCTCGCGAGTAGAATTCAAATCGAATGTTTTTTTTCTTGCATTTTGTCACGTTGTCGAGGACGCAATGTCGAATTTGTTTGAGAATACCCATCAATTTCATTTGTTGTCGAGATGTTTTCCCCCCCAAAAAAATGAGATTAGAATTAAATATGTAATATATGCTGGTGTGTGTGTGTGTTTTGAATGGCAGATTAGATGATAAACGAAATAATGAATGAATGAATGAATGAATGAAAAGAAAATAGTCAATCAAAATGGTTAAGTAAATCATCATCATCGCATTTTTTTTTGCCGAAAACAAAAACAAAATTCAATTAAAATTTCCAAAAACAACAACAAAAAATTTTAAATTTTAATCAAAACAAAACAAAAATCAAATAAATAAAAAATTCTTGCTACTATGAATAATTAAAATGTCGATTGACAGATAGATGGCATTGTTGTTGTTGTTGTTACTGTTATTATCGTTGTACACGAAATTGTTCGAAAACTGAAATTTTAAATTTTTCAATTTTTACGAAAATCAATCAATCCGATTCATGATGGTAATAACAAAAGAATGTCAATCAATCATCGAAACACTGATTTAATCTAATTCTCTTTACAACAACATAACAAACAAAAAAAACGACAGCATGATTTGTGTATCAATATAATAACTTTGGTCAACATAGTTATGCTTTTGGGTGTGTATCTTTTTCGTGTTTGCTTTTAGTTTTTTTTCTTGTCACAACATATTTTTTTTCTCTGTCAACATTTTAGCCGTAAAATAAGTTGAAACACAACAACAAAAAATATATATCTTCTTTATTTGGCCAAACGATGTCGTCTCATTGATTCTTTGATGATTGATATTGAATATGACGATGACAACTTGTAATCATGACTATGATGATGATAGGTTTTTGATGATAATTATTCGAATGGATAATAACGAGGTATTTATTATATATGATGAACTTTTTTCTCTCAACATTGTTTTTTTAGATAATTACAATGATGATGATTGACAGAATAAATGTCGTAAGTTGTCACTATGTGATGACATATTGGTATTGTATATTGAGATAATTTTTAATTTTTTTATTTTGTTGACAATTTCTCAGTCAATCAAAGAAAAATCATCATGGTTATAATAATAATCGAATGCCAGTCATAACGATAACGATTATTTCTGCAAAAATAATTGACCGATTAATGGTAGATAATGAAATGGCCCGATTATGTGATTGATCAATACCGGCACGATCAATATTATTCATTTCTTCATGTATTTCATTGTTATCATGTTTATTTGTTGTGTGGCCATTATCCATTACGATTGTACCACCACCGGATGATGGATAACCATGTATCATTTGATTTGAACAACGCCATTGATCAAAATATGATTCATCAATCATTGGTTCATCTTTGAATTGAAAAACACCTTTAAAACGATGTTTATTACGAAACAGCCATAATAATTGGCAAGGGTTACGCATCTCTTTTGGATTGCCATGTAATATGAGCTCATGTTTTATTGGTTCCATCAGTACCGGTCGAAAAATGGCAGCTTCAAAATTTGACATTTTATTTAGGAATAAATTTATGGTTAATGGTCGCTGTGTCGACAAGAATACACGACGTTCCATTGAACCAATTTTGGCATCCAAATAAAGATCCAATGTTTTATTGCTGGCCAAACGAAAATGGAATGCATGTTGTTTAATACGGCGTATCGATTTCGTTAGCTTTAGAATGGATAAATTATCCGTATAGAAGAATGCATTATTATTGATTATTTCTAATGGACCATCTAAATGTAATGATTTCAAACGTTTCTGACGAAACGTATATTCCGTTATATTCAATACACGATGATTTTTTAATTCCAAATCTTCCAGATTATCCAATGAATTCAATGCTTCAAAGAAATCTTCAGCAGTCGTTTCGGTTAGACCGATTGAATCGATTTTAATTGATTTAACAAAACGTGCCGTACCATTGAATGCATCACGATCAATTGAATTCAAACGTGTACAATTACGAATCACAATATGACGAAAACGAAAATCACAGAATACATTTCGATCAAGTTTTTCAAGCTTAAAATTATTGATCAATATAAATTGATCCAATTCTTTCGATTCATGATCATCATCGAATAAGAAGGCAATCTGCCTGAATACTTTCGATATATTGGTGAAATGTGATCCATCCAATAATATTGAATCAAAACCATCCACCTGTAAACAGAATGAGTTTGCTTTTGATGGACATTTTCCTTCGACCACCGATAATGGTATGTTAATTATAAATAATAATTGTATGATTAATGTTGATGATGATATTATCATCATCGATAATGATGTTTTTGTCCAGATCATTTTTTTCAATTTTCCATAATCATGTAGATAATATCACACCCAAGAAACGATTGAAGAAATAATGCTGACCAAAGAAGAAGAAGGGTAAGTGAAACCTTTTCTTTTGTGAAATAAAAGTTTTTTATCAGTTTATTCAGAAATCATTGCAATTATTCTGTGAATCTCAATATTGTTTCTGTTTGTTTGTTTTCTTAGCGTTTTTTCAGTTTTTAACTTGGGGCAATTCGTTTTGAAATCGGAATTTCATTCTTTTCACATTTATTCTGTTTTTTCGCACTGTTTGTTTTTGTCTTTATTTATATTTATCTATTCACAAACACTTTTCAATTATTAATGTTTTTTTTTGTTTATTTGTTTCATACACAAAAACTTGTTTCATTTTTTTCACAAAACAAAAAGTAGGAAGAACAATTTTTTAACACACTGTGTGTCTGTTCACCTGTCTTTCATCATCATCATCATCATAATCACACACGAATCGATTGATTTCTAAACTTAAACATAACATCATTTCACAAAAAAACGTTGTTTGCAGATCGAGATTTTTTTTGAAATGGATTGAAAATTCATTCAATGAAAAAAAGATAGTTAACACAACTTTGACAATTAACAATCGTTCGTCTCTATTATATTATTATTATTGTTGTTGTTGATGTCTGATGTATCATCGAACAATAGAAATGTTTTCAAATCAAACAATGATAATGATGACGACCTTGTTGGATAATTTAAAATACACTTCACAAATATTTAACAATTCATATTCAATTTATTTATTTATTTATTTCTGTTGCTGTTATTATTATTATTATTATATTGATGATGTTAGTAGTGTTGATATTGTTGATGATTAGTTGGATCATTTGTTGTTGTTGTTGTGGTTGTTTATAAATGTATCATCATTTCATATATCAATATAATGATGAGAGAAATGATGCGGCAGCTGCATTTATTTGAATGTGTACACGAATCATGCACACACCAAGTCACTGTATTAACAAACACGCAATCATTGATGCTAGAATAGATGAATGAAATTCAATTCAAAAATGGATGTTTGGCTTTCTCTTTCGTGTTTAGCTATTTTGTATTTGTGATTTTCTCTCTCTCTCTCTCTCTCTCTCTCTCTCTGTGTGTGTGTGTTTTCCGGATTTCGATTGCTCCCGTTTTTTCACTTTCTTTGTCGTTTGTTGAAATTTCTTCTTTTTTTTGTTAGTCAATTCATTTCATTTTGATTTGATGATGATGTGTGATGTGTGTTCATCTAGTTTTCTATCAATTGGAAATTTTTACATTTTCATTCTTTAAAGATGTCAATAAGTACTGGTGGTGGTAGTAGCGTAAAGCGAAACTAGACCTATTTATTCTTGTCATCGAGAAGAATTGGCACAAGTAAAAGAATGAAAAATGAAAACAATCCAAAACTTTTACTTTTCACATTGACTCAAACACATACACATGAATGAATGCGAGGACACAAAATGTCTAGAAGAATCATTTGATCATTTTCTGACAAAATATTTATCCAATTTCTTCGTAGCTGTAGTCGTTGAGTTCTTCCTCTTTTCATATATATATTTATTTTTGGCTGTATATAAGTATATTAGATTTATGTCCGGAACTTTACATTCGCGCATGCGATAGAATCTTTTATCTTCATCATATAGCTGATGAATTAGAATAAGAATTAGATCGAATCGAAGCTATACAGCTATATTGTATAATGTTGATCGTAAAATAGAAGTAGCAAATGAATTCCACTTGCATATATTCAGTTCTCAAAATGATGAACATATATATAATTTTTTTTATTCTTTATTTTTGTTGTTGTTACCAGAATCGCATCACAAAATATATTTATTATATTCGTGTGTGGCTGTTGATGCTACCACTATCACCATTTTTTTTTTATTTCACAAAATAATAGTTTCCATTCATTTATTCTGACATCGTATACGTAAAGAATATTCTTCTCCGCTTCCAAAAAAAAAAAAAATAAAAATAAAAACTATGACGATGTATATATGCATACCGATATGATAATAGTATAAAATGATTATCATTATCATTATGATGTCTACTATTCATATAATAGTTATGTGTAAAACAAAAACCAATATCATCATCATCATCATCATCAGCATCATTTATAATAATAAGACATAAATATTAGATGTTCAATGAGAAATGTATCATATCATAACAAAATGATCGCTATGTAATTATATAATAGCGATGACTAATGAAATTTTATCTTGAACACATTTAAATAAGTCTAAATATTGTTTATATTCAATATGAAACATTATTATGTGAAATAAATGGTTAGGAATTGAAAAAAATTGTTTAGCTGTTTTTGTTGTTTCAAAGATCGATACTTTTTCCCGGGTTTGTTTTTTTCCTGTTATCGTTTTTTTTTTTTCATTCTCCCACTACTTTTTTCATCCATTGATCTTTATGAAAAGTTTTGATTTCTTTTTAATTCTCATGGAAACGAACATACACACACACACACACACACGTTCAAAAGTTATTTTGATAACCGCGATAAAAAAAACCAATTTGATCGATCAAACAACTAACAGTTGAAAAAATTTCTCTTGCTCCGCGTTCAATATAAATTCAAATTCTAAAATTAGAATCACACTCATCAAAAAAAAAAAAAGATAATCACTTAATACTAAAAAATACAAAAAAGAATTTTAATCCAAAGATTTTGGTTAGATTTTTGTTGTTGTTGTTGTTGTTCACATTATAATGAATGAAAAGTTTTTGAATCCAGAAATTTTTTGAGATTTTCAAATTATCATTTTTCTCAATTCGTATTCTGCACACATTAATATTTAAAGAATAATTCTCCTCATTCTCATCATCATAATCTTTTAATCATATGTTTATATAACCCAGATGTGGTTATACTTTTGTCATCAAAAGGATTAAGAATCATCATTTATTCATATTACAAATCAATCAATCAATAATCAATTTATAGTCGATGATTTTGTTGTTGTTGGTTTTTTTCGTTGTTTTAAACCAAATAATTAATGTATCAAACAACCAGACAAACGCAATATAGAAATGTCATTTTGAGTTTGACATCATCATTAAAATTTGATCCATTTTAATGAATCGTAATGAGATAGAGTATCTCAATAATACATGTTAGAGCCCTGAAGGTGCAATTTTTTTTACACCAAGCCATAATTGGAATTTCTTTTGGTTTCAACTTTTTTGCTGCTGAAATCCCATTATATCATCGATCATCATTATGATAATTCTCTTTTTAGTTTTGTTTTTTTTTCGTTCCAATTAAATGAAGATGAATTGGCCTTACGGGCCTTATTCTTTTCTGTTTTATCTATTGTCTGTTTTGAAAATCGATAAAACCTTCTGAGATAAAATATTACTTTATTAACTAATGATGATGATGATGATTATGAATTGAGAAGTGTGAAAGTATTTTTTCCAATTCTTTCTCTTTTTTTCCTACTATCTAAATCAAAATGTAATAGTTGAAAATATTTGTTTGATGTAATCATTCATGATATATAATAGTTTATCATTCATAATTACAACAATAGGACAACAACAACAATTTCTCATACTCGAATGTTCTTGTATGAATAGTTAGGAATTTAGTGTTAGACACGTTTCAACAATAAATTAATTGGATATTGATGAATGAATGGTGATCAAATTTCAACAAATCGATCATCATTCGATATCAACACAAATTCTCAAACAATTTGATCACTGTTGTTTTTTTTTCTTCCAGTTTTTTTTGTTGATAATAATGATGATTCATTGTTTGGATTGTTTGAAATTCGGATTCTTCAGTATTTGTTATTGGATCTTCAAACGTTGTCATTGAATCACAGAGTTCTTTGATATTGATAATTCGATGTTTTGAACAAAAGTATTGAAATAATTGATTATTAATTTTTTTTTGTTTCATCAGAAATATTTTCAAATTTGTTTTGCTCATAAAGAATTTTTGCCAATTTTCTTTCAAAATCAACCAACCGTCTTTCGATTGTGACTTACTGACTGATAACTGTGGTTGGTGGTGTTGATAACCCAGTTTTTTTTGCTTACTTTGCTAAATTTTTTTTTTGCTCATTTTTTGAAATTCGTTTGAAATTCATGATAATAGTTTGTTGTTTTTCAAGTGAAATTCTTTCAAACGGAAATTTTGTCAAGTCTCAAGAAATTATTAATTAGTCAGTTTATTTGTGTTTTCATCTTCTTTGAACGGGATACAATATTTTGAATTATACTTGTGAAATTATTAATACATTTGAAATAGGAAAAAAAATGAATTGAAATGACCTTCAATATATATATACTGCCATTCGTTCATATATGTAAATTCTATTATAATCAATAATAATCGATTTTTACCAAACACATGTAGAAAATTAAAAAAAAAAGTTTGAAACATCAACGATCGAATAAATATATAACATTCAAGCATTGAATCATTTATATTGATTTTTTTTTCTTTGAAACAAAATAATCGAATGACATATGTCAATTGTTGTTGTTGTTGTTGTTGTTGTTTGTAAATCGATAATTTGATAAATGTAATTGAATTTTTTTTTTGATTGATGAATTGTGCCCTTGTCGGTATAAAAATGATAGTAAGTAGAATTTTTTCTTTAAATTCGATTTAAGTTTTGTGATATTTCGATTTATTTTATTTTTTGTTTTTGTTGTTCATATCACCCCTCTCTTTTTTTATTGAATAAGATCAAAGAGAAAAATAAAATAAAATAAAATGGCATCACGACCACCAACATCATCAAACACACGTGGAACGAAAAAAACACGACGTGGCGGTGCCGATTGTAATACGGCACGTATTGGGTTTATTGGTGCTGGTAAAATAGCAACTTCCATCATCACCGGTCTTGTATCACAACGTGGCCAAGTGGATCCAAAACGTATCTATGTATCAGCACCAACTACAATCAATACGGATTCATTCAAAGTTACCTATCCGGGTATTCATATATCGAAAAGAAATATCGATATTTTTGGCCGTTTTGATTGTGATATTGTATTTATTTGTTGTCCACCAAATGTTATTCGTAATTTATATAAAATTGGTGGATCGCGGCCAGCAGCATTGACCACAAATTTTATACCAAATATGCGACATCCAGTTTATATATTTAGTCTTGTATTTGGTTTCACCACTGAACAGATAAAAGAATGTCTATTGAATCCCGAAAATCCAGAACGATATACGGCCAAATTTTTTCGTTGTGTAATTAGTCATCCAATTGCATTTGGTGTTGGCCATTGGTGGATCGATATCGAACCGGATAGTGCAAATTTTCCTAATATTGTACGTGAAATTTTCACACGTATTTCATTGATCGAATATGCACCGGAATCACTTCTCGATACCATATGTATTATTGCCGGTTCCAATATAACATTTGTAAGTAATAATCACAACAACATTGTTTCTCAGTGTTTTATTTACTAGAAAAAAATGATTTGTTTTCACCATTCTCATCTCGTTTTTTTTATTATATAGTGTTATTATTTTATCAATGCTATTGCTGATGGTGCTGTGAAAAAAGGAATGCCACGAAAATTGGCCGTAAAATTTGCGGCTAAAGTTGCATCATCAGCATCACAAACAGTATTAACAACGGGTACAAATGCTACTCAATTAAAAGAAGATGCAAGCAGTCCATCCGGTGGTGCTATCTATGGACAAATGATATTGGATAAAAGTGAAGTTGCATCCGGTATTTGTGGTGCAATTGAAGCATCATATAAACGATCACAAACATTAGCAATGACGGGTAAAACAGAGAATACCGAATGAATCTTACTTTTTTTTTGTTTCTCTGATTGTTTTCAATCTACGAATGATAATAATGATGAGTGAGTGTATGTATGTTTGTGATTCATTTGGTTAATTAATTAAAATCTATTAAAATATAAATCTTACAAAAATGTTTTGGAAACACGGAAGAAGAAACGCAAATCTCAACATGTCATAGTAGTAAATCATGATATTAGATAACCCGATATATGGTTCTATCGTATTCTTGAACACCACATACACATACATATTAAATACATGTACTTGGAATTCTCCTTCAAAAGTTCTCATAGAGAGAATACCGAAGACCGACGAAAAATCCCGAAGGTCGACAAAGGCGCGCGCGCTACGTCCGTATCCTTGTATATTGAAAAAAACCAAGCTTTATCGTCAACAACAATGAATGCAAATAGACCAAAGAAATCATCATCGAATATAGTAGTAGTTGCCGTTGTTGTTACGTCACGCACCCATTTTCCGAGTATCAGAAACGCCTACACACCCACTTGTCTATCAAAAAAAAAAAATTAAGTATTAGAATTTGAAATAAAACATTAAGACCAACAAACAAAAAGAAGAAAGAAAGAAAGAAAAACATCTGAAAATCTTATAAAATCCAAGTATCATCATTTACATTTTTTTTTCTTTCCCAGAATATTCCTATCAAATTCTGTTATATATACTTCAACCACCACCGGCCTTAAGAGAAACAGGCCAGACTTTTTTTTTGGATATCAAAAACATTCATTATTCTGATGATGATGATGATGATGAATGCTTTGAACATATTTTTCTTTACAAAAAAAAACAAACACAATGATTACCCGATGTGATTGAATAAAAAAAGGGATTGAATATATAATAAATAATGAATTCAGAATAAAGAGTTCGATTAATATTTGATTCAAAAACACAAAAAGATCTAGAATCATTTTATTTTTGTTTTTATTCATTCATTTATTTATTTAAAAATTTGAAAAATAATGAAACAAAAACAACAACAATAAAAACACATTACCCTTTTTACGATGCTATATATCATCATTCTACCTAAGTGAATTTAACATTCCATGCACACACACACACACAAACAGACAAGTGACAGATTTTCAAAAAAAAATATAGTCAAAGAAGAATGAAAATAAAATTCAATTTTTGTTTTCACTCGTCAACATTTTAAAAAAATTATTTAAAAAAAAATCCCCGTACATTGAACATCATCAACAAAAGCACAAAAGGCAACAAAAACCACAAATATTGATCACAATGTTTGACGTCACAGCAAAATCAGAAACCATTAGCAATAGCAATGAGAAAAAGAATTGGAAAAAAAGGTAAATTTTTTTTGAAAAAAAAAAATTTTAAAAAAATTTTAGAAAAAAAACTCTTGGTGGTCGCTTGCCCTACAGGCTTTGTGTGTGTGTGTGATGTGTAAAAAATATTGATAAAATTTTTTCAAATTCGGGCAATTCAATTTCCACAACAAAAAAAATTTCACATCCAAAAGCAAATTTGATAAATGAATGATGATATTTTTAAATGATGTTCATCAAATAATTATTAGTAATCATGACGTGAAAACTTTTTTTTCTTGACATTCTAAAGTTTAAAATCTAAACCGAGAAAAAAAATCTGTCAACATCATCGATTATTAAACATGGTAAACAAAAATCAATCACATATAAACTTCGGTTGGAAAAAAAACATTCAGATTTTATTTAATTTTCTTTTTATTGTTCCTATTATCTAGTTCTAGTTCAAAATGAAATGAAATGAGAAAAATGGTGAATAATTTTAATGCATATTCAGCGATAATTTTTAAAATAATTCAAATATTTTTTTTATTATTTTGCTCCAGAATAAAATTAATAATCCAGAATAATAACTTTACCACAATTGTATGTCAATTATTCATGAATGATGATGATGATGGTTGATGGTTGATGGTTGCCTATTTTTTTTGTGTTTAGGTACCGGATCGAAAGACCTAATTTTTCATACTTGAACTTTTCTATCATTTTTGTGTGTGTGTGTTACTCATGTGGGTTTATGTTTTTTCGTCAAAACATACATAGATTTTTTTTACAACAACTACATTGATCAACATCACCACACCATTACCCATCGTCGTCGTCATTTTCAAATCAAATAATAAAGATGATGGAATAGAAAAAATCTCGCATCATTGTTATGATGAGATTTTGTTGAAAAAATGTGCTATAACAAAAATCTCGAATACAAAAATCTCTAAAATGAGGGAAAAAAAATGACACTGACGTTATGTACAAAGAAGATGCAAAAAAAAAAACAAAACAAACGAAACTTACGTTATGTTATAATTTTCATAATTGTTAGATATCTAATGGCCATGTTCTGCTTTTTAGGTGAGCCGCTCATATATACATTCAATTAGCTAAGTTTTAATAAGCGCTTGCACTCATTTAAGAGTTTTCGAGATTTTGTTATAGAATCATTTGGTCATTTTATTTTTCTGGTTGTGTTTGTGGAAAACAATCCCACTATACACACACCCAACGTCTATATATAAAAAGATTCGTCATTTAGGTATTAACCATTAAATGTATGTGTTTGTATAAGTAATTTAGGACATTTTTCATTTTATGTTTGTGTGTATTGTTTGTTTATATTATTTAGTTTGTCGTGGTGTTGTGCTGGTTTGAATGAAATAGATAGATAGATAGAAAGAATCGTAAATTGGATTGTCAAAATGATTGTGTTGTTTATTTAGGATTCATCATCATCAACAACAATAAAAAAAATAAAAATAACAAAATAGAATTTTTTTTCAGCATTTTCAGTATTCAATGTTCAATAGTAATTATATATATAAAATTTTATAAATGTCTTACACCTATTTATTATTGCAAGAAATATTGAGTAAATAAGATAAAAAAAACCAGAGAGGTCATCGTTTGTAAAACAAACACATAAACTATCGATAGTTTAATTGATCAATATATCGATCTTACATTTGTTTTTTTTTAAATTGTTCAATCAATCTTTTTCGCCAAAGAACAAAAAAAAGACACCATCGATCAATCTACATTCGACAACAAACAAAAATTCTTATTATTCAAATTAACCGTGATGAATATATATGTGTCATTGTGATATAAATATATAATATCAAGGTCTAGAATCTAGACTCTAGATAATGGAATCCATTAAGATATTAAAATAAAAAATATCAACCATCATTACCACCACCAGCATTGAATTCACACACACACACACACGACTACCATGTATGTCCAGAATTTTTTTTAGATGATGAAAAACTTTTTTTTTCTGAAAAAAAATTCTAAATGTTTGCATTCGCTGCCGCCATCAAGTCGATGATGATGAACATAATTAAATTAAAATTTTTTTTTGTGTTCGTGTTTTGTTCGTTTTTGTAAACGAAAAAAAAAGATTTTCTGGATCATCATCATGATGTTTTTTCTTCTTTTTTTTCCGTTTTTGTGCCATATGGGTTTTTTTGTGCGTGTGTTTGTGTGGGCATAATACAACTGACAATGGAATATAATTTTTATTCATAAAAATTAAAATTCCACTGCAATGTATTTGTGTATGATGTATTTTAGTATTTATATTTGTCAGCCATTCATGTATATTCATATTTTCTATATGAATATTAGATTGGATTATTTCGTGTGTTTTTTGTTTTTGTTTTTGTTTTCATTCATACACACACAGAAGACGACATTTATTCCACTGGAAAAACAAAATGATTTTTTTCCTCTCCCCCCCGAGCAAACACACACACATACAATGGAATTGTTATTTTAGTTTTCAAATATCGATAAGGGAAAAAAAATATCGATCATTTTTGTGAACAATTTATTTTCAAATATGACCAAAATTTTTTTTTGTATACATTGTTAATTTGGAATTTTAATTTTTTTTTCAAAATGAAAATATTAAACTTTTTGTTAAAAGTATGTAATTATCATGTACAGATATGAATTTTTCAAAAAAAAAATTTTTCCGGTTACCATGGTGATGAAATTGACGATAAATTTTTTTTCATTTTTTTTCCATTTTTTTTTGTTTAAGCGAAACTATGAAAAAAAAGTTTGAAGAATCATGAGTGATGGGACGGAAATTGAAAACGTGTAAAGAGAAAACAAAACAAGTTTGTAAATGATGATGAACAAAAAAAACTTTTTCTTTTTTAAATTTGAAATGGCCCTTGAAATTGACAGCATTCAGTGTTCCATGAGAATTTCTAAAGTGGACATCCATATGTGTGTGTGTGTGTTTGACATTCCAAACAATGTCATCATCATCATCATCGTCGTTTTTTTAATGTAAAAATTATGTATGATGTGTAAACATTTTAAATAAGCAATAAGGAAGCACAATAGTAGCGTATTTCAACAATATCCAATTACCCTATATATTCGCTGGAAAATATTCTAGGCAGCAAAAAAACCCACACATAATCATTCGTTGTTTGTAAATATAAAAACACAAAACTATAGACATAAAAAAAATGACCGGGATTTCGGTTACTGACCTAAATATATCGACGAAATTGTTGTTATTGTTGAACAAATATAGAAATGAACAAACTCATTTAAAAAAAAAATAGTTCACAAAGTAAACACACACACACTCACACACCGGAAATATATACACAGGTATAAGTATAGAAATAATTCATCATTCGATTCAGTCATGCGTACAAAAACTTGATCCAAATGGAACACACACACACACTTACAAATACATAAAGTACATTTTTTAGAAATATTAATTGAAAAAAAAATTATTCACAACCACCAAAAAAAAATTGAGCAAATTTTCAATCATAAAAATTAATTGATTGTAGAAGAAAAAAAACGGAAACAATTCAACCATAACAAAAAAAAACTGATACCTTTTTCATCCGTTTTTGATAGATAATTAAATGAATCTAATTATCATCATCATCATCATCATCATCGTCAATAATGATTGTGAGAATTTAAATAAATTATTCTGTAATAGAATCGTAATGAAAATTATGAATATTCTATATATAATACAGATTTATCAAGATGTAAAAGAACTGAAGATTGTGATTGAATATATTATAGTTGAATTGAATTATTTTGAAGGTTGGAAAAAAAACGAATGATAATATATTGATAATAATTGAAATAGCGAATGTTCGTTTTGTTGTTGGATTGAATTGAATTGAATTGGTTGATATCAGCAATAATAATTTCTTATTCTCAATCTCTCTATCTAGTTAATTCTTCTTCTTTTTCTTTGAAATTTTGTCTTGTACCGTTACAATACGTTATTATGATAAATTTTTATCAAAAATCTGTGAGCCTATTGTATGGTCGTCGGTTGAATCGAATGAAAAAAAAGAATAGAAAAAAAAGTCAATTCTTTGTCATTCAAATGATTTGAAAAAAGTGGTTTTTTGGTGCGTGGTTCTCGTCGATCAAATAGTTTGTCATCGTTCAAAAAGTAGAAATAGAAATAAGATTTTTCGATATGGGACAATAGTATTTTAGTAGTTCGCATAAAAATATTTGATTTGAATTTGGATTTTGGATTTTTTTTTCATTCCTTTACCACACATTTAAAACTTCAGTACAAACTTTTGATGCATTCACCATAATATTTCAATTGAGAAAAGATCAATGTGTGGAAAAAAATAATTGGATTTGATTGATTTCAATTGATCGATATATTTATCAACAATTGAATTTTTTTTTTTTTTTTTGAATGGCCCATTTGAATAATGATGATGGTCATTCTCAATGACATTGTTTGAATTCTCTACATTCGTATGTACCTTTTTATCAATTTGGGTGTAAATAGAATTCGAATGTTTTTTTTTAGATTATTATCCACTTCAGCTTCGCCCGAATTTATTCTATTTTTGTAGACCATATTCGTATGTTATGTGCACTTGCATTAGATTAAATCTAATCTTTTCGATGTATGTTTTTTTTTGTCTCGTTGTTGTTGTTGCTAACGATGATGATGGTTTCCAACATTAGGCCAACTTTATCGTCATTATAATGATGATGATAATCTTTGATTGAAAAATAATTAACTAACCATTTAATGACCGTATATCATAATAATGATGTATGTATGAATAAATGAATGAATCCATGCAATTATTTTGGTATTAATGAAAAAAGAAAATTGGAAAATAATTTTCCGGAACAATGATGAGATTGTTCTGGATTCTATAGACAAAAAAAACAGAAAAGAAAAAATTCTTTATTCTTGATAACGATGGTGGTCATTTTTTAGTTTGAAATAGAAAAAGGCCTGCTGCTGAATTCGATCGAAATGATGTTGGTGTTTTTTTTTCATCCAACAACAATTCGAAGGTTTGAGTTCGTTATAAATGACCGATTTGATGATCATGATCATGATGATGGCAATTAATACTGAAAACCGGAAAAAAAAAATTCTTCAACCATGACCAATAACTGTTTGTTTTTTATTTTATTTTTTTCCCATTAAATTCATAGGAATTTTAAACAAAACAAAAAAATATGAAATGAAATGTAAGCTTCACTGTCTATATTTCACTCAGTCCCCAAAAACCATTGAACAGTACAGTTACATATGATGATGAAGAAGAAGACGAAGAAGAAGAAAAAAAATCGAATTTAAACTTTGAATTTTTTGTTTCGTTTGGAGAAAAAAAAAAATATTCTTCCACAACACTGGTCGATAGTGGTTAGTTTGGTTTGGTTTGGTTTACTTTGGTAAAAATGAAAGAAACTAACAATCTTGTTTATACCAATACATACAACATAATAGAATAGAAAATCCATTATCGTCAAATGGATGCTGTTGCTGTGTTATATGATGAAGTTTTTTTTTCTATCCATGGATCACCATTTTTCATTCCCATCATTATCATTATTATTATGTGTATGTGTATGTGTGTGTGTATATATAGTATAACCACCACATTCAACGAAATCTATTTTTTCCGTTTTTTTTTTAAATTCTCAGAAGCTTTTTTTTCTCTTTTCTTCTCAGAATATGATGAATTTAATAGTAAGTAAATAAATATCTGGGGCCGATTTTTTTTTTTTTGAAACATAACATAATTTGTTGTTGTTGGTAATGTTGTGATGGTCCGTTTTGTTTTGTCTTGTCATTGCTCAAGGACCCATTATATATATTGTGTGTGTGTGTGTAACCAAATGATTTTTTGATGATGATTATAATGATGCTGGAGATAATATTTATGCTCGCGTTTTTTTTCTCTCTCTCTCTCTCTCTGACCAGAATCAAAATCACTCGACATCACTAACAAAAACAAAAAACTCATCGATTTGAAATTTAATAAAATAATTTATAATTTGACAAGAATAATTTGTTTTTGTTTTCATTTCAAATTCAAATGAGCAACAATAATAATGATGAAAATAATAATAAGCAAACAAAAATTATAATGGAAAAAAGAATTTCAATTTAAAATCATTTTCTGGAAATGATCTTTTTTTTGTTGGTGTGTGGGGATGGTGGTTTTTTTTTTTAGTCAAAGAAAAGAGAAAAACAAACAAACAAAAAAGAAAAACAGATAATAATCAAACAGAATTTAAAAGGTCAATGGGTCAAAATGTGTATGCATGCTACATATTTGAATCAATCATTTCAGATATAATTTATTCATTGTTTGGTGGGATAAAGTGGACAGGCTGTATGGTTCTTTTTTTTATATTTGATTCTTGAAATTCTTCAATACACATACATACAAATTGTTGTCTTAATTAGATGGGCAATTCAAAATTAACATCAACCGCTGCTGAACGTGCTAAACCAATAATTGCAGACATTTTTACCACCATTTTGGCTGCCTCTTCCAAATTATCACAAGCCAATATACGAAGATTTGATGATGCAATCAATGCTTTTGCATCATCAACGTTTGTGCCTATGAAAAATGAATAAAAAAACATTGATTAAATTTAATTTTGAAAAGAAATACAAAAGAAACAAACCTTGTAAACGTACAACGATAGGAATCTTTAGTTTCAATGTTTGTGCTGCAGCAATAATACCTTCGGCAATAACATCACAACGCATTATACCACCAAATATATTGACCAGAATAGCTTGCACTTTGGAATCGGATGAAATAATACGAAATGCTTCTTTCACTTGTTGTGCTGTTGCCCCACCACCAACGTCCAAAAAATTAGCCGGACTACCTCCATGTAATTTGATTATGTCCATTGTAGCCATTGCTAAACCGGCACCATTAACTAAACAACCGATATCACCATCTAATGAAATATAATTTAGATTTGCAGCCTGTGCTTCAACTTCACGTTGATCAATCTGTGTTGGATCTTTAAGATCGTAAACATCTTGTTGACGAAATTCGGCATTATCATCGAAACGACATTTAGCATCGATACATAAAACATGACCATTTGAATCTTCAATCATAGGATTAATTTCGATCATTGAGGCATCTTTTTCCAAAAATAATTTATATAAATTCATTACTAATTGGGCAGCATGTTCATGACTATTCGGATGGAAGCCAACTTTACGTACAACATCCATTGCCATCTCTGAGGAAAGGCCATTCACTATGTCAACAGGTACAGTAATAATAGCTTCCGGTGATTCTTTAGCAACATCTTCTATAGCCATACCACCTTGACTTGATGCAATAATTACTGGACCTTGATAGGCACGTTCCAACATGATGGCAAAATAATATTCACGTCTTGGATAAAGACGTTCAACGATCATAACCTTATTACAAATCATTCCTTTTTCACCCGTTTGTTTCGTAAATATATTGTGTCCTATATTTCAAACAAAAACAAAAAAAAAAAAAAAAATCAATTGAATCGAACACACAAGCAAACGAGCAAAGCACTTACCCAACATTTTGGACGCAACTTCACGAACTTCCTCGGCTGTATATACTAATTTAACACCACCTTTGAGACCGCTACTAAAATGTCCACGGCCACGACCACCGGTCAATACTTGGGCTTTAACAACGAAATCATTTTCACCTAAACGTTTCGATATTTCAACTGCTTCATCCGGTGTACTTGCTACACCAAATCTTGGTACTTTAACACCACCTTTTTGTAATATTTCCATTGCAACATATTCATGTACATTTAGAAATCTTCGTCCAACCGTATGACCACCAGTACCATTATTATTTGCAGCATTGGCTATTTGTTTTGCCAAAATGAATTTATTTCTTAATGATCGTAACATATTTTTTTCAGGTGTAATTATCGTTATTGAAAAATAATTTCAAAAAGAAAACAATAAAAACGAATAAGATTAAAACAATGAACAATCGATATATCGATAGAATTAAAAATGATTCGAATATATTCCAACAATCGATTGATGATTTGTTTTGTTTTTATATTCTTCGTCTTTTTAAGATTTTGTAAAGGTGAAAAATCTTATCTACGACAACAGTCACCACAACCAAAACCACAACACCAGAATAAAAAAAAAATTCAATGAATTCAAAATATTTTTTTTTTAATTCAAAAATTCAATTAAAAAAATTTTCAAAAAACATCATTTATACACCATCAATAATCAGTCAGGAAAAAAAACAAAAACAATCCAAACAGAATAAAGTTGAACTCATTGACATTACACAAAGCTACCAGAAAAACATATGTATTGAATTGAATATTGGCCAACAACAATTTTGGGGAAAAGAAAAAAATCTGAGTACATGCGTACACACAGACAAACACACACACAAAATCAATGCAAGCAAAACAAGAAAAAGAAGAAAAAAAACATTGCAATTTTTCTTCTGATGATAATAATTCGTATACGGGCGTGTGTATGTTGTTGTTGATGATGATGATGGTGATGTCTGTATATATCAAACCATTACCACCACCATCTAATCTATGTGATTATTAAGACAAAAGCATACAGGAATTCATTGAATTGAAAGAAAGAGAAAAAAATAAAATAAAATTTACAATCCAAAGGTGACAATGAAAATAATTTCCTATAATCCATATAAATTCTACCACATCCATAAATGAATGAATGATGATGATGATGATGAATAAAACGGTAAAATAGAAACGTCATAATCAAATCACAATCAAACACACATGTATATTTATTATATGAATGGGTACATTAAACATCATTTAAAAAAAAATTTAGTATAATTATCATAGATACAAATTTTATTCGATATTATCCATCATCATCATTAAAATATATATTTCTTTTATTATATCTTGATAATTATGTTTATCAATAGTTAATAATACACACACACAGCATGTAATTTGATCATTTTTTCTTTTTTTCTTTGACGTAGACATGTCAATTTTGATTGATTGATTGATTGATGTGATGTGTGAAAATGATAATAAATTAATTATCATGTATCATTTTTATCGTTATTTTATCTTGTCATTACTTTATTCACATTTGGCCAAATTATTTTATATTTATTTATTTTGTTGCTGTAATTGTTGCCGTAACATTAATATCGATTGTCTTTGATCTGCCGGTAACATATTTATCTGTTGATCAGATAATGATAATACTTGCATAATTAGTTGTGCTTTTTCCTGTTCCGATTGATTCATTGTAGATTGATTATTATTTGTCTGTATTGTCGATGATGTTGATGATGATGATGATGTTGATGCTGGTGGTTGGTTCGATGTTGGAACTTGAGCTGAAGTTATAGCCGATGAAAGTTGCGATGGTTGTTGATTGAATAAAACACCCCCTGTTGTTGGTCTTATCGGACCAGGTGGTTGTGGTCCACGAGGATTTGGTGTTACAGTTACGACAGGAGCAATAGCATTTGCTGTGGATGCTACCGTGGGAATTTGAACACGTAATCTTGGATCTAATGGAGGTGGAGCAGCCGTGACAACAGTTTGTGTTGGCTGAGGTTGTTGTTGAACAATTCTTGGATCAAATGCCTCGGTAGGTGGTTGCGCTTGTTGCTGTTGTTGTCGAAGACGTGGATCTAATCGTGGATCGAATGGATTTTGAGCCATCGATGGTGGTGGTTGCTGTACAGCGGCTACAATATTTGGGTCATAAAGATTCGGATGTATCATCGGTGGCTGTTGTGACATTGGCATAACCATATGTGAAGCTGGTGGCATTCCCGGGGTTGGAATGTTTGCCGCTGGTTGAATTGGCATCGGTGGTGGATTTGGTTTGTATAGAATGGATGAAGCAGTTTGTACATCGATAGCACGCATTACAACCAATAGCTGAAGTAATGCATAAGCTAATTGTGGATTCTGCAGTAGCATATTTCTCGCTTCATTTGGATTCGTAAGAACACAATGTTTCATTTGTTTAGCAATTTCGAACATTTGTTCTGGTGGTAATGAACTGACCACTTTTGCTATCTGTTCAGGTGCTTTATCAGGTTCCACTTCTTGTCCATATGGTGATTCAAATGATCCCGATAATGACATTTGTAGGTTTTTTATCTCCTCTTTAAAACGTTCATTTGTGGCCGTATCCACACGAAGATTACGGCCATTCAATTCATAAGTATTTAGATTTCGCATAGCCGATAATGCCGTTTCTTGATCACGATATTCACAGAATCCATAACCTTTTGGTTTACCCGATTCACGGTCATAAACTAATTTGAAACTAATGACCGGACCAGCTTCGGAAAAGATTTCCTTGAGTTTTTCTTCACTTGCATCGTATGGAATGTTTCCAACTACGAATTTAAAAAGAATTAAATTATCAATTAAAAATATAAGAACCAAGTTAAAACATACCAAAAACTGAACGAAGTGATCGTTCATTTGTTGCTTGTTGTTGTGAAATGTTTGACATATTGTTTATGGAATCAGAAGAATTTTTTTTCTCAATATTTCAAACCGATTGAATAATGATAATCGAATTCGGTCAATAAAAAAAAACTCAAATCATACACGTTTTTAGCAAAAATTCCTTCAAATACGACGTTACACGTTAATTTTTGACGAATGTTTTCAGTTTATTTGGCTCATCATTTTTTTCGTTCCAAATTTTGAAAATTTCTAAAATAATGGAAACCGACTCCGTTTCATCATCGACACGACGACAATGGAATCATTTGAACAAAGTTCTCTCACGAACCGGTCCATTTGTACAGGCTGGATTTGATGTAACAGCAGGTTTAACCGTATTACAAGAGGCAAAAATTCTGGTCGTTGGTGCAGGTGGTCTTGGCTGTGAAATGCTCAAAGATCTAGCCATGATGGGTTTCGTGGATATTCATGTTATCGACTGCGATACGATTGAAATATCGAATCTAAATCGTCAATTTTTATTCCGTACCAAAGATGTTGGCCGTAGTAAAGCAGTGGTTGCTGCCGAATTCATAAACAAACGTGTTGCTGGCTGTAATGTTACCGCTCATTTCTGTAAGATTGAAGATAAAGATCCGGAATTTTATTATCAATTCAATGTAATCGTCAGTGGTCTAGATGCTATTGGTCCAAGACGTTGGCTAAATACTATGCTATTCGGTTTGTTGCAACCATCGTCTGAAATGAATCCAGCCGAAATGATCAACATAATACCATTGGTTGATGGTGGAACCGAAGGTTTCAAAGGAAATCTTCGTGTAATCATACCAAGTCATGCCGATTATCCATGTGTTGAATGTATGCTGGACTTGTATCCACCACAGATTACCTATCCACTTTGCACATTGACACATCGTCCAAGACTTCCTGAACATTGTATTGAATATGTTAAACTTATCCAATGGAATCGTGATAATCCATTCGGTGAAGTGGAATTAGATGGTGATGATCCAACACATCTTCAATGGGTATATGAACGTGCAATGGAACGTGCTACTGAATTCGGTATCGAAAGTGTTACCTATCGACTTACACAAGGTGTTGTCAAACACATAATACCTGCGGTAGCATCAACTAATGCAACGATTGCAGCTGCTTGCTGTACCGAAGTATTCAAATTAATGACTGCTGCTGCACCATTTCTTAACAATTATCTTGTACTAAATAATTCTGATGGAATCTATACGTATACATATGCAGCCGAACGTAAACGAGATTGCAAGATTTGTGGTACATTACCGATACCATTGAAAATTTCTTCGAAAAAATTATCATTAAATGATCTCATCGATCAATTGGTATCGGATTATCAAATGGCCAAAGAAAATATATCCATACGAACAATAATGAAAAATGGTTCTGATCAAACATTATATATGGCAAGTTTAGCCGAGCAAACATCGTTGAATCTAACAAAAACATTACCACAATTAATGATTGATGATGGTCAATTGATTGTTGTCATTGATAATCATTTGATGAAAAAATTTGTAATTAATTATGTATAATTCAATTTTTTTCCATTTAAATTTTAGTCATCGATTAAACTAAAATCATGAATGAATGATACAGGTGAAGGGGATTGTGAATTGAATTCTTTTGAGAATTCGAATCAAACATGCAACTATTTCAATTCAATCAAAAAATTACTTCTATTTTGATTCATCACGTGAATCACGTGCTCGATCAGCGTTCTAACATGTGAATATATTATTGTGTTTTTTCAAAATTCCAAAATTTGACTGAATAATTTTTCTCTCATGTCCATTATTTCGTATCGTTTCGTATCTCGTTTTCTATCTTCACGTACTATCTTACATAATAAAAATCGAACAATGTTAAGTAATAATATATCGGCTCGTATCAATATGATTGTCATGGGAAATGGTGCTATGATGCAACCATCGGTAATTGTTACAACGGATAAAATTAATTACCTATTCAATTGTGGTGAAGGTACACAACGAATGATCATTGAACATAATAAGTAAGTTTGTTTCTGTAATCAATTTATAGTTGACAGTTTTTTTTGTATTCCACCGAAAAAAGATTCCTGAAATTGGGTAAACTTCATAATGTATTTTTCACTGGTACTACATATGAAAATTGGTCCGGTTTTTTTGGTCTCATATTAACCGTTGCTGATATTAAAAATCAATTGAAATTTTATGGTTCAAGCAAATTCGAACAGATCATACAAATGTATCGTCAATTTTTACAATCAGCTAGTAAAGTTGAACTTCAACATATTGTAACCGATAATAGTGATGCAGTGATAGATTTAATCGATGATGATGATTTCCTAATTCGATCATTATCATACAAAGAATCAACAGCATACATTGTTATTGCCAAAGATAAAATCGGACGATTATTGATTGATAAATGTAAACAATTAAACATACCACCTGGGCCAAAATTTGCTGCATTAAAAAATGGCCAAACAATCGAAATCGATGATAGAATTATTCAACCTGGCGATGTTCTTGGACCACCTGAACCTGGTGCAGCTATTGTGATATTAGAATGTCCACAATTCGATTATCTAAATGATTTTTATCGAAAAGTGAAAAATTTCACTCCATATGTACATGGAAAACAGATCGAATTAGTTGTTCATATGACACCGGCTACAATTGTCAGTGATTCCAATTATCAGCAATGGATCAAAACATTCGATTCAAATGTTAAACATTTGATTTTGAATGAAAATTCTGGTTATGATTTAGGTCTTATTTCGTCCACTGAATTACAAATCAAATTAAATCTACTTGATAATGAAATATTTCCATTATTACCGGAACGACAATCTAGTGGCGAAAATGTTGATTTTGAATGCCAGAAAATTATTGAAAATGTACCGAATCTATTCACATATCAGATAAGACCGCGAAGAAAATTTGAAATCCTCGATTCAAATTGTCGCTATTTGAATAGTGGAAAAATTCAAGAGGAAATTCTTGAACAAACAGAATTCAAAAATCGTCTTGATGAATATAAATCAATGGCAATAACAAACCAACAACAGTCATATCCAAATGTAATATTTCTTGGAACCGGTTCCAGTTCACCGGGTAAACAACGTAATACCAGTGGTATATTAGTCAATGTGAATACAGAAAGATCTATCCTATTGGATTGTGGTGAATCAACCCTTTTGCAGATGAAACGATTTTTTGGTCATGATCATTATCACCGAGAAATTGGTCGTATTGATGCTATATTCATTTCACATTATCATGCTGATCACCATTTTGGTCTTGTCAAGTTGATAAAAGAACGTTTAAAATTATCAACCAAACCAATATGGGTTATTGCACCATATTCAATTCTATCATTTCTTGATTATTTTGCCATAAATTTTGAAAATATCTCCAATGGTTATCGTGGAATTGCATGTGAAACATTATTGTTCGATAAACTTACGAAAAAGTTGAATCAAAATGAAGAAAAACAAGAATTATTACGACAACTTGTCATCAATGAAATTGCCACTGTATTGGTACCACATTGTTTTGAAAGTTATGGTATTATTCTGGAAATTTTTGGAAAAAAATTAGCCTATTCCGGTGATTCAATGTATTCTGATTCATTTGATCATATTGCACAAAATTGTGATATGATCATACATGAAGCAACAATGAATGATGATCTATGGCAAGAAGCTGAATACAAACGACATTCAACCATATCACAGGCAATAAATGTTGGACGACGAATTGGAGCACACTATACGGTGTTGACACATTTTTCACAACGTTATGCAAAAATAGCACCGATAACTCTAATCGATGATAAATCATTGGCTAGCTATATTGAAAAACAAGTTGTAATTGCATTTGATTTTATGCAAATTTCATTCACAAATTTAGCACGTGCTGCACGTCTCAAATATCCTCTTGAAGTATTATTCGATGAAGAGATACAACGAATGCAGGACGTCGTAACCAAACGAAATAATAAACGAAAATTATTGGAAGAATTTTCCTAAAATTGAAAAAAAAATTAAAATTTTCAAAAAAAAAATCTATAACATTCTTTATGAAAAGACACACGAGTGTTTTTCTGTGTGTGTGTGTGTGTGTGTTTCTCATTCGTTTGTTCGTTTGTACAGGTCAATGAGAGAGAGAGAGAGACGATCATTGCCATAAACAAGCCAAGATCATCTGTTGGTGAAAAATATTAAATTAACAATTAGAAAAAGAAAATTGATCCACATACATAGCCCATCTTTTTAATAAATAGATCAACATATCTTCGTATCTTCACGTTTAAATCATTTCGGGAAAAAATGGCCCAATCAATACGTTGGATTCTTCGTTCACAACCATTATCACAATCATCATTAGGATCGCAATCACTGATGGCCAGATTTTGGTTACCAATAAAACCGAATTGTCAACAACAATCGCTGATAGCACCTGTATCATCAACAAACATTTATCGTTACTTTCAAACGTATTCACTACCAATAATGTCAACGTGGTCACCATATAATAGCCATAATAAACAATTGAATAAACATATGGATCAAACGAAACAAATGATTATCATGCCTAAACGTAATGTTCATAAACCACCATTGACCGTGGATTTTATTCGTGAACGTATAATGTTGGTATTAAGGTTGTATGATAAAATCGATCCGGATAAATTGACAATTGATTCACATTTCTATAAAGATCTTGGACTTGATTCATTGGATCATGTAGAGATTATAATGGCAATTGAAGATGAATTTCATTTTGAAATACCGGATGCTGATGCTGAAAAACTCAATACACCACGTGATATGTTGAATTATATACAGATTAAGGAGGAAGTTTATTCCGAACTTGAACATCATGATGATCATCATACTGAAGGCCATCATTGATTTTTTTCCAATGCAACCAATGAAAATTAGGCAATCATTTTGTTGAATGAATGAATGAATGAAACGAATTTTTTTCTGTAAAAACAAATATCATTATCATACAGAAATTCTTGTTGTTGCCTAACATTTTTTACACCACACCAACAAACATTTCAAAAATATCTCATAGTTTTGGTTTTGCCTTTAAATTCTAGTTAATGAAAAAAAAAATTCAATTCAATTGAAAAATTTGCGAAAAAAAAGAATCAATTTTTTATGTTGTTCAAGTTTCTGGTGATTTTTTTCGCTTCTTGGAATTGATTTCCGGGTCAGTTTTTTATTTTTTGAAAAACTCGAATTTCTTATTGAACTCACTCATTGAGTGGATATAGAAATCGTGGAATGTTTGTATATGGATATAAATAGTGATAATTCTTGTTGACATTTGGAATATTTGCATCAACCCGAATAATGTTACCTTCGGTACGGAATTTATCCTTATTCAATGGAACATTGCGTGATGACGATGATCAAATGAGGGAAAAATCTACAAATTTTCCAACCGAAAAACGAACGCGATCATTTCCAAATATTCGAAATCAATTTGTCATACACATTTATTATCATTTGAATGATGATGATAACAACGAAATTTTGCAAGAAATTCGCCAACAATTTTCAGAAAAATGGTTAAACTTTGAACAAGAATCACATATTTCATTAATATATGGACATTATGCTGTACAATATCATCAAATTGAACCGTTAATATATCAATTATCCGAATTGATTAAATCATTTGAAACATTTTCACTTTATCTGAATGAAGCTCGAATTCTGCCCAATAGTGATAAAAGTCGATATTTTTTAGCCATTTGTCAAGTTAGTTCGGCCGATTTTATTGATAATGAAATGGATAGTGACAACAATGAAACTAATAGTTTAAAAAAACTCCAACCACCATCACCGAATCGTATTCTAGTCAAATCAATACATCATATTATTCGAAAATATCGATCCGAAATCATTCCGGTTGATGATGATCAAATTGAACAATTTATATTTCATACAAGTATAGCTTGGTTTACACCTGAACATCTTGATGAAGCTCAATGTATTTGTGATCGATTGAATAGGAATTATTTCAACGGCGATGATGAAGATCGAATCTTATCCATTCGAATCAACCGTTTACATTTAAAAATTGGTCATATTTCTAGAATTGTTAATTTATTGTGAATTTAATATAATTTCGTTTATTACTATTTTTTAAATATTCATTATTATCAGAAATATTTTTTTTCACAATGAATTCAAGAATTTCCAATCAAATGAAATTAAATTGAATATAATCACATCATCTGTGAATGTGGTATGGCACGTTGTTTTTTCTTTTACATGATATTTTGATTGATTGGTCAACCAGAATGAAACCGAATCAAATTCCCGATGAAATAATCAACGATCCAATACTCAATCAACGGATCGCTCAATTCTTACCGGATAATTATAACTTTGAAATACATAAAACTATATGGCGTATACGACGTGATGGTTCGAAACGTGTTTGTTTACAATTCCCAGATGGTCTATTTATTTTTGCCGTTCCAATTGTCGATATTTTACGTGAATTCTCCACCGATGATGTTGAATTCATTATTATGGCCGATGTTGCATATGGTGCATGTTGTGTGGATGATATGAAAGCACGTGAAATGGATTGTGATATGCTCGTACATTATGGCCATTCATGTTTAGTGCCAATCAATCGTATGGCAACTGGGATATCTGTGTTATATGTTTTTGTTGATATAAAATTTGATCTTTTACATTTTATTCAGACGATTGTAAAAAATTTTTCGACCACTGAACATCGAATATGTTTAGCATCTACCATTCAGTTTATACGATCCACACATATGGCGGCAAAAGAATTAAGGGAAAAATATTCATTCAATGTGCATATACCACAATCACGTCCATTAACACCGGGTGAAATTCTTGGCTGTACGGCACCTACGTTAAAATCGGATCACGCAAATACAATAATATTCATAGCTGATGGACGTTTTCATTTGGAAGCATTAATGATTGCTAATCCCGAATTGCCAGCATATCGTTATGATCCATATAGTAAAGATATGACACGTGAATATTATCAAGTGGATCAAATGATACGACAACGAACAGAAGCAATCGAACGTTGCGAAAAAGTTTTACGTATGAATCAACCCATTGGAATCATAGTCGGAACTCTTGGTCGTCAAGGTAGTCTACGAATTGTCGACACATTACAATCATTATTACGGAAAACATCAATTCAATCGCCAGTTTTTTTGTTCACAATTGCTGAAATTAATCCACAAATGTTACGTGAACTTGGTACGGATATCGTCGAATGCTGGATACAGATTGGTTGTCCTCGTTTATCCATCGATTGGGGTGCCAATTTTATGGAAAAACCATTATTAACACCATATGAATTTCGTACAGCCATAAAAAATATTGATACAATGAATGAAACAAATTTTAGAAATCCATATCCAATGGATTTTTATGCAACATCTAGCCTCGGTAATTGGACACCGAATCATAAATGTCATGATCATTGTAAATGTGAAAAATGATGATCAATTCTTTTATTGTTATAATTTAATTCAGAATAAATAAATTTATTTTTTATCATTTTTATATAAAACATTTTGCAAACATCTAATATAATCAATTGCCGAATGTAATATCTGTACTTTGGACATTCTTTCTTTTTGTCGAAATTCTTCCGGTATTATCTATTTGAAAGAGGTAAAAAATAAAAGATTCGATTTTTTTTGTTGTTCAATTAGAAAAAGTTTCGCATACCTCTTTAAGGCGAAATAATGCATCATTTAAACGATGCATTCGTTTCCGTTCCTGATCATTGGCTAGATCACGATTACGTGTTGATGTCGATGATGTATGATTGGTTAATGATTGCCGTTGTGATTGATTTTGATTGTCCATCATTGTCATAGTTGTTGTTAGATTATAAAATTGATTATAATTGTCAAAATCAAAATAACCATATAGACAATTTTTTTGTTGATAATTTAGGGATGTTGATGAATATTGTGACCCTCCATTATCATCATCACTACTACTATTACCATTACTGGCTGTATTTGTAGTTGAATTAGAAATTTCCGATGTATATAACGGTTGTTGTGAAGAAATTGGCATCCAAGAATCATACATTGATCGTTGTCCAACAACTACAACAGGCAAATTTGATTCGATTGAAGATGGTAGAATCCAATTTTGATTATTATAATCATCGTCCATTTCATTCGCCGTCATCATCATCATCATCATAGTCGTCGTCGTCGTTTCGAATTAAATCAAATGAATGATTATTGCCAAGATTCGAATGATTTCATTTTATATCAACAAAAAAAAGACCACATTCACAAAGAAAAAATGAATCAATGAATCTAGACCATCTGGGAATTATGATGATGATGATGAAAGTCAATTATCTGAAAAAAAATCTTCAATTGCATCACCATCATCATCGGTGTTATTTATATTATACTCAAGGAATCACAACGAAATAATCGTCAGAAAACTAATTCCCAATTTCATCCACATCCACATCGACACACACACACACACACAAATGTGTAATTAAAAGAGACATGGACTTGCATATTGGTTCGAAAAAAAATTAGAGCGTAAACGAAATAAAACAAAACAAAAAAAAACGCAAATGAACTATGTGTACAAATACATTCCACAGGGCCAAGGGTCGTCGTCAGTCGTCATACAGTCCATTATCAATAGACAAAATTCTTAGTAAATGACTGTCATGCATACCATAACAAAAAAAACATCGAAAAAGGATTGTGTAACAGAAGAAAAAAAACATGTTTTCTTCTGTCTGTCAAAATTCATCTGTTCTACAAATATCTATTGTGGAATCATTTATTTATTCATCATAAAAATCTAAATCTAATCGAATCGGGTAGATTAATGAATTGAAATTCTTAAAATTCTTCACCATCCCGATCATCATAATCATCATCATCTGCATTATATTCGGCAGCCACCTCTTCATAATCTTTCTCCAATGCTGCTAAATCTTCACGAGCTTCGCTAAATTCACCTTCTTCCATACCTTCGCCAACATACCAATGAACGAAAGCACGTTTTGAATACATAAGATCAAATTTATGATTCAATCTTGACCATGCTTCAGAGATGGCCGTTGTATTCGATAATAGACAAACGGCCCGTTGAACTTTAGCCAAATCACCACTCGGAACTACAGTGGGTGGACGATAATTGATTCCAATTTTGAAACCAGTAGGGCACCATTGTACGAATTGAATGGTACTTTTAGCTTTTATGGCAGCAATTGCCGCATTCACATCTTTTGGTACAACATCACCACGATATAGCAGGCAACAGGCCATATATTTACCATTACGTGTATTACATTTAACCATTTGATTTGATGGCTCAAAACATGTACCGGTTATTTCCGAAACAGTAAATTGTTCATGGTAGGCTTTTTCACTCGATACAATCGGTGCATAACTAACCAATGGAAAATGTATCCTTGGATAGGGTACCAAATTGGTTTGAAATTCGGTCAGATCAACATTTAGTGCACCATCAAAACGTAATGATGCCGTAATTGACGAAACGATTTGTCCAATTAAACGATTTAAATTCATATATGATGGACGTTCAATATTTAGATTACGGCGACAAATATCATAAATGGCTTCATTATCAACCATAAATGAACAATCCGAATGTTCCAATGTATTATGCGTGGTTAATATTGAATTATATGGTTCAACAACAGCGGTTGAAATAGCAGGTGCCGGATAAATAGCGAATTCTAATTTAGATTTTTTTCCATATTCAACCGATAAACGTTCCATTAATAATGAAGAGAAACCTGAACCAGTACCACCACCAAATGAATGAAATATAAGAAATCCTTGTAGACCGGAACATTGTTCAGCTAATTTTGCGATACGTCTCATAACTGGTTCGATCAGTGTTTTACCTTCCGTATAATGTCCACGTGCGTAATTATTAGCCGCATCTTCTTTCCCAGTGATCAATTGTTCTGGATGAAATAGACGACGATATTCACCCGTACGTACTTCATCAACAACTGTTGGTTCTAGATCAACATAAATTGAACGAGGTACAAAACGCCCATTACCGGTTTCATTGAAAAATGTTGAAAATGAATCATTCGATATAGTTTCCGATGAAGACAATGTTGTTGTCGATTTAACAGGTGATAATTGGCCATCCGGTTGAATTTCATGTTCCAGACAATACAATTCCCAACAGGCATTCCCGATCTGTACACCAGCTTGGCCAACATGTAATGATATACATTCACGCATTTTTGGTCAGTATTCTAAAAAAGTTTCAGAGTTTTAAAATTTTAAAATTAAAACAAAACAAAAAAATGTTTCTGGTTGACAAGCAACGAACACAACCGAAATCGAAGAACGAATGTTTAGTAGCTAGAAGGGCGCGTCCAATGATTTGTTCAATTTGGGTTGGTGATTGTTGACATTTTTATCATCATGATCGAATCAGAAATGGATTCACCAGATTTTTTTTTCAGTTCGTTTGTTATCAGAAAAAAGACTTTGGTAATATTATATCCAGTGTATTTGTGTGTTTGTGATTTGTATTTGCATATTTTTGTCGATTGCCAACAACAACCAATCAAATTCGACAAATCACACTGATTATTTTGCAGATATAATATATATACAGTGAGGCAAAGAAAATAAACCGGATAACAGGATATGTAGCATTTTTTTTCTTGCCGTTGTCTAAATTAAACATTCACATTCGAACGTTAAACACACACACACACACAATAAATAAATCTTGTCATTTTATTTTTTTCTTTTTTGAATAGAAATTTTAATTTGAAATTTCAAATCGTAGTAATAATAATACACTACAAGAGTGATTATTATTGGTAATATATAAAAAGGCAGAAGGTCAAAAATAAAAATAGGAAATTCGAATCATTATCAAGAAAATCTCGAATGATGATGATAATTCAAACTGAAACGGTACGAAATATATCGAATCCAGTTGCAGCCGTAGAGATTAATAATCCAGGTATCTGTGGATGCCAATGTATTTCTTTCACCTCTTTCTGTCCTTGATGTATGAATAATAATTGTGGTGGTAGTTTGCCAATTATAGGATCATCTTCCATTTCTTTTCGTTGTTGTTTACCACCATCACTAATCGAATCATCTGTTTTGGGTCGTTTACTAGCCGATGTTTCTTTATCATCATCTTGTTGTTCATCAGTTTCAACCGATAGATCCCATTGTGTTATTTGATGATCATCACTTGATGCAGCAAACACGGTACCATCGGTTCGATGCCAATCAACCGATGTAATGGGGCCTTTATGTTGTTTAAATGTTGCTACTGGTTTACAACCACCACCACTTGTCGATGTTGATGATGATGTTGAACCACCATTCGATGATTTAATTGTTTGACGACGTACTTGTCGTAAATCCCAAACTTTAATAACACCATCATCACCTCCGGATAATATGAATGCTTTTTCCATACGATTCCAGCTCAAAACATTTACATCCGATTCATGTGCATCCGCAATAATGATTGCCGATTCATGGCGTCGATTACGTGTATCCCAGATACGAATCGAACGATCAACCGAACAAGAGCTTAATATTGTAGATTCATTCGGTGACCATTGTATATCTTCCACTGATGATTCATGACCAATCAATGGTAGTTGATCAACTTTCCATCCATCATCCGAAACATTCCATATGAAAATATGTTTCTGTGAATCGCCAGTAGCTAATACACCATCGTTGACAGGTGACCAATCCAAACCGAAACCCGGAGAATGATGACCATTAAATGAATAAATAGGTTTTGTATGTAAATTTTGTTTATTAAAATCGGCTATACGTTGTGAATCACCTTCATCACAAGTATTTAATGCATCGGTCATGTTCCACAAATGTACGGCACCATGGTCGGACCAATTGGCTACAATCAATTTATCACCGATTCGCCGACAACGTATACGATTAACACAACCGGAATGTGGAATCGATGCGCAGGATAAATCGGGTAACGTTTCTTCCTCTTCATCTTCATCATCGTCGTCATCGTCATCATCGTTGTTATGTTTTTTATCATCAACAGGATTCATATTGGAAAATTTCATTGCCAATAAACGATTATGATGATCTTTATCCGCTTGTGTACCGGCAACTAGATATGCTGTCATTGGAAATGTTTGTGAACGTTGTTCACCTGAACCAAATTGATCTTCAACAATATCAAAACTAAGACATGGAAATCCTGTTTCAGCTTTATGATATACAACATAGGCGGAATAATCACATTCCAATTGTTCAACATTATCGTCGGATGATAATTTTGAAATATTTGGTACATATATTCGTTTTTGGGATGTTGAACTACTGGCACTTTGGCCATCATTGTCATCGTTGTTGTTATCGTCGTCATCATAATCATCATCAACTTCTTCATCATCTAGATAATCAGAATCGGATGAACATGATTCATCATCATCATCATTATTATCGTTGTTATTATTGGCTTCCATATCGTCATATTCTGAATTTGTCGATTCTTGTTGTTTACCATCATCATCATCATCAACGATATTTGATAATATGGTCATTATATTTATTGTTTGAAAAAATTAATCAAACAGTTTTATGTTGAAACGTGGTTTTTAGTATATGCAATGCGAAATCATTAGCCGATGTGCACGTGTATTTCTTGTTTCGACCAAGTTTTTTTTTTGATTTTTGGTCTATTAACACCCAAATCGAAAACATGTGCTTTGAAGATGTTTTGTTTTTCATAAACACAATGTGATCCAGCAACTATTTCCACCGTAGATGTTTGTTTGTTTGTTGTCAAGACATTTAAATAAATTGGTGAGTTTGTGAAGTTTTGAAATTGAAATAATCATTGAAAATATGGATAATGAAAAACAGCGACAGCAACAGCTACGACGAAATCGTCGTGATAATAGAAAGAAGAAACGATTTTATTATAAACAATCGAAAAATAAAGGTAATGAAAAGGCCAGAATTCGTGTTGAACTAGAAGATGGGCATCGTGGATTTTTGGTCACTTGTAATCAAAAAGAATATCATTGTTTACAAGAATCGTATAATATATTGAATGAAATATCAGATCGGATTTATCCGAACGAAGAAGCCAAACATCCTGATCCGAATGATATTGAAGCCTGTATACAAGCTGAATTAGCAGCAGAACAAAAAACGAATCTACGTTTTTTACAACTAAAAACTCGATGTAAAAATCTACTATTCATTCGAATACAGGATGATCAAATTGATCCACAAACATTATCATCGGAATTATGGAAAGATCTTGAGCAGAATCAACGACAAAATTGTCGATATATTCAACGAATCATTCCGGTTATACGAACATGCCGTACGGATAAAATTGTCACAAAATTTGATGAAATATTCGAACGTATAGCAACGAAAAATGTTTGTTCCTATCTGGTACAATGTCGGATACGAAATTATTCATCATTAACCGAACGTATATTACAGGAATCGATCATACAAATTGTACGTGAACGACGGCCAAATTGGTACGCCAATTTAGAACGACCGGACCAATTGATTCAGATAAATGTTCTTTGTAAAGCTGCTTGTATTTCTTTATTACCTGATTATAATCGTTATGCTAAATATAATGTAATTGAATTTATAAGAAAACATTTCGGTAATGTTGAAAAAGCTGATGATGATGATGATGGTGATGATGTGAAATCGGAATCGAATTCAAACAAGCAGCAACAACAACCGAAAAATGTTGATGAAATTCAAAATGAATCCATTCAACAAGTAACCGAAAACATTACATCACAACCGATTACTGAACAATAATTTTAATAAATATATAATTAAACATAATAATTAAATTTTATTTTTAAAATTTTAACAAATCTAATCTAATGGTTTATCTGAATTTTGTCATAAACAGAGAAACGTTTTTTTTGCTAGCTCTCTCAATCAACACGTCAAGAATTGAATTAAATGAAATCGTATATATCTCTCACACACGAAAAGTAAAGGAAAAAAACTGGATGATGATCACATCGTTTGGAATGAATGAATGAATAAAAGAATAGTTGGAAAAAATTTTTTTGTTGTGGCGAGTAGAGATCAAAAGTGTAAAAAATACAATTGACTGTTGGGCACATTATTTTATGAATATCATTTTGGCCAACACTCAATCTTTTCTGGCTTTATTGTCATCATATTTTATACCCCCAAAATACCTCAAAATTTGATTTTCATTTCTTATTTTTGCCGATTATCTGGCCAAACGATAAATGGTACGGGGATGATGCTTTATCGACACGACAAGCCGAATTATTTGCTGACTGATCACGTTGTTAAATTATTGAAAATTTTTATCGATCATGTCACAGCTGATTTTATTGATATTGGTTCACGCGCTCTTTATCGTTTGAGCAAACGTTTTAATTTACACCAACAGGAACCATATCGTAAGTTTTTACCTGAAACAATTTCTTGTCTCGTTACAGACGACGTCAATGGACAATCATTTTATGGAAACTTATTTCTGGTCGCAATTTTTGATTATTCTGTTTTTATGGAAAATCCATCTATTTTATCGTATGATTTTGAACGTATCGTAAATGCCTCCGTAGTCGATACCGACTATGATGTTTCATCTATCCGGACAGACCATCGATCTGTGATATTTGCCAAGGATACTGTTTTGTGTCTGGCACGGCATGGCATAAAATCTGGTTTTATTTCTTCTGAATTGCCATTGCAACATGGTCTTGTGGATTTATTGATACGAAAAATTGCGAGCCAACCAATATTATTATTCTCGTCAAAATTGTTTGCTCTTCATGGTATAGCAATCAACAATCACATGAACATTTCAAATTATTATTTTTCTATCGAGCAAAATTTTGGACGACGAATTTATTTAACGAATTTCCGTATTTTCACATTTATTGAATATTCCACGAACAATCGTGATGAAAACATTGCTAAATCAGTGAAAATCAAGTTTTTAATGATCGGATATTTTATCGGAAATTATTCATGTTATCGTTATTATCGACGCATTGAGCTATCCGATCCTATTACTATTTATGAAAAAGTCTCATGGAAGTCGTCACATCAATCGTATTTAAAGAAATTTACTGATTTTATTGATGATTTATAAATTTTGAGCCATTAAATTGATTGATTGACTGATCGATCGGAAATTATATTGAATATAAATAAATAAATAAATAAATATTTGATTTGAAAAAAATCTAAGTAGATATCATTTTGTTGTTGTTTTCCATATTTATTCTTCATTCACACTTATTCATCAGGGAGATGTGTGTTTTCATCAATAATGGCCTCCATATTCATGTCCACCACCACCACCACCGCCGTAACCTTTTTCTTCATGTCCATATTCATGCCCACCACCGTGATAGCTATCGCCACCATGTCCATAGCTATCTCCACCATGGCCATAGCTATCGCCGCCATGTCCATAGGAATCATGGCCATAACCACGTGCAACAACTGTTTTAATTTCTTCTTTAACCGGTTCAACAGTTTGGACAACTTTACGATATGGTGATATAACTTCATGTACTTCCTGAATAATTGGTTTAGTCACATGGTGTTTTAAAACGTGTGGAGCATCTTTTGAATATGATGTTTGATAAGAACCAGGTGAGCCGATGTGTTTTTGTTGTGCATGTATCATACTGGATGCTGAACGGAAAACAAAATTTATTGGTACATGATTTGGCGGTACATCGATCGTTGTTGGTTTTACATGACCATGGCTATTAATTGATTAATTTAAAAATTAAAAACAAGAATTTTACAAAAGTTTACACACACACGCATAAGCGTCTTAATGAATAGGAATATGGCGGAATTTATCAGTATAAATGGGTAAAAAATTAAATACCTTGGAACGTCATAATATTTGACATTATGATGACTTAATACAGCTGCGGAAACAGCATGACCGTGCCCGTAACCATGACCACCCCCATGACCATAAGGCTTCGCAACTGCTATGCCGGCAACAAAACCGATCAACAGTATCAACTATTAAAATAAAATATTACCGAATATCGGTAATCGATATGAAAAAAAATATTTGTTGAAATGAAGAAAACTTACACGAAACATTTTTTTATTTTGTTGACAAGAAAAAACACAAACAAACGAAATATGATTGATGATCAATAAATGATTCGAATATTGAATATGAATTTTGAATCATTGAATGTCACCTGTTTTTATATATAACGTAAATTTTTTTTTGATTGTCGCCCGATCGAATATGATGATGGTGGCTATAATTACCAGCCATGATAATAATCTTTTTTTTTCTTTTTCTTTGATTGTTGTCGTTGTTTTGAATAATTGAAATTAGTCTATGAAATTACAACAACAACAACAACAACAAAAACAAAAGTAGAAAGCATTCTGCCAAAGAGGATCAATGGCTCTTTTTTTCCAATTGGAACATATAATAATGGGGAAAAAGAACAAAAAAATCATGAAATTGTCTCATGGTGGTTGCGGTCGGTGTTGGTGGTGGTGGCATAATAAATCATCATGATGATGATTAAATCCGTAATCAAAGTCCAATATAGTGACATGTTGGTACGTTTGAAAGAACGAAAAAAAAGAGAGAGAGAAAAAAAAGACAAAAAGAAATTTGGCAAAGAAAATTTCAAAATCATCTGGAACAAATTATAAATTTCGAATGTCAAAAAAAGTGTTTTTTTTCGAACGTTTGTGTGTGTGTGTGTGTGCAGTATGGCCAAAATTTTCCAATCGAATTATTATTATTATCATCATCAAATTTAATTTGATAAAATTTTTTTTTTTTGCGAAATTGTCTTAATCATTTCCATTACTTATTATTATTATATTATTATTAGTGTTGTTGCTGTTGAAATCATTATGAAGGGCTGTGGTTCATTTTTGTTGTTGTTGTTGTTGTTCTTGTCTGTTTCTGTTCGAGCTTCTTGACTCGATGATTAAATAATAATAATAATAATAGTCGAGGAAAATGAAAAAAAAAATTTTTTCGGGCAAAGGTGTTGTCGGTTTTATGATTTCATAACCGAATTGTTATGTTTCATTTTTTTATCGGGTTAACTGGAAACCGCCACCATTTTCAGAGGAATTATATTTGTTTTTTTTTCTCTATTTGGCCCCGAAAAGTTAGGTAATTAGGAATTTAATTAATCGATTTTTTTTTTGATGAAATCAAATAACTTACGTTTGTTTTTTTTTTTTTTTGGTTTGAAGAATGCTGATAAGAAATTTTTATTAAAATTTTTTTTCCTCTCTTCATGACCATCTCACTACATTTCAATTTCCAATTAATTGATCGATTTTAAATTAGAAAATAATTACACTTACATATCGTTGAATGTATTTTGCAATAAAACAAAACAAAAAAAAATAAGGGCATAGATCACATATATAGTGAAAAAATAAATTTTCCCTAACCCGATTATAAATATTGATTGATGATTGATTGAGCAACGGCAAACAACAATACTGATTATTGGCCTTGACTTTCAAAGATATTTCAATTGATTCATTCATCTTTTTTTTATGTTTTTTTTCAAATTATTAAATTGTATCGATTGACAATTTTTCCAATTAATACGATATATGATGATCGAATGAAATAAGAATATAAACAATCCGATAAACAGATATCGCCATCATTGATTGATAAAAACAAAACATCAATCGAAACATAAAGAGAAAAAATTGATCTTCACAACATCATGGCTTATAACTTGAAAATGTATATACATGTTTTATGCGATATATGGCTATCGTAAATTTCAAAAAAAAAAAAAAAAATCAAAATAATTACTCGAATCGAATGGAATCAAGTGTTGCTAGTGAATTGGCAATGAAATTTTAAACTATGATTTGAACTTTAATAACCAGCTTCGTGGCAAGCCGATGATGATGATCAGGGGTTCAATTATTATTTGAATAAATGGACATTACACAGTGTTTTTAATTAGTTTATATTATTTTATTGAATACAAACTGTCCACAAAAATTGTTTTGTTTTTGTAATTAATTTTTTTTTGTTTCAAACTTCAATCTTTTTAACACGTTGTTCTTCTTTTTTAAGATCACGTTCCAATATTTCATTAGATTTCAATGCAATTTCTACGTTATATCGTTCAAATATGTCCAAATCGGTACGTTTCATAAGACGATTCAAAACACCACGAACACCGTCGATCAGTGCAATAATAGTATCCATTTCACCTAAGATCTGTTCTTTCATCTCTTTGGTTGGGTTTTCTTCGAATGTGTTAATTTGATGTTGAAGATGTAACAATGCTTCTTCTCCTTTTCTCATCTGTTCATGGATACGTTGCATGAGAAGAAAATCAAATTCATTTTGATAATCATGTTTTTTTGGTTCACCCGAAACGCATACAACTGAGAAGAATTGGAAAATTTTATCAGATTAGAATGGGTAAGAAAATAATTACGGGAAAAACTTACCGGCCAAAGTGCAAACAGCAATAGCAATGATGAATTTCATGATTATTTTTTTTTTTTTTGGTCGGATTGTTTTTCTTTTGTGTGATGTCAAGAATTTTGGAAAATATAATCGACAGATGATTTTCGATGACAGATTAACATCGATTTATATACCCTGATTGGATTATTGTTGCACTGTATTTGTACGTTACCTAAAAGAAAAACCTTTTTTGATCAACAACTATTGATAACCATCATCATTCAATCTACTCGGTAAGATTCTCATCTGATTAATTAATTATAATTAATTAATTAATTATTTTTCTAATTTTAAAAATAGCCGGGCATATATCAATGATAATCAAAATTACAATCAAAAATAAGAGTTTTACTTTATGAAAAACAATTATAATTGTTCAGATATGTATTCGGTCCAAAGTACAAGTACATTCAATCTAGAAAAATCTCAAGATCATAATCCTATTGATTTTATCAATAAATGTATCAATTTTATGATCAATAATGATCCATCGATCGATATATAAATAAATCATCATTCAATCGAACGGTCATTGCATAGTCAACTACTATATGTTCTTTATTTCAATCGAATCAAAAACAACGACAAAAAAAATTTGAAAAATGAAATTCATTATTTTCTGTGCCATTGTAATGGCTGTTTCTGTTTCCGGTTTGTAAATTTTGTAAGTTTTTTTGAAAATAATAACCAATCTTCTGTTCATTTTAGGTTTCATCGTTGATGTCGATACAGAAGATAAATGGCGTAATGCATTCGATCATATGTTGATGGAAGAATTTGAAGAGAAAATGGATCAAATCGAACATGGCCTACTTATGCTCAGTGAACAATATAAAGAATTGGAAAAAACCAAAAGCAAAGAATTAAAAGAACAAATTCTTCGTGAATTGACAATCGCAGAAAACTATTTGCGTGGTGCCTTGAAATTCATGCAACAGGAGGCTAAACGTACCGATTTAAATATGTTCGAACGTTATAACTTTGAAACAGCAGTGTCAACTATCGAAATATTGGTTAAAGATTTGGCTGAATTGGCCAAAAAAGTTAAAGCTGTAAAATCGGATGATTAAATACAATCCACAATTTAATATAACACAATTTTCATCATCAACATCGAGGAAATAATTATAATATAAAAGACGAAAAATTTTGAAGAAATAAAAAAATAAAACAAAAAAGATCTAAAATTTATGAATTGTTGTTGTTGTCGATGATGATGATGATGTTGATGGTAAAGAGAATAGTAATATTAGAATGGTGACGATAATTATCCATAGTGACCATGTATGTATAATCGAATAGATGCTTTAAAAAAACAAATGTATATGAATTGATTGTCAGATAATATTATATATCGGATAACCAAACAAACAATCCAAAAAACTTACCTCACATAATGAGAATTCAATGTAAAATGCCATAATAATGATCGAACATTATGATTATTATGGCCATCATATGACATTTGATTTAATGCTTCACAAACAAATGAATGACAATTTGACCATAATATATAATGCTAATGAATATCATATGATTTGATGAAAGTAATGATAATTGAACAAAATTTATTCAATACACTTACAACTTTATGATCATAAATAACTGCTGCACGTTTAATACCATCATCCCATTGATGATAATAATTTTGTTTATCACTATTCATTCGTAAAAATTTTATCGCTGGACCAAATGTAAAATTATTTTTGGATACAAAAAAAGATTCTGAAAAATCCCAAAGATTTCCACATGAATCAGTGATAGCCATATGACCAATCGATGGTATAAAATATGATAACCATGATAATGAACACCAAACAATACAATATGGTTCAAATATCAAATGTTGTTGTTTTGTTATTGGCCGTAGTTTAATCATATCGGATGATAATAAACTACAGTCCATTATCACGGACATGATCATACATTACATTGACAAATAACTGTGATTGACAATTTAATTCATTACAATGATTTTTATCAACAAATTGTCATCACCATCATCAAAAAATGGACATTTATGACCTTTTTGGTTGGCCTGAATTTTAATAAAAAAAACCAAATCTGTCATTCTTGTAGCATTTTTTGTTTGAAAAAATGACATGACGAAATTCAATTAATTTTACCTGTCATCATCATCAATATGATCATCATAGTATCATGTTGATCTACTAATTGTTTCATGATTCATTTGATTTTGAATTTTTTTTTCTTTCTCGCTTTCTTGATCACACAATAACATCCTTGACATGAAAATATTATTTTTTTCATTATTCAGTATTGTCAATTTATGTGTGTTATTTTTTCTCGTTTTTAACCCCGAAAAAACATCTCGAAAATCATTTGATCATTAGCATCAATTGATTTTTTCATTCAAAATGATGATGATGACGCATCCATCCATCAATTTGGACAATAAATGGCCATTTATGATCAATCAATCAATCGATATCGATACTATTAATAAAAAAAAAATACATTCAATCATCGATCATATTGAATGTTCATTTGAATGATGAACAAAAATAGTTTTGAAAACGAAAAAAAAAATTGTTTTCGCTTTTTTTTTGACTGATTGTTGTCGTCGTCGTCACTAACCAACTAACCAACCAACCAACCGACAGAAAAAATGAAAATTCAAAAAAGAACATCATCGAGGTTATGGTCGTTGCTGTTGTTTTGTTTTTATTGATTTTGGTATTATTCAATTTGATTGATCGATTTTTTTTGCTTTTTTTCTGACTAAAAATCAATCGAATCATACAATTACCATCCTTTTGACATATGCATGCATACATCCTATACTTCTACGAATTGACAATCATCTAATACAATATTGTACACAAACGTTCGAACGTTAATCAATCAAATAGAAAAAAAAAAAAATTTTAAGCAAATTATCAAATGAATTTTTTTTTATATTTTTTTTATGCCACTACCCAAAAAAATTGTCTGATTTTATCTTGTTATTTCTCGAATGATCATAAATTTTTTTTTTTTTTTGGTTTTTTTTCTGGTCTGTCATCATCACCAAATAAAATGACAGTGATTGATATTTGATGGTATAGTCAATAATTATCACATTCACGCACACACACGACAACGACAACGACGAGGACGACTACGAACATTTCTGATTTGATTTTTATTTTTATTAATAATTTTTGTCACAATTTTCGGTTGTTGTCAAGCTTCGATTTGAATATATTGATTGGATAAATTCCATTTTGTAAAGAACAACATTTCGTTCATCATCATGTCTTCACCATCTTCATCATCAGTCCCATCCAATACGGTTACCAATGTTATTGCATCAAATTCAAACAACAATGATGATGATGACCTGAAACATCCATTATTTCATTTGGCTATTGTTAATCGTTTAAAAGAGAAAATTCCATTGATTAATCGTATCATAATCTATGTTGAAGATAATTATGCACGAATCAAATCCGGTACTGGTATGTTATCGATTGTAATGGGTCAAGTTGAACAAGGTATCAATTCTATGGCCATAAATATTGTTCATTATGTACCTCGAAAACCTGGTAAGTGTATGAATGATTGATTGAATTGATGATTGTAATTTGTAATCATTTTTTTTATGTCTTAAAACTTATCATAACAGTTGAAATGATTGATAAAATGGCATGTAATGGTGTGGAAATTGTTGATAAACGATTACGACAAATGTTTGATTTATCCATTATTATTCGTGATAATGTCGTTGCCATTCCTATGGTAATCTGGAAACAATGTTCAGAATTAATGACAGTCGATGGATTCTATGGAAAATTAGATCAATTTCTTTCATCATTGGAAATGAAATTAGAATATTGGATGCCGCTTCCAGAACCGCATCAAAATGTTCAGGATCAAGAATCGACGAAAAAAATGTTTGCTCGTTTATGGATATTTGTTAAACATTTGAATGAACATTTGAAACATTATGCTAAAGGACATTTTTTTATCATACGATTAATAGCCATTATGGATCGTTTTAAACCGAATTTCATCACCAATGGTACGTTGATTTCGCCACCAAAATCATTGAAAAGTGATGATCAAAAAGTAATCAAACCGGATGTTGCCATGGAAAAATTATCATCAACAATGGAAAAAATGGTCGAAACAATTTCCAATAATCCAAATTTATCCAAATCAATTGGTGGTGATCAACAACAACAACAACAACAACAGCAACAAAAATCAACAGCAACAACAACAATTTCTACCGACGACATTGTTGAACAAAAAAAAATTCAACAATTCAAAGATCAAGTAACGGCTGCTGTTGATCAAATTATTTCCAACGATATGATGAAGGTGATGGATAAAAAAATTGATAATAATCAAAAAATAATGAACAATCATATGAATGGTCAAAATGGCGATGTAAACAAAGTACCAAATAGTATTGATCATCAACAACAACAACAACAACAACAACAACAAGAATCGATAATCAAAGAAAATCATAATGACAATGAAAAAGTAAATGGTGAACAACAAAAATTGCAACAACAACAACGAGAACAAGGTACCACTAATCAGATGAAAAATAAGGTTACACCACCATCATCGTCATCAGTGAACAATCCATCATCTAAAATTCAATCAACTAAATCAACAAAATCATCGAAAAAATCAACATCTTCATCATCGGCTAATGGATTCTGATTTTTTTTTTAAAGAAAAAAAAATTCTATATCAACTTTTTATTCAAACCTCTAATACTCTTTGTTTGTTTTTATATTTTCAGAAAAAAAAGAAAAATTAATTTAAATTTTAATCAATGAACATTTGTGAATGATACAACAAGTTTGTAACCTTGAAAATAAAAATTCAATAAAAAAAATTGAACCGCGCCCTAATTTTCAATACATCAACATTACCCTCTTTTTTGTGAATGTGTGTGTGAGAGAGAGAGAGAGAGAAAGAGAAAAACAAGAAATTCAGTCACAACTGTCAATCAATTAGTCAATCAATCAATTTGTACAATTTTTCTCTTTATTTATCTGATTTTTTATGTAATCACAAATTGATTGTCTCAAACACACACACACATTGATGCAAATTTTTTCGCTTTGAATGAATTCAAATAATATAATCGGCACAACAAGATTCCGGCCTTTTTCATCATCATTTTTTTTTATATATATTTTCATGAGAAAAAAATTAGGCCAAAAAAAATTTCAAAATATTTTATCATCATAGTTCAATGTCTTGATGATGATAATGATGAATAGTCTGGCAATTTTCCCCCTTGTCGGTTTCCGGCGTAATTTTTCGTATTAATTTTCGTATATACAAAAATTTATTTCATGGCAGTTGACAAAATGACTAATCAAAGTTTATATTTTCTGGCAAACATTTATCAAAATAATAAATATATATCGATATTATCGATAGATTTATCACGGTAGGCTCCCATCACTATCTAATTTTTTTTTCATTGAAATTTTAATTTTTGTTAATTATTAATCCATGATATTAACATATGGATGGATCCTCTTCATCAGCCAAAAAAAAAAAAATGATCTCTAATCATCATATCAATATCGTATCGATTAATCAATCAATCAATCATTGTTTTCAATTAATCAATAATGTATGTCGAGATCATTTTTGAGAAAAGATTTTTGATTTGTCAATAACAATTTTAGATTAATTAATCCATTTAAAAAAAATGTCATTCAAGTGCAAATAATAATAATAGATCTTTACCTATTAGGACATGTAAAGATCAAATAAAACGAATTTAGAAATATTTTCATGAATTTTTTTTTTTGATTGTTTTTTTCACAAATAATTAATAAGGAATGGAGAATATGATATCACAATCAATCAATAGATTTTCGAATATTTTGTTGCTGTTGTTCGAATGTTTCATTATTACTCGTTGGTGTTGTTGTTGTTGTTGTTGTTGTACTTTTTGGTGAACTATCAATCGTCGTTTCAATCATTGTATCTTGTGTATCTTGAACATCGGTTATTAATGAGAATACTTGTACACGTTGTAATGAATTTCGTATTAATGGTGAAATATTTTCATCAATAATCATCATTGTTTTATTGAATTTATTTGTTTTATTATTATCAGATGATTTGACTGACATTGATGATGACCGTTCTTTTGATGATGTTTTCCGTTGCTGAGGTTGTTTTTGTTGTTGTTGTTTTTTCTTTTTTTCTGAATCCGATATCGATGATAATGATGGTGCACGTATTGGTTGTCGATCAAGAACATCAGCTCTTTGTGCTGCTTCAATCACAATATTTGGATCAAGTTTAAATGTAATTTTAGCCTGATGACAAACATTTGGTTTTTGTTTCCTGATGAATTCTTTCAATGGACCATTCGATGATATGGATGTATCCGATTTGATCATTAGTAGTGATTCAAATTTTTCATTAGAAAATTTTTCAATTTCCGCATTCAATGTGGTTGTAGTCGATTGATGATTACTCGAAGTTGGACATCGCCAACCGGGTCTTTTCGGTAAATCATCGCAATCAGATTTTGGTGACCAATCAGCAATAGCAATGCGAATTTTTTGTAGATTTTCCGTCAAACTAATCAAACGTTTTTCATTTTGTTTCGGACTATCACTTTGTCTTTGACCAAAATTTTCACCACTTGTTTTCGGCTGTATCTGTTCTTGTTTTTGTTGCTGTTGTTGTTGTTGTTGTTCACTTTTTGTTGTCACCATTTCTTGTTGACTATCGAATTTTGTTGTTGATATACTTTTCTCATCCGATAATAATTTATTATCATCATTACTATTAATAGTATCGTTATTCGAAATCATTTGAAAATCGATTTTTTGGAAAATTAAAAAAAAAATTGTAACAAACTTCACGAAATTATATCACCCAAAAAGCATATTTTAATATATGGTTTTCTATAATAAAAAAAAAAAATTCGAAAACAGTGAAATTAAATTTTCATCCAAATAATAATTTAAATATAATGACAACAATATTGATTGCTATTAATGGTACACGTGCAACCGTTCTTATCGAATGTAATAGATTTAGAATTTGCATTTTTGGTGACATTATTGATGGCTGTGGCATTGCTGTTGATTGTGGTCCATATCCACCTCCATATGGTATATTTGCCTGATTCAATGATGCAGATGATATTAATGAATTTCGATCTAAACCAACTGTGTATAAATGAATTGAATTAATAGACAAAAAAAATCGACAAAATAATAAACAAAAATTACATTTGACAAGAAATCGTTCTTCATTCAATATGGCAATAGCATTGATAACCAATAATGCTGCTTCAAGCAATGAATATAAACCAAGGGCCATGTTTTATTTTTTGGTCAATAATTTTTTTTTTGGGATTTGGAATTTCAATCCAAAAACAAACCGAGAATCCACTTGATTTGATTTGACGCGTTGACAGAATTCTTGAATACACGTGATCACAATAATAATGCTGTTCATATATGAAATCACGCTATAAAATTGTTACAGGTTGTATAAAATTCGAAAAATGAAAATTTTTTTTTTCTATTTTACATCAACATTTTATCATTAACATCAATCAATTAGATTATATTGAATAAATTTTGATTGAAACCTGATAATTATTGATTCTAAAAACAATTCCACAATGCTTGAAATGATACAGCCAACACAACCGACAAAAATTGTTGCATTATCATTAACCAAATGGTTCAATTGGACTTGTATTTTATCGTTGATTGTAATGATATTTGTTTTAGTGAAATTATTCCTATGGATCTATGTATTACAAAATGTTCATCATAATCAAGATTTAACTAATGATGAAACAAATGTCGATAATGATGAACATGTACAAATTATTCGATCTTTATTCAATATTTCATCATCATCATCATATACATCGAGCCATGGATGATTATAATTGCAGTAATACCCCGCTTAACGCGGGGGTTACTTTCCAAAAATTTTGAGCGTTAAGCGGGGTTTAACTGTATATGTTTAAAAAAAAAAAGAATTACCATAGTAGCCACAAATGAGTGATATCAATGTTTGTATATTATTTTGAAAAAAATGATAATCTATTAATATTAAAATCACTTTTTTTCAATTCTATAGTATGGCGTGATTTATTCCTTATTGTTTACAGAAAAAAATGCATCGAATGATAATGATTTGGTTAATTTTATTATTATTATTGATGATAATGATGATCATGTTCACTGAATCAAATGTTCTCGACAACATCATCGAACAACAACGTTTTTCAAGAAGTAGTAAGAATGATTACAATCCGAATCATCAATGTAAATATCATCAAGATTGTAATCAATTATTAACGAAAATATTGTCTTGTTCAAATGCATCGATCGAAATGTATAGAATGATCGATAATGATTGTACGGAAGAATATCATCGACAACTTTTATTATATTTAAAACAAAATCCACGTGTTTCTTGTCATGAAAATCGTTGTCTTTGTCATGATCCGGCATATAGTTATGATTCAATCGATCGAATTTGTCGATATCGATGCAAACATGATGGTGATTGTCGTTCCATTCTTAATGAACCACAACAACAATCGATAATTGTAGATTATTCGTCGTATGGTCTTGGCCACCAATCAAAAAAACTTCATGATTACATGGAATCATATAATCGTTTCATACCGATGATATGTTCTGAACAAGGTCTTTGCCGTTGTCCACAATATTCGCGACAATCATTATTGGATTGGACAAAACATTCATGTCTTGAAGAGATTCAAATTGAATTTCATAATGTTAATTTTATTGCCATAACTGCCGTTTCATTATTGTTTCTTATCATCATTATTATGGCACCAATATTCATATTCTGTTTTGGTCAACATACAAATGCTTACAGTGGCCTTCGACAAACAATTTGATTGATAATTTCCATATATATCATTGGTCATGATAAAAAGAACATTTTTTTTTTTTTTGATTATATCAGGTCATTATTATTATTATTATCTAAGAAAGTTTTAAGAATAAAAATGTGGATTAAAATAATAACAATTACAACAACAAAAAAAACAACAACAATAATAATAACAACAATTATTAATTAAGAGAAAAAGAAAAAAAAATACACACACACACAAAATTCAATATATATTTGAATTTATGTTGATAGTGATTTATATATGAATATATAATTTGAATAATAAACAAACAAACAAATGATGGTCATCAATTTATTTAATGTGTGTGTGTGTGTGAGTGATGTATCGATTATTTATAAATGAGAAAAAAAAACTACCACCAACAAACCAATCGGATGAACTAATATCTTATCGTCATCGAAACTAATATAATAGTACATTGATGAAAGAATATAGACATTCATTGGTATGTTTGTTTGTTTGTCTATGATGATGACGATAATCGATCGAGATACTTTATTCATTCATTCATTCTATTAATTTGTTGTTGTTGAAAATCGTTTTTTTTTCTGGAAAGGCGATGGTGGATCATCATTTGATGAATTGAATGAATTTGAAATGATGATAATGATGATAATGATAAATGATGGCTATATAACCAATGGATGACAATGATGGCAATAATGATGATAATGATAATGATACTATTATTATATTGTATCGGATAATTTTCACTATGAATAATGATTTTATCATTATTATTATTAATAAAATAATAATTATCATAATTAGAATGGCGATGTTGAGCTTCCAGAGCTACCAGCCGATTGTGCACGTGCCGATGGTGATGCCAATGAGCCACGGCCACCACGTGTTTTAGTTTGTGTACGATCAAAATTTCTTCGTGCTTCACCTTTGGCAACAATTGTATGAATTTCTTCCATAACAGGTTGAATTTCTTGAACCACTTTACGGTATGGTGTGATGATTTCACGGACTTCCTATTTTTTTTTGAACGAATGGGTTATTAGTATGAATTGAATCAATTAATTAATTTCATTAAAAACGAACCTGAATAATTGGTTTTTTAACTTCGTGAATAAGTCGATGTGGTTCTTCTTCCGATGAAGTTTGTTCAACTTCACCAGCACCAGCTGCTTCATGTGTTTGATGTACACGGATACGTGATGAGCTTGATTTGAAATGAATTTCCAATGGTAGGGCACCACCTTCAACTTCGATTACCTAAATAAATAAAAAAAAATTGAAACAAATCAATTGTTGAACAAATTATTGAAAAGATAATGAGGATGATTTTGTTTTATTTTACCTGTGGCTCAATGTCTTCGTATGGAATATCAACAGGTTTCATTTCGACCGTATGTTTTGTCTGTACAGCTGCCTGAATTCTTTCTCGGCCACTACCACCTTCTTTAAATTGTCCATCCATAGCATCGAAACCGCCTTGTGCATTGACATTTATTATGGCAATAACAGCGATGGCCAACAAACAATAGGTGAATCGATTGTAAAACAACATTTTTTTTCTGATGTAGGTATTTGAATTTTTTAAGAAAAAATAAAAATTTGGATGAGCAAAACACAAACAAACGAAAAATGATCACACTTGAAAGACAGGATGATGTTTACAACAGCAAAACACACACAATACAGCTACACAATGTAAAAAAACAAATAAAAATAGTTAGACTTTAAAATGGCTTTTAAGTGATCGTCGAATGATGATTTTTTCAAACAAATCGATCGCATTTTTATATCATTTTTTGTCTTGCTCATTTTTTCCTTTCTAAAACTTAGATGGGCGGATGGATTCGATTCGGTTGGTCATCACCATCATCATCATCATCATCACTATACTCTGTGTCCGTCCGTTTTTTATTTTCACTCTTCGGACACAATGATATGATGATAACGAAAAAAAAAGAGATCCATTCTTAAGATTCATTTTTTTTTTGTTGATAGGCCGATCCAAACACAAACTACTACTGTAAATACGACAATAAATATGATGATGATGATTTTTTCAAGAAACCCTTTGACATTTGACATGTTTGCCTAAAAGAGAAAAAAAAATATAATCAATCAAACTATACTAAAATGATAACGATGAAAAGAGAAGAAGAAAAAATAAAAAACAGAGACTAAGGAAAAGAAGAAAAAGAACAAAAAAAAATCAGGAATTGAACTTCACTACATCACACACACATTCCATGCCACGCCATCCTATTCAATTTAATTTTTATTTTTTTTTTAAATATATTGCCACCATTGTTATTGGTCCATCATACAATCAATTCGGATCCATCATCATCATCGTTCGGGTCGATCATCGGGTGTGTGTGTGTGTGGATGCAAAAAACATTGCTAAACATGATGATGATGTAAACAAGGACAGGACAAAAACACACAGAGACCAGGTTCAGAGTTCAGATCTTAAACGTTCAATTTCAGTTTTGTTCGATAATATGTTGTTGTTGTTGTTGTTGTTGATGAACGGAAAACAAACGTAGGATTGTCCGAAATATTTCTTATGACGATGATGATGAAAAGGATCAGGATATATGTGTGTATGATGGTTATATCTATTTAACACTTGTGTCCAATTTTTTTTTCTTCTTCTTTCGAATTGTTATCGTTTATTTTTTTTTCGTCGTCTGATTAGATCAGTGTGATTGTTGTTGCTTTTGTTGAGAATTATTATCATTATAATAATAATAAACAATGACAATCATCTTGTTTTGCTGAGTATGTAATACCGAATTTTTTCTGATTCGAATCGAATTGGATGATGATGATGATGATGATGACAATTGTGCTAGTGATGATAATGATGAGATAATGATGATAATAATAATGTCTTTGTCCACATAAATATGATTGCAATCTTTTTTTTTAAGAAAAAAACAGATCAACAAAAAAAAATTTAAAATGGACCATACCTCGAATAGATTATATCCGGATGAATTTGTGTTTCGAATGGAAATGGTAAAAAAAATCATTTTTGGTTCGAATCATTTTGGAGATCAAAATAACCAATTCACAAATACAATGATCTACGTGTGTGTATGTATAGAATAATTTGCAACTGCGAAATAGGAAGTTTTATCGTTTCATAATCATTCACTAATCTTATTTTTTTTTTTAATTAAATTCATACTTTAGTTCAAATGATGATGATGCTATGTAGAAAACGCAACGCTACTGTTGTCGCTATATTAGCACTGTGACATTGTTCATACTGTGTATTGTAAGGTTCAAATGTTTTTCGTGTTTTCATTAATAAAATTCGCTTTATGCCATTCATCATTCAATATCTAGCGTGAAAAACATTTTGTGACCATGATTCAATCACCACAATAGAAATGATAATCATTTTTAGACGATAAGACCATGACAATGATGACAAAAAAAAATGTTTTGTCCACATTGTTGAAAAATGAATCTATCACTAAGCTCCATCGCAGTTATCAAGTGTCAAGTTTCCGATATTCATTATCACATACACACACACACACACAAAAACCTTTTGTTGCCTTTTTTTCGATAATGGTGTTAATGAATTTAACCCATTCATTCATTCATTCATTCGTTTTTTTTTGAATGTCACAAATGTCATGAATTTATCATATGGTGAAATCAAGTTGACAATTTCAAAAAATTTTTTTTCTTCCAAATCAAAACATCTTTCTTTTGTAGTAGTGGTCGATTGAACATTTCAATTGACCTCGGTAGCAAAAAAAAAAACGGAAATACCAAATCCCAATGGAATGAATGAATGAATGAATGAGAATTCATCATTCATTCATCATCAATAATAATTTTGGATATTCGATTCAAAAACTTGTTATTATACAGGATTGGAGAAAACAAAAATATATGTTTTCATTTTCATTTTCCCGTCTCAGTTTTTTTTGCCGTATTTTGAAAAAGAAAACAAATCCACATCATGTAAAATATCCGTAATCATAACAATGATGATTATGGGTTGTTTTTTTTCTTTCAATTTTGTTTCGATTCAATAATCCATCATTCTTTATAAAATTTGATTTCAATTATTGATGATGATGATGATACAATCAAATCGAATCAAATAAAACACTATACGGAAGGAAATTCGAATTCGAATCTATTATATATGTAAAGAAAAAAAAATAACTTGCTCAAATTATCTCCCATTCACAGATGTGATGATGATGAAGCAAATCGAATGATAATGATGTGTGTGTGTGTGCATGTGTATTCGAATCTTTTTCTTATTATCATTCGTAGATCGATTCACATCTCATCGGATATTTTTTTTTTTTTTTGGTTTCATATTACCGGATATCTTTTAACCTGATGTTGCTGCTGCTGCTGCTGCTGTATTGTGGAAATAATACCCGTAATCATAATAATCATATAATATAATTAACGAATTTGAATCAAATTTGTTAAAAAAAAGGCCATCAGGTCATCCAGATGTTTCTCACAACATATCATATTTATGATCATCATTTGTTTGTGTCTGTGAGTTTTTGTGTTTGTCGAATATTATGGATCAATTTTATTCATCATCGTCATCGTCATCATTTTTTTTTCTATTGAATTTTGTTGTTTAAATAATGTGTGAAAAAAAATAATCATTTATCGTGTATGTGAAAATTGTCACGTTTACGAAAATGAAAATGAAAATGAAATGGACAAAAAAATTTCAATATTTTTTTTTTAGCTGCTGTCTGTCTGAAAATTGTAGATTGGGTTATCATTTTCAAAGAAAAAGATTAAAATTCCGAAAAAGAAATAAAAGAAATATATTCGATTCATGATGATCATGAATGACGATGATGTAATCAAATTGTTTATGCAAATTTCTTCTTCCATTTCATTATTTACTTGTTAAATTTTTTTTTTCGTTTGTGACCTTTTTTTTCTCCCCCTCCTACATTTGTTTGTTAATGTTTTCATTCCATATATTAATTTCTCTTTTGTCCATATGTTTATTATAGGTGATTACAATGAAAAAAAAATTGACCACTACTACCCTAGTAATATAACCAATAACAAATGAATCCAAGATAAAAATTGAAAAAGAATAAAACCATCATCATCAATCATAATCCAATGTGAAAAGGAGAAGAAAATCGTTTAGATCGGTATGGTATTCATCATTAAATTCAGTAATCATCATCATCATCATCATGATCTAATTGGATCGACAATTTTCAAATATCACACACATATAAATCCACAAATAAATAATAACATGACATGTTGTAACTACCGGAAATTGATGATGAAAACACACAGACACATGCATACACATTCATTCAAGATGATAATAATGATTGGTCTGGCAACGACCACTACAGTATATAATAATACAAGTCTTACTGTCATAATCGATTCGTTGCCATCATCATTTGCATCATCAATAGATACATCAGACCAGAAGCGAGGAAGTAAATATTCTTTCTTCCTTCATTTTTTTTGGCCTAAAATACACCTTACCATCATCATCGTAATCATCACATCAACCGGCTTCAAAATTATCGCCTTTATTCGGTATCAAATTTTGTTTTTTTGTTGATCCATTTCCAGCATTATCATAACATTATCATCATTGTATAAAGCATCAGCCGCCCATCACATCATCATCATCATCATCATCATAATCAACATACGATAACAATGATAAGTTTGGATTTTTTTTTCATTTTCTTCTTCGTTTCATTTTATAATGAAGAAAAAAAAATTAAAATGAAAATGAAAACAATAGAGGAAATCGAATGATGATGATCACCATCATCATGATGAATGAATGGATGAATGTATGTACGGATGCCATATTACCACCGACAGATGTGTGAACTCTGTAATCAACAAACACACACGCACACGGCATTATTATAAGGACAATTTTTATTTCACTGTTATCATCAGCATCATCATCATCATCGATGATGATCATTTTAATTTATATTCTTGTTGATTGAAATTATCTTATTTTTTCCTTTTGATTATATGTAGTTAGTTATTATTGAATGTCATAATAATGAATTGAATTTCCGTGAATGATGAATTTTTTTTCTGTTTTGTTTTCCTGGCCAAATATTAGAATATAGTGATCATTATCATCATCAATTGGATCAACCCAACCGCTTATTGTTATTGAAATGATCGTATACATTGTATTCAATATTTTCGATCTATTTAGATGATAATTTTATCACTTTATTACTCATATATCATATCTATATATTGAAATGTAAAAAAATTTGACAAATTTTTCCATTTAAGATCAATGAATGAATGAATGAATGAATGAAAAAACATATAAACATTGTCAATTGAACAAATAACAACCTGTTGTGAAGAAAAAAAAATTCATTATAATTTGTCGATCAAACAAATGAACATATGAATGAAAAAAAAGGTTATGTTCTTGACCTTGTTCTTCTTTTTTTGAGATCGTGTCATGTTCATCATCATCGTCGTCACACCAATCAATCAATCATAATCATAATCATCATAATTATTATTATCGTGTAGTGAATTATATAAAATGTTTAGATTATAGATGAAATTTTGTTTTTTTTCCTTTCTACAAATTCGAATATAATTTGTCATCATCATCATCATCATCATCAACAATGACAATCAAATCCTTTATGATCAATCGATCCCTAAAAAAATTGATATTTACGCGAAAAAAAATTCACATTTGATACGAATCAATAAATAAAATAAAAAATTTTCTTTTTTAGGTGAGAATTTAAATTTATAGCTTTGACCTTTCTCATCATTATCATCATCATCATCATCATCATCGAAAGAATCAAATAAATTTCCATCAAAATATTTTTCTTCTTCTGTTGTTGTTAGATTTGAATTTGATTTTTCAAAAAAAAAAAAAAAATTTCATTTTCATTTCAGGACAAACGGTGTCGAATTCGAATGCACTTTGTATTTAAATTTGAATTTTTTTTTCTTCTCCACTTTAAATCAGTTTTGTACAAGTGAACAGAAAGAAAAAAAAATTGTGAATGATGGATTTGTGGCTGAAATTTTTTTTCTCTCGTTTTTCTATTCATTCTATTCGTATGTAATGGAAAAACTAAACGGAAATTCAATGAATTGAAGAAAAAAAATTCAGAAAAAAAAGAGTGATAGTGAAAAATACCATACAAACAAAACTTTTTGATTTTTTTTATAATCTTTTTTGGAACAATGTGATGGTTCCTTATAGTGGGAAGGATGGATGATGATTACAATTAATACATTTTTTTTCTATATGTGTGTGTGTGTGATGATCATGACCATCGGATTGAATAAATAGTTGATAAATGATGACAACGAAAACAGACAACTGAAAACACTGTGCAGCAAACATCTGAATAAAAAGAGATAATAAATGTTTACGATGACAAACGAAAATCAACATACCATATAATCGAATTGTGAATGATGATGATGATGATTATATAAGAATGGTGACCATATTTTTTTTTGCAGGAACAACGATGATGAAGAAAAAAAATTCAATTAAATTTCTTTTTTTTTTGTTCTTTTTTTCTAAGGTTCTTCATAAGGTGTATACCGGGGGGGGAAGGGACATCGTATTTAATGTTTGACATGTCGATAATGACGATAATGACGACCTGAATGAATCGACCTGGACACACACATACACACAATCATTCTCAATAACCACAATTTTTTTTTCTTTGAAAATTTCAACTGATTGATTGATTGATTATGACCGTGTGCCATCATCATTTTTGAAATTTTTTTTTTTTTTTGCTGTTGATGTGTGTATGATGACTTTTGAGAAAATTCCATAAGGGAGAAAAAATCTGGAACAAATCTCTTTTCGTTTTTTTTTACTTCTGTTTCGGCTAGAACAGTCCATTGGTCAATTATTTTTCTTCCATTCACATTTATTACAAATATTTTCATGATGGTGTGATTTGATGATGATGATGATGATGATGATGATCGTATCATTCAAATTTTTTTAATGAAAATTCGCTACATATTTGTATGACTGGTGGTGATGAGAAAAAAAATTCTTTCAACGATTCCTATTATCGATTAATGATAAGAACTAGTTATTAATCCAAACCCGATTATCATCAATGGATTATGTTTATTGCGAAAAAATCCCAACCAATCCTAAAAAAAATTCCAATAATAATGTTTATGCACCGGATATTTGATCAATTTGATTGTCATCGCTTGTTTGCACCATAACAATGAAAATAAGATGCTATATCATCTGGAAAATAAAATTCAAAAATATAAAACAAAAAAAACAAAATGAAAATTTGAATGATTGATTACAAATGGGAAATCAACATACAACAACAACAACATTGAAATCTTTTTTTGTTGCTGTTGTTGTTTCATATTCATTGAATGGCAATGGCAATACTTCCTCTACCATTGATTATCATTATCATTTCAATGATAATGATGATGATGATGATAACAGCGAAGATCAAGAAAAAATTCATTTTTCTTTTCTTTTTCGTTCTTGAAACATATTCACATCATTCACAGAAGCAAATCTTTATATTTTATCAACAAATTGTTTTGTACCACAAATATTTTTGAATACAATACATGTGGCTTGCGCCCAAAGCTTTTCATTGTTTTTTTCTTTTTTTTTTTTTGAATATTTTTTCATATTTGTAATCTTCATCGATCATCATATTATTATTATTATTTGAAAGGTTGGTCTGATTATTGATGATATTTCCGGCTATAATCATTCAACAACAACAACAACAAAAAATAATAAAATAAAGGTTGGCCATCAACCATTTGGCAGCAGCAGCAGTTTTTATCGACACCATTATTAACATCTTGACTGATAGATGGACTTGATCATATCAAATCAACATAGATGGCAAGCAATGAATGAGAGCAAAAATAAAAAATGGACATCATCATAATCATAATCATCACTGATATCATATACATATCATCACATATATCAAATCACATAACTTTTTGTTGTTGATTCCGGTTTTGATCATTGAAAAGAAGAAAAGGAATGATTTCAAAGATACACACAAACACACGCACACACACACATACACAATACAATAAATCAATGGATCAATTGTTCACCACTTATCATCATCATCATCATCATCATATATATGGATGGTTTGAGCATCATATTGGATCCATCTTCAATATATTGTTATTATTATCAATTATTTGGAATGATCAAACGGATGGATCGGATCGAATAAACATTGACGGGAATTGATCACGATCAATAGGTTTGTGAAATGAACTGAATTGGCGGGACAATGTCCTCTATTTTTTTTTCGTTTCCTTTTGCTTTCACTTTTGTTGTTGTTGTTGTTTGTTGGCAGCCAGTGGTCATGGTGGTTTTTTTTTTGATGTAACGGATCAAATCGGATTGTATTGATGAACCTGGGCTGCCATCAACATCGGGCCAACAATAATTTATTTTCATTTCGTTTGTCGATGACAATGATGATCGCAATCTTGACCCGTATTTATCTAAGTGTGTTTTTTTTTATTATTTCAAATCATCAGGTTCACGATAATCGAGTGAAAAAAAATTGAAAAGTGGGGGAAGAAATGATGGGAAAAATAAAATATGCTACTACGATACTATCGGATATGTTCAATCGATTGTTTTGTCCGATGAAGATGGTATTTGGCCATTTGGCCATTGGCATTGATTGATTAATCAAAATTATTGATGATGATCTTCCTTATTCTCTTCTATTTAATTCGATTCATTCATTCATTGAAATGGAAATGAATTGTTATTATTGAAATGACCGCGCTATTATGATTTTAAAATGAAAATCATAAAAATCATCATTTATAAATCAATTGGTTAGACGGGTTTATCAAATCAAAAAATTTATATTTCAAATTTCCATTCGAAATCGTTATGTTTTCGTTGAAGTAATAATGAATCAGAATTTTTTTTTACGGTCAAAGATTTGTTTTTGGTTGTAACCATTGTCCATCCTGTTAACTTTCAATGATCTTCTTCAGCACTTGTCAACAATGGATTTATGTTTAGATTTCGCCGGATATTAATGCTTATATTCACGTATACGTGGAAATCATTCGATTCATATGTGTGGTTCACTCTAGTGGCCAATATCCAAGTCACTCTAATTGGAAACATTTGTTTAGTTCATATAAACATCGTTAGATGGCGAGCATGAAAGTGTTTGGTTTTTTTTCGTAATTTAATAATTTTCATTCATTCATAAATGAAAACAGATATTTTGACAATAATAACAAACATTAAAATAGATTACACTAATGATTAGATATTTGATAAACATCATGATTATTATGATTGATATTCGAAAATTGAAATTATTTTTCAAGCCATTATTGTCAAAATATTGATAATATGGTCTATTCGTTGATGATTGATTCGTGAAAACTTTTTCATTTGTTTGATTTGTTGTTTGGGTTTTCGTTTCGATTGTGGTGAAAAAATCCTCATCTAATGGTAATGGCCAAATCGGTGGTTTCATACAGATGATAAAATCATCTAATGAACGTCTTCTATAAATGGGAAATTTTCGTTGAAAAGAAATGACTAAACGTTTTTCCACGGCTAAAACATATCGATTATATGATGATATAAGATATAATGTTTCATTTATATTGAAACCGAATACAATATCATGTAAAAAATTTACTGGTGGTTCACAATCAGCCATTAATTGTTGATTATTTGGTATCATATAAAAATCTTGATCATCATTAATACATAATATACCATAAATTTCTTTCAACAAATAATTATCGAATACAACGACCGTTGGTGCTGGTTGTGTAGCGACGAAAATCTGGTAGAATTTTCCATCAATCGATAGGCTTATTATTTGTGTATTAATTTCATCACTAAGTGAATCGGTATTTAGACTAAAATTTTTATATTCATGTTCAATTTCAAATTTTTCATTACGATTATCTGGATAACCGGTGGCTAAAAAACGATTATATGTATTAATTAATTGGATTCGAATAGTTTTATTTACATTCGATCCCGATGTTATTGTTGTTTCATAAAGATCAATCAATGCAATCCAATAACTTAGTATTAATTTGGATTGATCATTTGGTGGCGATAAGAATGCAAGAGAAATTTCACCCATTGAAGTTGTTTCATTCAATTCATATGGCCAATGCTTCATTAATTCACTATCATATAGATATGATCTCATATCGATAAATTTTTCATCAAATAAATAAAGACGATGATTATCATGATCATAATGTTTTTCATTAAATTGATCATAAATAGCTACAATATGATCAGAATAATAGATCCATAATTGTTCATGTATAATAGCCATCGATGTGATTGTCGAAATAGTTGCTCGTAATGTTCGAAATGAACATGTTCGATTCATGTCATTCAAATATTCAAGATTTTTATATGGTGATGATGTTTCAAGGCTATTAATTATCATCACATGATTGTTTATCGATATCAACCAGACATAGATATTAAATAATGTTGAAATTGTTGACATTTTTTTTCTGTTTGTTTTAATCGACAAATTCATTTAAAAAAACAGCCGTTTTTATATTAATGGTATGAAAATTTCAAATTATTGAATTAATTGATTTTTTTTATTGTTATTCAGTTTTTTGACGACGACGGCAACAACATCGACAACAAATATTTATATGACGAAAACATTTAATAATCAATATGAGGATGAAATATTTTCCGATCATGAATATTATTATTCTTGATGCATAGATATGTAAACGGATTTGTTTCAAAAATGTTGGCACCTTTAAACGATACGGTATGAATGGATTAATTCCGGTTCGTGGATTAATTGGTGGCCATTCCTTTGATGTTGGTCGTCGACATTTGAATAGTTGTTGAATCGATCCATTATATTGAACGGTAAATTCTCTTTCCAATGTTTGAAATAAATATTTATCCATAGCAAAATAATATTTAAGTTTCATTGAGACAAAATATAGATATTGACCGATTGTAAAACCGAAACCAATTGATTTGAATATTTCAAATGGTGGCTGACATTCTTTTCGCCATTTTCCCACAAGAAACAATGTTGGTTGTTTTTCTTTGGATTGACCACTACAAAGTAAACCGATTATCGTTAAATTGCGATATAATGTCATCGCATATATGGCAACATGTGGCCGCTCCACATTATACGATAGGATCATTTGTACATATTGTTCATCAAATGAAATACTTATTATGGATAATTGAGCCGTTTCATTATTTGAATTACTTAATAGTTCACCCATCGGTTGTATACGATAATAATAATTAAATCGACTAATCTGTGGTTCTGATTCGATCATGTCGAATGTAATGTATGTATTGTTACCTTCAATTTCGGGTGCTAATATATGATATCGTAAGGTAAGATTAAATAATGGACCGCTCTTATATATTGTCATCGTTACATTTCTTTCGTTAGGCATCGAAATTATTGATGAATTTTTCTGCTTTACATTCAACGTTTCGATAAATGGCCATAACAATTTCAACCAATGATTCAATTGTTGCCGAAATGTCAATAAATTTTCATTATATAAATATAATATAGATTTATATGGATCGTAATGACGATCCAATACATTACGATAAACAATGATGATATGATCAATACGATATATCCAAAGATCACCATAAATTATTGCCATTGATAATATTTTTGATATGAAATGTTTCTTACCCTTATCATCATCATCCATAATACAGGAATAATTTGAATTATGGAAATAATCTGAACGTTCAATATAATTATTACTAGAGTACGGAACATCGGAAGTGAATGGAATCGATTCAAATGTTATGATCACCATACACATCATCGTTATCATCACTATAGCCATCGATGGCGTTATCATCATCATAATGATGAAAAAAAATCCGGAAATTTTTCTACTTTTTTTTCTAAATCGAACACAATGGTAATGTCGAATTTTGATTTAAATAAAATTCTAATTATCATTGTTTTTTTTTGTTTCATTTATTATTTATATGATTAATTTGATTATTAACATCCAAAATTTGGCCACTTTTGTGTTTAAATTATTATATGGTTCTACTGCAAAATAGACAAACATGAAAATAGTCAGAAGCGGATCATCGGTCAACAACCATAACTGTTGTTTGTGATGTGTGGGTGTGTTCTCCAAATTGACCATTTAGAATTTCGAATGAATTATCACCCATTATGATGATGATCCATGATAGCCATGATATATAGTGGCCATTGTTATCATAATTATTTTATGAAAAAAAACAAAGTTGCTTCCGTGCTTTTTTCTCTTCAAAACACAATCTACGTTTGAAAAGAACCTGTGTCACTTGTGTCAACGGGTGTGGTGATGATGATTCAAATGATCAATATATGTGCATATCAAATCGATATGAATCTGAATTGAAGAAAAAAAATGTCTCATTCTATATGCTTCAATTTTGTAATTTTTTTTCATCATCATCATCATCTAACAACAAAAACAAAATAATATCATCAGATAATCGACATTTGATGGTGCGAATCAAGAAAAAAATATCAACAACAATGATGAATGAAATGAAATGAATGAGCTTCCATATTTTTTTTTATTTTTTTTCAGTTTTCAGTTTTTGTTTCTGTTTGAATCTGAAACCGAAAACTTCCTGAAAAAATAAAAAAAGCTCATCCATGTGTGTGTGTGTGTACAGATGACTGACTTTTAAATACCATTGAACAATTGATAATGATGATGATTGTTATGGTTGATGTGGAAATACAATTGAACACACCACACACACACACACACACACACATACCGGCATTAATAGATGGGTGTGTGTGAATAAATGAATAGTGGGATGATGATGATGATGATGATAATGACAATAAATGATCGCACCATGATCACATCATTATCAGGAAGAAGAAGAAACTTTGATTATGATGATGATGATGATGATGATGATGAGAACTAATAGTGTGTTCCGGATGAGACAAATCTAAAATTTTTGTTTTCTGAGGAAAGTTTATTCATTTTTTTAAAAAATTTTATTTACAAACTTCTGTAGTAATATGATTCGAAATTAAATATAGTATGTATGTATGTATGTGGTAAGAGTATAGCGGAACACGATGGAAAAGGTTTTTTTTTACTCTTCTTCTTCCACTTGTTGCTTATAATAAATAAATTAATAATAAACGGAGACGAGAAAAAAAATGTGTGATATTGGTTAGTGGCTAAAGCATGTGAATGGAGTGAGTGAAAAAAATGATTATGATGACGATGATCCATTTCCTTTGATGATTAATTGATTGATTTATATAGCGCATATATCGATTTACCAAATTGATTTGATGAATGATGCCAACCAATGAGTAGGAGAGAAGTTGGAAAAAAAATCATGAATTATAAAACATGAGAATGAATGAGCGTTTTGAAGTGTGGATTTTTTTTTGTTGATAAATTAATTCATCATTTGACGAATGATCGATGGGTGGATATTTGTAAATTGAAGGTTGTGGGTGATAATTCTTGCGCTTCTTATGTGTACTTTTGTTTTTTTTTTGGCTTTTTGTTAATTGGCTTAGTGGATTGTTTTTCGGTTGATTTATTAGGTCAGATTTTTTTTGGGTTTGAAAAATGTTTAAGATGTTTAATAAGAACCGCCACCACCACCACCACCACTACTATAACCTGTAAAAAGAAACATTTCTAATGAATATTTTCAAATATTCGTAGCAATTCTTACCACCACCACCACCGCCGCCCATGCTGTATCCACCACCACCACCGCCGGAAGAGCCGCCATAACCGCCACTTCCGCCGCCACCACCACCACTATAACCTGTAAAGATAAACATTTCTAATGAATATTTTCGAATATTCGTAGATATTCTTACCACCACCACCACCTCCAGAAGAGCCACCATAACCACCACCACCGCCAGAAGAGCCACCATAACCACCACCACCACCGGACGAGCCGCCATAACCACCACCGCCGCCGGAAGAGCCACCATAACCACCGCCGCCGCCGCCGCCACCACCACCGCCATAACCTCCTCCTTGACCTTGACTGACGATAGTTTTGACTTCCTCTTTGGCAGGTCGAACTTCTTGCACGACTTTTCGGTATGGAATGATGATTTCTCGTACTTCCTGTTTTTTGGAACAAATAGATTATCAATATGATGAATTGAATCAATCAATTGTATATATCAACGAACCTGAATAATTGGTTTTTTAACTTCGTGGATCAATCGTTGTGGTTCTTCTTCAGACTGAGTATATTCAGGTTCATTTCCGTAACCACCCATATTTGATTGCATGATTTGGATTTTACCTCCAGCTGATTTGAAATGCAATTTCAATGGAGCTGAACCTCCATCGAATTCGACGATACGTGGGGTACCTTGGCTAACTTGAATTGGCACTGGTCGAACTTCGAAAGTTTGACGTGATTGGATGGCACCTTTGATGACTTGTGGACCACCGCCGCCGCCACCACCACCACCACCCATACCACCACCACCACCACCACCATAACCACCACCACCACCACCACCACCACCTTTATTAATAAGTAAAGTTTTAATACTGGATATAAATGGTATAAATTTTGCTCTATTACCATATCCACCACCGCCCATTCCATAGCCGCCGCCGCCGCCACCCATGCCTCCTCCACCGTATCCACCACCACCCCCTTTATTATTAAGTAAAGTTTTAATACCGGTTAGAAATGGTATAAATTTAGCTCTATTTGTATTAAAATTACCACCACCACCGCTGTATCCACCGCCACCACCGCTCATCCCATATCCGGCCGAGCTAACCATCATGACGGCACCCCCACCGCCACCGCCATAACCACCCCCTTGAAGAGAAACAAAAAAAAATTATTCTATCGAATGGTGACAGAAAATTACTTTGACTTACCACCACCACCACCACCGTAAGCGAAACAAATAGCCACTAATGTGGATGATATCACAGCGAACTTTTATTTCCAAAGATTAATAATTAATGATGATATCGATGATGATGATGGACCGGAAATTCATTTGAAAATAGCAAAACAAAAAAATGAAAATGAATTTTTTTTTATGAAAAAAAACATAAACCATCATCACAATACAATACAATTACATACTCGCAACATTTTTTCTGAGTAGGAAATGATCCGATTCGATTCAAATTTCCAATGATGATTATCACCGAATTTCACAGAAAACACACTTGGAACACAATTTGAAATTTTCTAAAACGTTTCAAATACAACAAACATAAATGAATGAACGAATGAATGAATGGATGATCATGTTCGGGTTTATATATCATTGGCTCATTTGTTTCGAAATTTTGAAACATTTTTTTTCATATTTATTATGGAAAAAGAGAAAACAGTAGAACAGGTCAAGAGTCATACATGAGATGTTTTTTTTGTTATGTCATCAAGAGAGAGAGAATCAAAAAAAAAAAATTTGGAACCATTAATGTTAGTGAGTGGAAATTGAGAGAACATTTTTAATAGTCGGGCCCATTTTTTTTTCTTTTTCTCGTTCATCCATCTTGAAACATTATTTGACTTCGGTTATTCAATTCAAATATGAATAAAATAGTGTGACATTCATTGCAATTTTTCATTTTCATTTTAATCTAAATTGAATTTGAATGTATGAATGAATGAATGAATGAATAACGGCTAATAGAGAGAATGAAAAGAATGATTGATTCAACTTTTCATATTCAATAAGGCCTAAGGTCAAGTTGTTGGCAATATAATTTTGAAATTAACATAACCCTTTCTTTCTTTTTGTTGTTGTTGATCGATAATCGAATGCGGAACAATGTTATCGGTATTGATTTGAATGTTTTATTATAATTAAAGATTTTTTTTTAATTTTTTTCTTTTATCATTATTTAATAGAAATCTTTTATAAATCAAATTAATTGATATAATGGTTTCCAATGAAAGAAAACAAAACAAAACAAAAAAAAAAATTGTTACTTCGTCAATGATGGTCAACATTTTTCATCGTTGTTACCATGGCCTTTTCTCTTCATTGATTTATTACCAAACGATGTTTTAGATGAATAATAATCATCATCATCATTTTCAAGTATAATTCATTCATATTCATGCATTCGACCTCGAATTTTTTTTTTCTTCTTCTAATATTCATTTTCATCCCACAACAGCAACAACAACAGAAATCTATTAGCTCAATTAGGTCCCACACAGTATTGTTGTCATCATGAATTTTTTTTTTTGCTGTTGTTGTTCATGGATCGTTATTATAAGGATAATATATTACCATTGCGTATTTTTTTTCTATTTTTTTTCATTTGTTTATTTGTTTTTTTTTTTGTTTCTTAAAGTTCCAAATTAGGTCCCAGTTGAAATTGATGTAACTATGCACGTGTGTGTGTGTGTGTGTGTATGTGTGTGTTTCAAAAATATTTTATCATTGCAATATCTTGCTGTAATCATATAATGATAAGATGATGATAATTGTAAAAAGATGACCGTTTTCCATCATTGAATCTTTTTTTCATAATCATTATGATGATGATGATGATGATGATAATCACATTGATCTTTTTTTGAAATTATTTTTAATTAGTAACTACAAGTGGTATTTGGACATATAGTTATAGATAAATGACCATAAAATTATAATCATCATCAGTTTTTTTCTCCTAATTTATCTGGAATATCGATCTGATCAAGATAACGTATTAATGGTGATGATGATGATGATGATGATGATGATGATGAACTGATAACGAAATTTTTTTTCTTTCACCTTTTTTTATAATTTCCTTGTTCAAAAAGTGTTTTTTTTTTTTTGCTAATTTTCTTTATAACCCTCTCTTTTTTTTCAGTGAAAAAGAGAGGGTTGAAATTATCAAGTTTTTTTTTCTTAAAAAAAAATTTGGATTCCCTCGTTGTTGAGAAATGTTTACAATTTTAAAAATAAAAAGTTAAATTCGGAAAAAAATCATAAAATTGAAAGTAAAATTTGAATTTTTGAAACAAACAAACAAACGAACGAACGAACGAAAAAAACTAATCATTTGAGAATGATGTGTGTGTGTGTGTGTGTGCATTTTGTATTGGAGCAATCATCATCATCATCATTTAAATGCGAAACGATGTGATCCAAAATGGAAATTTGGCACTCGATAAAATATCTGTGCAATATATAACGATTTAAATTTTTTATATTTTTCTTATTATGCACTGTTTCTAAAAAATGAACTGAAAAAAAATTGTCCAAATAAAACGAACATATGAAATGAAATGATGATGATGATGATGGCTTGTGTGGTTATATGGAGAAGAAAAAAACTAAACCATCATACACATACATCTTGTCTGGCCGCCATCGTTGATGATGATGATGATGCTTTAAAAATTGATACGATGAAAAAATTTTCAACAATTTTCAAGCGAAAGATAAATAAAGTGAGTGCAAAAAATAAAAAAATAAAATAAATTTCTCAACACCAACAAAATAATAAAAAAAAACACCCTGAAACCAATATTAAAACAGAAAACAGACTATTTTAACCTTTAGGGTGCTTTTCCACCTCCTTTTTCTTTTTCTTATCTGTTTTGGATGTTACATGCTTATTATTGATGATGATAACAAGAAAAACATTGTTCCGGAGACGAATGATGATGATGATGATGATGATGATTGTGATGTTGATGACATCGATGCCGTTGAATGAATGAATGAATGAATTCAATGGATGAACCTTCTTAATCAAAAATGATTTTTTCTTTTTTTGTCAAAATCAACGGAAGCCAGACCAATTTTTCTACAACTTTTTTACTTCAAAAGAAAGAAAGAGAGAGAGAGAGAGAGAAAGTCATTATTGTTTAAATGGGTAAATGAATGAAGATATTATTATTTCCGAGTTTTTTTTCCTTTCATCATGAATAGATCGTTGCTTTTTTTTTGTTTGTTTCTCCTTTAAAATCTATTTAATCATAATCGATTAATCGGGTTTTAACCTCGATTCCGAAATGTGTAAAAGAAAATGCGAATGAATTTCAATCAAATATCTATGATTAGATATCAAAAAAAAACAAACAAAAAAAATTAAATTTAAATTTTATAAAAAAAAAAAAAAATTATGACTAGCCACTAAAGCTACATAAAAAAAATTCACCTTTTATAATGACTGAAAATTTTTATGATTTTTTTTCTCACATTTTTATTTTTTTTATTGCCTGATATGTAATACACGTGTTATTATCATCATGATAAATAATAATTAGCATATATAAAAAACATTGATGAATGAAAAATGACCACATAGACACAAATTTAAATAATAATTTGATCGATTTTTTTTCAAAAAAAAAAAATGAATAATCTAGGAAATAAAATTCAAGTAAAATTTTAAAGGACATCATATCATTATGGTCTGATGACATATCGTGTCGTGTCGATTGATTTTTATTTTCTTTTGAAGGTCATCATCATCATCATTTTCAAAATCTTCCAAATCCATACTCCAAATGAAGATGAATTAATTAATTAATCAATTAATTAAAAAGAAATTTATGTCAATTATTAATAATGAGCAGAAAAATATTCAAAAAAAATTTACTATCACGATCACGATTGAATGAGATTAACATATATCTCATTTACATTGGTTATATTACCATTATTTTTTTTTTACTGGGCAGAGGGAGAATCAATTACTAATTAATTGTAGCAATAATGAATTACATCATCACATAATATTATCGGACATTGCCAATTGATCGACTGGGCAATAGCATTATTTAAGATGTGAATAATGATAATAATGGTCATTTGTTGTTGTTGGCTAAAATTTATTCATTTTTTTGTGTGTGTGTGTGTTTGCGGCAGCCACCTGTTCACATCGAAAAAATTGATTCGATCCTTAATATGATAGTATGATTGATATCAAGGTGTTCGATTTGATAGGTGATGGCCATTTGTGATAATCAGGCCAAAAGAAACAAAAAAAAAATGATCCGCCAATTTATGTGGAAATTTATTTGAAAATGAGATGAAATAAAATAGATGTGCCAGAAAAATGGTCGCAAATTTGAAAATGGAAAATAATTAACTTGTTTTGACGTATTCACAGAATTCTTTTCCAATAACTGACGAGTCTTTAGCCTGTGGTGGTAGTTGCAATATGATATTATCTTTTTTTTTGTTGCGTTGTTAATTTGATTTAATGATGATGATTTCTCAAAATCAACAACAACAAAGTTCAATCGGGTCGATTGATAATGATGGAACAAATTTAAAATTTAAATTTAAATAAATTAAAAAGAATCTTGATATTAGCCATGTCTATATGATAATGATGAACTTGTCTGATGATGAATTTATTTAAATTTTTTGTGTCACGACTTTTCTTTTCTCCAGGGTAGTAAAATTCTCTCAAATAAAAAGCTGATGATAATCAGACAAAAACAGACAAAAAAACAATTCCGTTGAATTCATTTATCGATTAATGTTACATGGATACACAACAATTTGATGATGAATGAATATTGACGTGATAGCCGCTAGTGATAATCGGATATATATGGTAAGGAAATGAATTTTATCAAATGATTTTTTTTGTCGTCTTTCTTCATCGATACATTTGATTAATGAAAATGAAATGAATTTTTACTTCGTTTTTATTTTGTTTCACGCAAAGATCAATGATGATCAATTATAATAAGGAATACCATGGTCAATGGAAAAAAAATAATTCGAATCGAAAGATATCGATAGTATCGTTTTGATGAAAAAAAAATGAAAACAAGGAAATCTATCTCTATAGCGAAATGATTCAAAAAAAATTTTTTTAATCATGACCGTTTTCAATCAAAAATTGATTAAATTGATTCTCGCTTTTTTTTTGTACTGAATTAAAAACTTTTGCCTCCAACAATCATCAATTCAAATTGTCATGTTGTTATTGTCTCATCATCATCATCATCATCATCAGATCAAGATAAGATTGAGTGTTAATATGTGGAAAGAGAAAAAAATGATTATTTCACGCATATTTGATTCATTAATCAATTATTACCTTTAATTATAATGGTGGCGGTAGTTCGCCATAATAATGATGTTTTGTTGTTATTTGATCAGTTTAGATCGAAATCTATCTGATTGCTCGTATCAAATTGTGGCTAATCGAAGTTCAACAACAACAATAACAACAGTGGCACAATATACCAATGAAATGATGAATCAATTTAATTTCCTATATATCCAAATCGATTAATCCGATTTGAGAATTTGTTTTCTCTTTAAATAATAAAAATTGATCTATGATTTGAAAATTTCGAAACAAATAATCGCTATTGCCAAGTTATTGGCAATCCATAATCGCACACACACACACACACACACATTGATCATCATCATGTGGCTGACAAGATATTTTCGATTTCATCATCATGGTAAAAGATTAAAATTAAACAAAACAAAATCTAATCTGATCAGAGTTGTTTCGTTTTTTTTTCTCAGTAAAACACAAAACCAATGAATGATTTATTCTTTTTTTTTTGGTGAGAAAATATACAACATATATATGAGAAACGAATGATTCAAATAAGATATTTGTATATGTAGTATGTTTGTGATTTGATGTTGGATCATCTTTTTCATCAATTATAATAATCAAATTTATGGTCAGATTATCATCATCATTTATAATTATTTCATCTATGAAAAAAAAGAAATAGCAAGAAAAAATTGAAAAATTTCATCAACAAAAAAAAACAAAAAACGTGACATTCAAATTTTTTCCCACTTATCATTTCACATTCATTAATTCGTATAGATTTTTTGTTTTCATCTTTGTTGAGTTTTTTTTTCTTTATTTTGTTTGTTTCCAATCAATCAATCAATCGCAATGGCCTGGTATATTAGATTATTATGTAAATGATTCGCGAATGATATTCATCATCATATGATCACATACAATCGATGATGAAATGTTTTTTTTTCTATTGAGAATCCTTATCTAAAGATATCTTCTACAATCAACAGTCATCATCATCATCATCAATGGGTCATCGAATCAAATATGGCCCGAATTTTAAATTTAAATTTTTTTTTGTTTTCATTCAATTCAATTCAATCATTGATTATTATTATTATTATATGTACACAAACAGAATGAAACAAAACAAAAATTCATTAAACATTCAGCCACCATCATCATCATCATCAGTTGTAATATTAGCATTTAAATGGACATAGATATATCGAAATAAAAAAAAATCGAAAAACATCACCATTCATTCAATGATTGAATGATGATGACGAAGTAAAAAAAAAATGTTCAAATTTCTGATTTATACATCGATAATATGGCCAAATGATGATTATGATATAACGGGGGCATTTTTAGGCTTTTTATTTTTTTTCTTATTTCATAGATGATTGTTTTGTGTATGTGTGTGTATGTGATGGCGTCGATTATGATGATGATGATGATGATTCGATCGGCTGACCTTTTATGATGATGATAATGGCCATGATCATGATGAAGATGATCGATGATCGATTTATCATTTGATTCAATTGATAATATAAAAAAAAAATTTTTTTTTTGTTCATTTTTTTTCTTTGTTATTCAAAATGTTTTTGTTTCAATGTTGGAATCATATCATCAGACAGACATTATAAAGATTCAAATGAATCATGGAATGTCACACATACAAACAACGCAGAATGATGATTTGAATGTTGTTGATTGATGATGGATGATCGAATAATTTTTGATAGAAAAATTTCCATTCCTTGTTTATGTCATTTGTATATATTTTGCAAAAAACTAAGCAATTTTACCCGAATCGGATATATAACATTTTTTTTTGACCTTATGATCAAATGATAATCTTTATTTATGATCAATCGATCAAAAAATAAAAAATAACAGACAAACAAACAAACAAAAAAACGAATTGATAATATCTCAATCAAAATTGTTGAACTTTGTTTTTTGATCAGGTCAATCATTTGGAATCATTGTCATAATCATCATTATCTGCTGTAGTGTTTCACATCATATTTTTTCATTAATTTATTTACGTTCATTATCAAATGGCGAAAAAAAAGGAAATGGAAAAATTTCCAAGAATAATGTTGTCCTCCTACTGTCATCATCATCAACAACACATCTTGATGGTCATCACATTTGAAATGATTTATTATTTTTTTTTTGACCAAATAATGATGTGAAAGTGATGGCATATTGGTCATTTATGAATCATGACAAATTTGAATTTTTTTTTTAATACAAACAATTTGTGTTTGAATTTCCAAGTAGGTGATTTTAGCGGTTGATATGATAATATAATTATTATTAACTATAAATTATAACTGCAACTTTGTTACAAAATCAACGACAATTTGATTCGTGTATGTTCTCATTGATTTTTTTTTTTGATTCAATTATTATTATAAATTCGTCGTCTTGATATAAATGATACATTGAATGAACACACTCACCTCTCCCACACACACACACACACACACACACACACAACTGATTCACACAGCAAACAATTCGAATTGGAGAACGTGCTGTTATGCTATGATGTAGGCTTTATCATTAGATTTTATCATTATCATCACCGTGTGTAAAGTGTGGTGTCACGAACAACAACAACAACAAAGTCATCTGGATCATTTTTCATTGTGTACTTTTTGTTGTTGTTGTTGTTGTTTCTCTATTACAATATTTCTGTGTATGTGAATGAAATTGAAACTGAAAAAGTAGATTTGAAGAATTTCAAATAAACAATGACCATTATCTTTGTGTGTAGTTGATCATCATCATCAAATGCCATGGCCATCCTGACCCATCCTTAGTTTTTTTTCTCCATTATCATCATCATCATCGTCATCATCATTAAATAAATAAATTTAACATTTTTTTGCAACATTTTTTTTTGACGGCGTCACGCAATGACCGAATAATAGAAATAAATTAGATAATGAAAAAAAAAAAAAAATCCGAAACTATGTATAATGCTGTGCTATGCTATGTGTGTGTGTGAGTGAGTGCAACAAGTTTTTGTTTTCACAAGACTTGAAACAAACAACAACAACAACAACAACAACAACAAGGAAGAACGTGGGAAAGGAGAGGGGAAAATCTAAATCAAAATTATGTTGATCAACAACAATCAGAATCCGAACAAATGATGATGATGGTGAATTTGCCACACAAACACACGCGCACATAATAATAATAGTCATAATCAAATTTGATGATTTGATTCAACCTGTTGGAAAAAAATTGCCCGACTAATTATTGTTTTAATTTTTTTTTCGTATTTAGATAGTGAAAATAAAACAAAACAAAACAAAACAAAAAAAACGAATATAACCAATTTTGAATATCAAATTCGGTGATACAATTCAAGATCCATTTCATCAATCGATCAATAATGACCTTTTTTTTGAGAGAAAAATTATGAATAAATGTGGTCGGTGTGCTTGTTACAAATATATATATATCGAATACATTTCGATTAACGAAAACCATTCTCTTCACACACACACACACACACACATACAAATTAAAAGTACAAATGTACACGCGTACTTGGCCTTTTTCTCTTTGTTATTTTTTTGCTATTGTTTTTCATAATTTAAATCATCATCATTTTTTTCAACATTATATAATGTTGTAATTGTAGTCTACATTTTTTTTCTTACTTGATCCTCATCATCATCATCATCGTCATCATCATCATCAGTTGAATAACAAAGTGCCACCACAAATCATCAATGATGATGATGATGATGATGATGGTGATCCAGTTTCACATTTTGGATTTTGAACAAAAACTAAAAAAAAAAATCAAAAGTATTTGTTGATGAAAAAAAAACGTAATTGCAATTTTTGTTGTTGTTGTTGTTGTCGTTGTTTTTATTGTTATTATAATGATAATGATGTTTATTGTTGTTGTCGGTTGTTGTTGAAATGATAAATCACATTATTTCAAGAATGTATTAATGATAATGATGATGATGATGATTTCATTTCGAAAATTGTGATTGTTAATTCATCCATTCAGTCAACAATGAAACTTGAATAGTTAAAATTTAACAGGAATTATAATGATACCAGAATATTGAAATGATCAGATCAGATCAGAATGATGTAAAAGATTGTAAACAATCAATGATCAACAAATGATGATGATGTAAAAAAAAATTTAAATGTAATCATCATTATCAATTGACCTTTTGAATACTACTATTGATTTTTTGATCTCTGATCAAATAATAATCGATACATAATTGTTTATTTATTTATTTATTTTTTTTTCGAAAGCTTTTCTGTCTAAATAATCTGATTAACATAATGATGACAACCACGATGATGATGATGATGATGATACAAAGTTACAAAATACAAAATAAATTCAAAGATGATACTTTGTATTTTATAAACGTGAGTTGATTAAAATGATGAAAGAAAATACGTTATCTTTGTTTGTTTTTACACAATCTGTGGTAATAAATAATTGTAGTTGACATGTCATTTCAAAACCAAAACAAAACAAAACAAACAATTAAAATTAAATTTAAACTAATATACACTACTTCTAAACAGAGAAAAAATTAATTTTAAATTATAATTAATGAAAACGAACAAAACAAGGAATTATGACATAAAATTAGGCAACAAGTATTTTAATTAATTCAAATGGATAGATTCCAAAATTGAAACAATTTTTCAATAAAAATATTAACATTTGGATCTTGACTTAATCGTATTATTGTATTGGATGATTTAGCAGTTGTTGTTTGATTGTTATTAGTTGAATCGTTTGTCGTAGTGGTTGTCGTCAATCCATCATCGATTGTATTATCGATATTTGTTGTTGTTGTTATTGAATGACCATCATCATCGATAATCGATGTCGATTCAATAGAAAATGTGGTTGATGAAAAATTATTCATATCCATGCATTCTGAATCAAATGAATCGAAAACAATTTTTTCAATCATTTCAATCATTTCGGGTAATTTTTGTTTTGCCATTGAAACCAATGATGTAATCATTGAACTATTTTTTAATTTATGATAATCGATAAACAAATCGGTTATGATTCCATAAAGACGATCCAAACCAATCATTACATCTTGTCGTCGATTATCCGATGATAAATTATCCACTATTGATTCATCATCACCATCTTGATGATTCAGATTTAAATCAATCAACAATTGTCGTGCAATATCAGCATCACTTGATTGTAGATCGGCTAATGCTTCCAATAAATCATCACGATGTTTTCGTCGTATCAATTGTCGGATGTTTGGATATAATCGAACCAACATTGATCCCAAACTTTTATCGATTAGATCAACATCGATTTCAATTTCAATCGATTGTCGTGTAGCTTCTCTTGTAATGAAATCTTTAAGTATCGAAATTGTTGATACATTATCCGACGTCATTGTGATAACACCACGGCCACAATTACAAATCAATATTGATTTAGTCATTGTTGAAATATAATATAAAATTTCGGATTCAACATCGGATAATGTACGGGATAATTTTTCCGGTATTTCCGGTATACATAACCGTAACCATGTATGTGCATCGGCTAAACTAAATTGTCCGGTTATTGATAAACGATTTGGATGATCAATACTAGTATTGGAATATTGTCTTTTATGCAATGAAAGTGGCTGTATCTGATATGATCGTGCCTGACAGGATTTTGGTGTTATTCGCGATATAACATAAACGGATATTGTACCATGTTGTCCTTCAACAGGACGTAATCTTATCTCCAATCTACTTGTATTTGTTTGACAACGAAATGTAACCAATACTTGATCCGGATTAATATTGTAATCACCAAAACCACCAGCACCAATCATTTGATCATCATTAAAACTAATGACAGCTGAATTACGTTCACAATCGATAAGATCTAATGGTAGATCACAATGTAATACGACAACATCGATTGATACTTCAACCTCCAACATTAGAATATATGATGCATCTGAAAAATTTCATTTTTTTAAAAAAAAGAAAGAAAATTATCATCAGGAAAATAATCACTTAGAGCTTTACCATTATGGAGAACAAATGAATCATTGATGGCAAAAAATGGTAATACAGATAGATTACCATCATTTGTATTTATTTGTGTTTGATCAACATTATTCGTAGCACTAGCCATCGATGATGCCATAGCCGTATGTTTAGCATAATTTTTTCGTTCATTTTCCAATTGTTTCTCCATTCGTTTACATTCATCCTGTAATGATCGTATACGATCAGCATTCTCTTTACTAATCATAAGATAATTTGGATTCAATTGTTTTAATTGTTTTGTTTGTCCATGCTGTAATAAGCCGAATACCATTCCAGTGAATGTTGAACATAGAAGAAGAAGATCATTACGTTGACCAATTATTATTGGTAATAAATTTGTTATCGATTCACTACAATTATATGAATCAATCATTGTTGGTGTAGCAGTCAAATCAACCTGTTGTTCAACATCACCATCATGTATTGTTTCATTTAATCGCCAAATCTCGATGGTACCATCGGCACGACCAACATAGAATTCGGGTTGAATTTCCGAAAAACATAGACAAGTTATTGGTTGTCGAATACCCTCGACTGGTACTTCCCAATGATGAACAGGTTCTAATTGATCTTTACCTTGAAATTGAAATGTAACTAATGATATTTTACCATCCATTGTGCCATAACATAAATTTATATCATTATTATTGGATTTTTTCACCGATGAATTATCACTATTATTGATCATCATTTCAGCTTCAGCATAATCATAATCATTGATTAAATCATAATTATCTTTCGCTTTTGTTCGATTCGAGTCATTTGTTTTCATCGAATTTTCCGTTTGACGAGAATCCATATGCTGTTGTGGTACTAATCGTATTACTGATGGTATACCACAAACTTCTATTTCAAAATTACATTGTGAATCTTTCAATATACGTAATAGACGATCTTGACATGCTAAAATCGGTATAATTCGTCGATTAAAACGTTCTTCCATAAGAACAAAATCATTTATCTGTGCTGGACAAACATAATAATGTCTTGAACGAACAACAGAATTGTATGATGAATTTGATCCACCCGTACCACCACTGGCAACCAATTCTGTATTAACAAGATAACTATTATAAATATATTGTCCCAATACATGTATCTCATCCGGTTGTCGATGCATTTGAAACATTTTAATTGGTTCAGTTAGATTATTCAATTCAAGACCAAAAAATTGTTTGCCTTTTTTATTGAATCCTTTAATCATTGAAGGACCACAAACAATAAGTATTTTTGTTGAACCATTTTGTTTAAGACCAGAATAAGCATCGATACAATTAATTTTAGCATTTGGACCCGGTAATGTTTTGAATATAGTATCAGCTTGATTTTTATCCATATTTATACTGAAATAATGTAATGAACCAGAATGATCACCGATAGCCACTTCGAATAAATGTGGTGAAAGTTTTCGTATCAATTTCATTGCATTTCTAGATGTAAGACCAACTTGAATATAATCAAATCGTGTAAACGATGATGATGATGATGATAATGAATTCTGATTTGAATTCATTGTTGATGTTGGCATTATTTTTTTTTTCGAAGCAAATTTATTCAGCCGATCCAAAATCGTGAAACACGTAATAACAAACCAGCGATCATACACCAATGATCGCGTTACTATGGTTATGTTGGAAAGAATTTTGGTTTTGTTTGTTTTTTTTCGTCATCCGAAATAAATTTACGCATGACCATTTTTTTGAATTAGAAAAATATTTTTTTTTTATTTCTGATCATTATTCTGGACAAAAACGAAAATGGAGAGAGAGAGAGAAAAAAAAAATTCGGTGCAATTGCATTGTTTTGTTTACCAAATAAAATATATTGCCAAATAAATATGGACAAACAATGATGATGATGATGATCTATTGAAAAATTTTCAATGCAATAAAAATTAAGAATTGCAATCGGGTAGGATTATATTAGGATCAGAAATTATTATCACTTGTTAAACAGATGAGGGTTACAGAAATATACAAGATCGGAATTTAAAAACAAAATAAAAACACACAAAAATTACATATGGTGAGGGATATACAAATTGAATAAAAAAAAGTAAACAGAATTCACTAATTTATTGTTCCAGGATTCCAAAATCAAGATGAGAGCGAATGAATCAAAGTGGAATTATTATTGGTATCGTTTATGATTTGTACGTTATATTTTCGTCTATCCATTGTGTGTGTGTGTGTGTGTGGTTTTGTATTTTTTATCACTTAAATAAATAGATTTTTTCAAATAAAAAAAAATCATTCAATTCCAAATGTAGATGATTCTTCAACGGCTAATAATAGCTTTTCATAAAGGCTTTCGAATGATGTATATGGTGGTAGATCTAACCGGTTGAAACAAGTATGAGCCCTAAAAAGCGGTAGACAAAAAATCTCGTTGAATAAAATTAGCAAACAAAACAAAAAATGATAATCATACCTAGGTAGACTAGTTGGTTTACCAAGTTTTTCTATACAAAATTTTCGTGGTCCATTACTACCACGCAACGCAGCGAATCCTTCATATGGTATTGATGATGTACCAGTGACAAATTGTAACAATCGTAATCGTTGTTCATTATCGAATCGATGTTCAATGGCAGCCCAAAACCATTGTATAACTGGATGACTATCATGATAACCGGAACGATATTCAGTATTTTTACGCCAATCATTTACATCGATTTCGGCTGTACCGGCAATCACTAGTTCTAATTCTCTTGCATCAAAAACAGCTGTCAAACGTGGTTCGATAACTTCATTAAATCCTTTCAATAATGATTGACTTTGCTGGGCAACACCGCGTTCAACCCGCCATCGCACCATACGTTCAATATATTCTTTTTTATTTCGTTCAGTCACAGATATATTTTTTCCAGTTGGTTTCAATTCCTAATTTTTTGAAGAAAATTAAAGTAGAATAAGTTCATTTTACACTATAAAGACATTAAAATTACCTTTTCAACTATTTGTCCTGCAATCTCTTCGGTCACTGAAAATGTTAGATCTAATGCATCTTGCATTTCGGTTATATCATTTTCTTTAAGCCACATTAATGATTGATGAAAACCGGCATCCAAATATTCGAGATCAGATAGATCACATTCAGATTTGAGCAATGATTTATAAAATGGCCGTGTGAAAAATGCATCCAATAGGTATTGATGAATAAGTGCTAGGCCCAGCACACGACCAGCAAAACGAAACCATTCCTGATAATCATCTACGAATGCTGACATTGGTGAAATTTGTACAGTATATTGATCATTAGCAGAATATTCAAAAAGGCCATAATATGGATTGAATAGTTCACGTGAAAGTAAAAAGAAAAATTCACGTGATGGACCACCATAATCAAGACCTTCTTCACCAGTGAATGAAATGTATAGTCGTGATTTTTGTAGTTCTTTCTTTGTAGATATGGACATTATTTTGTTGAATGCATCTTCCAATAGATGATCGCGACGAACGATCAATTTCAACTTTGATGGTCCCTGTCCATAGCCATTTTTTTCTAATTTTCTATAAAAATGTCGTAGTTTTGTTTCAAAATCACGTTTATATGGGCCATGACTACTAGCAATTCGTGTGGTCGGTGCCGTTATTGGTATCAAAGAGAAACCACTCAAATTAGTCGAACTGGATGAATTTGTTGTTGTTCGATTATTGTTTGTGGAAGATGATGATGGTGGAACATAAGACATAATTTCATTTTCAAATAATGATAATAACATAATAAGATCCAGATCATTAGTGAAACGACGTAGTGCATCAACACCTTCTGTACGTATTGTCTGTATACGATCACGTAATGAACTATTATTTTTGATACTGGATCTTCGTTCTGAAAGAATGTCCCAGATATTTGGTTGTTGAAGAAAAGCGACTACTTTATCATTATACGATGTAGGTACTGATGCTTCATACGAAGCTAATGATTGTTCGGTTAATTGAGCGGGAATATTGAGTCCAGGTATAAACATAGATGATGATACAGTACCAGAACTTGTTCCATTAGTGGTAATAGCAGTGGAATTATTATTGGCCGATAAATGTGGTCGTGGGGGTGGAATCGGCGACATTCCAGCAGCAATCATCATATCAACTTGTGAATGTATACTGGCTGATGCCGGTGAATTAGTTCCTGGACGATTACCAGTACGTCTACGGATCGGTGCCATCGACACTGAATGTGGATTTATTTCCGGTAGATCAAGTGGTAATCGTGGATCAATATAAGTAGTCGAACGGGTACTATGATCAATGAAAAACATTTTATTCGAACGATCACGTTTTGATTCCCAACCTATTTTGAAAAATAAGGATAAAATTATTCTATAAATATAAAAAAGAATCAAATCTAACCTCGTGGAAGGGGTTTATCCGTATTGGCAAATTTATTAATCAACGAAACTAGATAACGATTATGTTGATAACGTTGAAATGATTCAGTGGATGGTGGTGATTTTTGTCCTTCACGACGAATTTTCGTTACCATATGTTTCAATGTTGTCGAACCATTATATTGTCCTAATGCATCATCATTTAGATGTAATACGTTAAAAAAATCGGATCGTAATAGAAAACGAAGTGCTGGTACATCAAGAATTCGATTTGCAGTCGATGATGATGATGGTGGTGGTGTTGGTGTAGGAGGTAATTCTTGTTGCTGTTGTGTTTGTAGAATATTCGTTGTAGATGTACCACTAGTTGAAGAATCTGATTGAGTGATTCCTGTTGTTGCTGAAGATGGTGGTAGATTGGATAATTGTTGGTTACACAATTGTTGCGTACCAACAGCTGATGCGGCCTGTCCACCAGTAAAATAAGCTTGTGTTAGACTTAAAACACCGGAACCTTGACTACAACTGGCAGTTGAAGGTGAATCGATTAAATCAGAGTCTGATAATTGATAAGCGAATGTTGGATTAGAAATTGAATATGCATTCGATATGTCTTGTATCATGTCATTACCACATTGAAGATTTAATGTATTTCCGCTGGTATTATTAGTTGTTGTAGCGGCAACAAGAGCCGTATTTGAAAATCCGATTCCAGTTGTCGTATTCGAAGAAAGACGTTGTTGTTGTAAAGCAGAAGTTAGTGGTTGTTTTAAATAATTTCGTTGTTGAGATGTTGTTGAATGTCCTCCTCCAGTAGAAGCAGGAAAATCTCCACCAATAGCACCACGATGACGGCTAGAACCAGCACCATTACCACCAATTGAACGACGAATCGATTGATAACGACGATCCAATTGTTGCCGATGTATGTGTTCAGCATTTGTAATATAATGCATTGTAATTGCCGATATTGATGACGGATCATTTGGAAATTGATGATTTACAATCGAATTATTTGATTGCGGATCAACAATCATTGAACTATATGATTGATCGGAAGTGTTTGCATTCGTTGTCGAAACGGAAGGTATAATTGTAGCCAATGATAATGGCTGTTCTAATTCTGTAACAACATTACTTGCCGATGATGATGATGTCGTTGTTGTTGTAGTATTTGTCAATGGATGTGATCCTCCTGATGATGATGACGATTGAATCAATTGATTAGTTTGACCAGAATTTCTCTGCTGATTATTTGTGATATTAGGATGATAAATAGGTCTGATCCATGTGGTTGTACGTTTTTCATGATCAATATAAAATATCCGTCCATGAGCATCACGACGTGCTTCCCAATTTGGTGGTAACGGTTCCTCTGTTTCCACACGGCTATAACGAAATGTACGTTCAGGTAATGATGGTAACCTAGTAATCGTTGCTGATCGTACATTTGGTAGATGATTTCCTTGACCACCACCACCTATATTCATTGATCGTGGTCGTGATGAATTTGTATGATGTGATAAACCTTAATGAATAAAAATGAAAAAATTATTCATCCATTCATAAACAGAAAAATAATTTCGAACAATTTTAATATGAAAAACACAATTACTCACCATCAAGGACAACCGTTTGTGATCGTCGATGATGCATTGAATTATTATTATTACGTCTTTGATGTTGTTGTTTTGTTTGTTGTTGATGATTACTATTATTATCATTACCAGCAGATGATTGTTTTAAATTTTTTGTCATTATTACGGGATCATTATTTAATGATGATGAAGTGGTTGATTGATCTTCAATAGAATTCACATTCTGTTCTATTATCTCTGCTGCTGCTGTTGATGATGATGATATATCACATTGATCTATAGTAGATAACGATGATACGCCTACACGTTCTAGTCGTCGATGTTGTTGACCAGTTGATGTTGAAGTTGATTGCTGCATTGGATTAATATCCGATTCATCTTCGCCATCACAATCATCATCAGCTTCTGATTCAATCTCTTCCATATCTGCATCATTATCATCATCATCATCTTGATCGACATCAGCATAAATATCATTATCACTATCATCATCGTCATCATTCGATCGTGATATGTTCGAACTTGAGCCATTCTGTTGATTTGATGATTGATTAGGATGATGATGATTTTCTCTAACTGCGGTCAAATAATTTCGGCTAGCTAAATCATCGGAATAATCTTCACCACAATTTTGCATCATAACTGAAGTATCATCATCATCATCATCAACATCCGCATCAACATCAACATCATCATAAGCTTCGGCAATATCATCTAAATTATGATGATAATAATTTGTATTAGACGTATTATTCGTTTGATTTGGATTATGATGATTATTTGGTGAACGTCGATGTTCTAGTTGTTCCAATTCCATTGCTTCATTTGGACAAATTTCATTTACATATGGCTCTAATTGTCGATCACAGACAGTAATAGTCGTGGTAGTGGTTTGTGATGATGATGATGATGTTAATGTTGTTGATTGCTGTTTTGCTGAATTGGTGGCAATAACTGTTTGATCATCATTTAATAATTCCGGTACCATTGTCGTTGTCGTATCTGATTCAATCACAGATTCTGTTTGTTGTATGGGCGTTGTTTGATTAAGTACCGACTCGAATTGTGTAATTAAATTTGATAGAGCACTATTACAGCTTAAACTTGTCGATGATGATGAAGATGATAATGATTCGCCATGATTATTATTATTATCACATTCATTTTGAACATTGGCACTATTTGAATTGTTCATTGAAATATTGTCATCATCATCAGTGACACCATCAACACGATTCAAATAACCAGTTAATCTATCACTATCGATATCACCAACCACATCACTAGTAGCTGATTGTTGTCTAAGTAAATTGCTTGCATTTCTAATCTCTTCATCCGTTATTTGTCTAGCATAACGTCGATCTGGTTGCCGTTGATGATATGCTATATGTTTACGATGATTAATTGAACGACCATCTGTTCGTATTGATGATCTTGTTGCATTCTTCTGCTGCTGCGGTTGTTGTTGTTCAGTATTGCCCATGGATTCGTTATGCATTGATGATGAATTTGATGATGATGATAGAATTGACGTTTGACTTGAATTGACCATCATTGTAATGGCTTGATCACCATCATCATCCCCATCATCACTCGTTGTTGATTCAAATCGTCTGTTACTATTGTTGTTGTTATTGGTGCTAGAATTGAGAACTAGATTTTCCGGACTAGCCGAATTTGATGATGGTGATGGTGAGGATGATGATGAGGATAGAATCGACACACCAAGACAACCAGGAAATCTATTGGAATTATTATCAATAGTACCACCACTACTTAAATCGTTATCCGGTGTTGTAGTAGCAATATTATTATTATTATTATTGGTAGGTGCTATCGATGTTGATGGATGTTCGAATTCATTTACAATTATATGACCATGTATTGTTGATGTAATTCGATTATCACTATCATCATCATCCTCACCATTATCGTTGTTTTGATAAGATGTTGCAATATGATCTTCTGAATAAACATTATCATTATTATTATGACTACCATTTTCATCTATTGCAGAAGATATGACACAATCATTTGATGTTCCCAATGAATTATGATTATGAATCATCGATTGTTGATTTATCCATGTTGTACGTATTGGAGGTGTCGGTGGTGACGATGATGATAAAGATGAGGCACCAGTTCCATGACTATTAGAACGATATTCAGATATTATTTCACATTCAGGATTTTCATCATTCATTTCCGTCGATGTTTGGCAAATGTTGGGTGATAATTGATGAGGACTGCTACAATTTTCAATGATCGGTGGTGATTGTTCAATGATAATAGCCGAACCATTACTTGCATTTGTTCGTTCTAATGGTTTATGATGATGCCTTTGTTGTTGTTGTTGGCTTTCACTTATAGGTGGTGAGGATGATGATGATTGCAGTTGTCCATCGAATATGGATTGTTTATTCGGAACTAAACATTCAAATATATTATTTGAATGACCATTAATTAAATGATCATAATCTTGATGGTGATTATTGTGGTTCGAATTCAATGCTATTGTCATCATTGATGGACGTTGTAATCCATGAATCGAACCAATCATACGTTGATTATCAGCAACAATGTTCAATGCTGTTTGTTGTTTAGGTGGTAGTGGTGGTGGTGGTGCCGGCCTAACTGGTATAATTCGATTAATCATTATTGGTGGTGTAGTTGTCATTGTTGTTGTTGTTGTCGAAGTTGTTTTTGTCTGTATGAAATTTGAATTTGACAATATCATTTGGCCATGATGATGATATTGACGAATAGAATTTTTTCCCATTGATTCTATGTGACTTTGTGGTGATGTTGATAATTGTTGTTGAGGTATCTGATTATAGTGATGTTCACGTTCACCATGTTGTAGATAAGATTTGAAATTTGAGTTTGAAGTTTTATTATCTATATATTCATTTTTCAAGAAAATATGATAAATAAGAATAAAAAACTCTTTGAATATTTAAAACAAAAACCTACTATGATATGAGGATGTTGATGATTTAGAACCTTTTTGTGAATGATGATGATGATGATGATTTTTACCATCATCAATTAATGGTTCAAATGCGGCTGATGTATATTGTTGATGTTGTCCAATATTATCACTATTATTTGTAGCATTTGATGTTGTATCACTTTGTCTTCTATTTGAATTATGATTACCGGATGATGAAGTTCCGGTCGTCATTAATAATTGTTTTTGTGTGGCGAAAATATTCCTCTGACCGGACACAACATTATTCTTGCCATTATTACCACCGATTGTAGTTGTAGCCGTAGTCGTTGTGGCAGTATTATTTTTAACAAAATGGCTATTGATGGAATGATTATTAAGATTAGTTGTTCTTGTTGTTGATCCGGATGAACCTGATGATGATGATATTGATGATGAACGATTTGAAATCAATGGTCCACCAAATAGTCCACCAATCGATGTTGTCGTCGAAATAGAACTATTATTATTACCTTTAAATGATCCACGATGATGGCCATAATATGGATAATGATTTGATGATGAGGATGATGATGAATTAGAGGATTGATTCGTGGATGATGAGGATTTTTTCTTTTTAAATAAATTATGCATCATATTTTTTCTAAATGATGATTATAACCAGAAAGAAAAGAGTGTATTGTTGTTTAATATTTTCTGTTATTATATGATTTGATGTTTGTCTATTTTGATTGTTTTATTGAGAATAAAAATTTAATAATTGTTATTATTATTAATGAGCAATTTGTATATGATAAACATACCAAAAGAAAATAGGGTGTTTGGATATTGACGGCGTGGTTCATATCAATCATAACGACGACGACGACGACCATTATTATCATCAAGTATGTCGATGTGAGGAAAGGAATGAGCGTAATAGACTGTAAATAGTGTTTAGATTTTTTTTCTTTTACATTTTGACAAATTCACTTTTGATTATAATATTGAAAAAAATATTAGTTTAATTAAAAAAAAAAAAAGAAATTCTTAATACTTACAATTTAGTAATCAAAAAACGAAAACTAAAAAAATCATGACAATTCAAATTGAATTCAGCTTATGGTGGATATTTATACATTACAATGTGTGTGTGCGATCAATCAATTTAGATAATGTATAATTCATTTTCTATGGATCAAAAAAAAATCAAATTGAAGAAAGATAAAATCCTAATCAAACATTGAAATTGTTCAGGAAAAAAAATCAAATCAAATGTCAATATTATATGAGATATGATGATGAATAATTTCACACACACAACAAATCATGTATATGAAATGATACACAAATATAAACATAAACATTTTATTATATTGTTGACATATATAGAATAGTATAAATGGGATGCATCATAAAATGAAAGAATATACTTCTGGAACATAATAATTCTTGGAACAAATATAAATCAAATATACACACACACATACAATGATTTGGATTCATTCCAATCATCACAATTTTTCTCTTTATAGTGAGCCACAAAAAAAAAGTTCGATATGCACATTCACAACACTCTCACTATCTATGTATACATTTGAGAATCCATGTATCATATATACATTGCTGCTGCTACTACTACCTTTTTGTTTATATATTTTTAGGATCATTTTGTGTGTTATTGACCCCCATTTTGGATAACAAGTAGTGGTCAATATGATGAAAGCAATCGATCCATTATAAAAGTAGTAGCATTTGGATTCATGGAAGTTTTTTTTCCCTGTTCTGTTTGACGTGGATAGATGGCAATATGATGATCATAAATAAATTAATTTTTTAAATTCAATTTAAAAAATAAAAATGTTCTATTATTATTTTTTTAATCGCTGAATATAAAAATGTAAAACGTTTTTGGAAAATTTTTTGAATTATTTGTTTGTTTTTTGAATAATTTTGTAAATGATGAATATGTTGGCTTTGATGGCCATTTCAATAATCATAATAATCATTGGTGATGATTCATATCAACAACAATCATCGTCAGATGATAATAATGATCATGCAATTTGTGTATATGTAAATGATCGATTTTCATCCAATTTATTAACAATTGGTTATCATAGACGTGATGATCATCTATGGATAATAAGTGATGATTCTATATTACATCGTTTATCATCATCATTAAAAATAACAACAACAATAGCAATGGAAAATATAACAAAATGGAATCATATCGATAGTATTGAAATGGAAAAAAATTGGCCATCATTAACATTGAATAATGTTAAACGAATCATATTAATGTCTTCGACGATGGATTCAAACGATTATTTCATATTGATTAATAATGAATACATTAATAATAATATTATTGTTTATGATTTAGATGATCATAAACCTATTTGGATCATTAATCAGACACTAGATGATTATCAAATGTTTATGAATGGAGAAATCATAATGGATATTGATCATAATCGATTATTAATTATTAATAAATTTGAATATCATCTTATTGGTATGAAATTGAAATCATCACCAAGTACAATATTACTTCTGAAGAATGGTTCGATTCAATGTCAATCGGATAATAATACTAATGGACCATTTTGTCATATGTTATCCACACGAATTGTAATGAATTTTTTCGATGGTAATCAATGGAATTTTGTCGATCAGAATGGTCGACTTTATCAAATTGAAAAACATCATTTTGACGAACAATCATTACCATATATGGCCAACATTGCAACGGTAAAAAGTTATATCAGAACCATTTTCAAATATTTTGAATGCAATGATTATGAACGTAATAAAAAATCGACTATCAATGGATTGGATAATAAAACAAATGTAATGATTATGATTGGTATAGCCATTGCTATTGTTTTACAAATGATTGTTTTGTTGATATTATTTATATGGTGTTATTGGTATCGAAAACGACGAAAACAAAGGCAACAATTGTTACAATTTAAAAAAAGATCTAAAGAAGAAGAAAGGTCATTTTCATTGAAAAAAACACCAAAATCAAAAATGGCTAAATCACCTTTCAAAGCAATACTTGAACCACAAACACTTTCACCATTTTTATCAACAACTACAACTAGTTATCAACAATATGGTTCGACTCCATCAACCACTTTATCATCGAAACAGATGATGGGTGATGAATTCTGTAGCCAAACGGAAACATTTCGTGAAATAACGGAAAAATCTGTTTCGAAATCGTCGAAAAAGAAAACTATTATTCCTAATAAAAAATGGTGGTCAAAACGATCTCAATCGCCACCAAAACAACAACAACCATTATTGTCATTGGGGGATGAAAAAACAAGAAAACAAAAAATCGAATTGATTGAAATTATTGATGAACCGATGAAAACAATGCCGGTACTGCCAAAAATGACAAACACAGCAGTAGCAATAACATTATCGGATTATTTTGGTGGTGGTGGCGGTAATAAAAAACCGGCAACGATTGATAAGAAAACAATGGAAACTTCCGAACGACGAAATCGATCACCACCAACTTTATTACCTGGTCATCGGGATCGAAATCGAAATCTGGAACGTAAACGTTCGAAAGAGAAAGAGGATAGTCTAAATGAAATTAAAAAAAATCGTATAGACGATATAAAAGTTAAACAACGACGTCGTGAACGACAATTAATTAAAGTTATTAAATTATTAGCCAAAGATTCGAATGATCTTCGACAACAACGGCGACGATTACGTGGTAATTACGTTGATGATGTTGACGATGATGATGTTGATAATGATTTTGAACAAACACGAACCACAACGGAACGACGTACATTAACCAGTTCAAGAGAGCAAACCGATCCGGAATTAGTACGTGATCTATTGAATAATCTAGATCGTCATCGTGAACGTAAACGACGACGACAACTACAACAACAAAAACAAAATAAAAAATAAAAATTTTAAAATCAAAAATTATCTTTCCTCTTTCCTCACACATTTGTTGTTTGATTGATTAATGATTCGAATACAAATGTAAAATGGATTTGTTTGATGTTTATTGAATAAATCGTAAATGAAAATTAATCATCAACAACAACATTCAAAATGGGCAACCAATTCGGTAATATACAACATAAATGAGATAAAAACGTTGGTTATTGGTTTTATTTAGTTGGTTTTTTTTACAACAAATCAAAAAATCAAAAAAATAAAATGAAAATTTTTAAAAAATCAAACAAATTGTCTATTATCTTTTCGTAATGGTACTGCTTTATAAATGATTGTTTTTTCTGCTTTCTTTTTATTCACCGAAAATGGTGTCGATATATAATTACTTCCACCACCACCACCACCACCATTACTTATTGGTCGTCGTCGAGCTTTACGTTCAGATTTTCCGGCACGATGATTCGATACGGCTATTTTTGTTTGAAAAAAAATAGATTACATTCAAAATAGGTGAAAAAATTATCAATTCTAACTTACGAAGATCAACAAATGGTGGATGTTCAAAGCCAAATGATTTAGCAACTGCCAACAAATCTAATTTATTAATATCATAAATATTCTTCAATGAATGTGAATCATATGCTCGAACATAGGATTTATATGCTTCTTTCGCAGACATGTTTAGGAAATAATTTCGTGAAATTAATTTTTCAATCTAGAAAATGAAAAAAAAAACATCAGAAAACAACCGATAAAAATGAATTTGAATATTGTTTTACCTGTGGTTGTACATTTAGAATTTTATTCCATGCAAATTCATATTCAACTAATGGTATTTTAGCATCACGTAGATATTGTAGAAAACCACGTTCTTCTGGATTCAAGAATAATAATGCATTACCATGAGATTCAATACCACGTGCCGTACGACCAACACGATGAATATATTCTTTTGGATCATCTGGTGGATCATATTGTATGATCCAATCAACTTTCGGTATATCAAGACCACGTGCAGCAACATCCGTACAGAATAATGTACCTGTTTGTACATTACAAAATTGAAAAAATGTTGTCGTACGTTTATTTTGTTTTTGTTTGCCCTGAAATTATTGAAAAAAAAATGAAATTTGATTAATCAATTTTTTCATCAAAAGATTTTCACCTATTTAATAGCTTACATGAATCGACATGACTGGTATATCGATATAATTGAATAATTCATGATGAAATTTTACCGACATACATGAACTAAAGAATACCATACATTTTTTGTTACGATTCTTTTTCAAAAATGTAAACAATAATGGTAATCGTTTATCATTGGTGATCATAACGAAACCTTGTTGTAGTCCATCGACAGTAGCCATTTCTTGTGGCTGTGGATCTAGGCCAATGTATAATGGTTCTTTTTTCAATGCTAATGTAATAAGATCATCAGTTTTTTTCGATAATGTTGCACTGAATAACATAGTTTGACGACGTTGTTGTTGTGGCAACAGTTTTATAATGGCACGCATTTCATCTTCGAAACCGATATCCAATAAACGATCAGCTTCATCAATGATAAGACATTGAAGATTTTTATAAAGAAAATATTTGGTATTCTGTAGATGATCCAACAATCGTCCTGGTGTTGCAATCAATATGTTAATACCTTTGGTTAGACGATTTGCTTCCGATGATCGATTCACACCGCCCATAATAAGGCCATATGTTTGATTATGATAACGCATTAGGGATTCTAAAACACTATATGTTTGCATAGCTAATTCACGTGTAGGCGATATGATTATGACACCGACACCATTTCGTGGCATAAATTTTAATTTATACATCAATTCAATGGCCGGTATAAGGAATGCCAAGGTTTTACCGCTACCCGTTTTAGCCGATCCAACTAGATCTCTAGCAACAAAAATAGAGAGAATAGAAAAAATACACGTAAATTTTGATTTTTGTTGAAATGGAGATGAAAAAAAAATCTTACTTTCCCTCTAATAAATGTGGTACAGCTTTCGATTGAATTTCAGTCATATGAGTGAATCCCATTTCATCAATAGCTTTCAATGTTTTTTCTGATACCTTATCGGCCAAATCTTTGAATGTTGAATTTGATAATAATGATTTAACGATTGCCGTTTTCGATGTATCCACCAATGTTGGACAATCATCCTGTTGGTCGGTTTTTAATCCTAAATGATGTGATAATGATTAAATATTTTTGTACTTTTATCAACTACTTACTTTTGGCCGGTGAATGTTCACCATCCGAATGACATTTTTCCTTGTCTTCAATTTCATTTTGAACTATTTCTTCGGCTGACTGTTCCTGTTCTTCGGGCTGTTCACATAGGTCAAATTTTCTTTTATTTTTTAATTTTAATTTACGTTGTTTTTTTAGCTGTCGTTTGACCAGATCGTCAAGATGTTTGGTCATTTTTTTTTGCTTTTTAAAAATTTGAAAATTTGTCAACAGATAATTTTTTGGAAAGCGTGCTTCTGCATTCATCACACACATGTGTTGTGTCTTTGTGTGAGTCAGTCATTCATAAATGATGTTTTTGTTTTGATGATGAAAAATTATAATTTGCCACCTGGCATTTTTTTTTATTTCGTTCGAAAAAAATCTCCCCATTGATTAATTCAAATTGATTTTTGTTTTGTTTTGTTTTGTTTTTCATAATTTAGATTTAGAATTAATTTAATTTATATTTCATTTTCAAAATGTAAGTATTTCATTTGGATATATGAATCATTAAGTTTCAAATCATATATGATTGTGAAGGTCGGATTCTATTTCGGGTGATTCATCATCAGCATCGGCCACAAGTTCAAGTGGTGGTGGTAAAGTAACATTTAAAATAACATTAACATCGGATCCAAAATTACCATTCAAAGTGTGAGTTTTTTTTCTTGTTGATAATTTTAATTTTAAATGCAAAATTAAAACAAATATATAAAATCTTCAAATTAATAGACTTAGCGTACCGACCATTGCACCATTCACAGCCGTATTAAAATATGCAGCCGAAGAGGTAAGATTAAATTTTCGAATTAAAACCTAATATATAATTACATTTTTGATTTATAGTTTAAACAAAATCCTGCAACATCGGCAATCATTACCGATGATGGTATTGGTATAAATCCATCACAAACAGCTGGTGATGTATTCCTTAAACATGGTTCAGAACTTCGTCTAATACCACGTGATCGTGTTGGTTGGTTACCACATTTTCAATGATTTAGTTATCAATTTTTTTTCAACCAAAAAAACCGGAATTTTTTTTTTATTTTAATCATCCAGTCACATTTAAGTTCATTCATAAATGAGAATGATTTTAAAATTGCATACACACACACAATAACAATAATAAAAAAAAATATTTCAATTTTTTTTTTAAAAAAAGAAAAAAATATTTTTTTTGTCCAAAAATAAATTTTGTTTTGTAAAAACGCACACACTTAAATACGAAAAAAAAACATTAACAAAAAAAAAACAAACAAAACAGAAAAATAACATAAAAAAATTGCTGATAATCATCGACGATGATTTTGATGAATTTTGATCTGTGAAAATTGAGCTTTTAAACGTAAGCCCAATGTTGTGATTAGATCATCAATCTTTTGTCTATCCATTGCTAGATCAACAGATTGTATGATGAAGCGATAACAATAACAAATACTATTCAATGATATAAATTTTTTATCAATCAATTCGATTGAACGTAAATTTGTCGGTTGAAAATGATCCCATATGATACGGAAAAATTCTTTCTGTGGTAAATGTTGTTCCATTTGTTCATTTTGAATTGTTTGAACATTATTGGAAAATTGTTGCTGTTGTTGTTGTTGTTGTTGCCAATAGAATTTAAAATGACGATAGAATATTTGTGGATATAATGATCCAGTTGTTGGAAGTATCTGTTGATTTTGTTGTTCATTTCTATGATTTTGATGATCGCTTAAATCAATTAAATGAAAATATTTTGAATATAAAATTCTTGTGTCATTCAAATTCCATTTAATACGAAGACAATTTTCAACCAAAAGATTTAAACTTAATAAACGTTTTGTTGATTCATTCCGTGACCAGAAACCAAATCTTATATCATCAATACATAGATCTTCGGTGATTAAATCATCAACATATGATTTACGTAGATAACGGCCAATTATCGTTGACATCATACGGAATTGTATCTGTGGTGTTGAATCCATAAGACTAATGCTTAATATATACAAATCTAATGGTTCATTTGATGAATAAAAACAATCATAATGACTATTAATATTATTATTATGGATAGCCATCAATGATGAACGTTCGATTAGATATGGTTTAACATTACGACAACCGGCTATATTATCCAACATAAGTTCACCAATATCATTGATAAATTTTTGTACTAAACTATTCGATGATAATGGATGTGTATAAATAACTCTGTATAGATAAAGATATTGAAAAGTTATTTTTCATTATTTTGATAAAGTATTGATTGAATTAAAAAAAACATACCTTGGTACAAAACAATCAAGTTTATAATCTCGATATTCGAAAACAAATAGATTTACATCACTGCTACTAGCACCACCAACACCTTCGAATATTTTTCCAACAATTACTGTTGTCGCTGCCGATGATGATGATGATGGTGATGATATTGTTGTTTCATTAGATTTTCGTAATTGTCGATGATTACAATAACCAAATGGATCATATTGTTCCAATTGTTCATTCAACAAATTCATTTGTTCATGAATCATTTGACAATGGTGATGATGATGATGATTTTCTTTATTATTCATCATTGTCAATTGACAATATTGTTGTTTTTGTTGAACAATACAATTATTATTATTATTATTATTATGAATAATTAAATTTTTCTTATTATAATAAAAATATCGACGATTTGATTCAAAACATGATTTTAAACGTTCATAATTATCACAGAATAATTTTCTCATCGATTTCATTGATAATGGACAATAATCAATGAGTATAAAATTGCCATATGAAGCCATTTCAGTCAATTGTAATGATTCATTCCATAATCGTGGTGATGATGACGAACATGATCGTGATGATGATAATGACAATTCAATCGGCGTTAAGCCGGATAAACCATTGCCAATTGTAAGATAAACAATGATTTCTATCAAACATGTACGATGTAAATCTTCAATCGACATAAACATATCACGTAATAATGATCGATAATTAATCATCATCATTGATGATGATGAATGATTTTTGTCATTCATTTTAGCGGCAAAATTATAAATCAAATGTATACGTTTAAGATTGATGGCCAATCTGAGATCGGAAATTAAACGTGAATGTTGATGTAAATGACGTATATCAATATCGGTCCATATTCGAACACCATAATCAATGATTAAATGACGAATATTTTCCTGCGCTATTTGTTTTTGTTTATGGTCATCAGCCTCAACGGGATCATTATTGTCATTTGATTTTTTTGTAGTTGTGGTTAGATCAACATCACCGATAATTAATATTTCATATTTGGAATCAATCATTCGATTTGAATGCAATAAACGTACAAAATTTATGGCAAACGAATAGTTTCGTTCACAGCTAAATATAATGATTAATTCTGACATTTTTGTCGTTGTTGATGAATTTGATTTGATTTAAAATCTTTCAAAATTGATAATGAATCACAACACAAACATTTTTTTCAATCAATTTTTTTTTTGAATTCATTAATAACGATATTTTCGAATGATGAATGAAAATAAAATATTTCTTGTTGCTTGTTGTTGTTTTTATATTGAAAAAAAAACAAAGAGAAAATCGAATCAAAAACTTTTTCTTCTTCTGGAAGGAGGCTATTTTGCATCAACAATTGAATAATAATGATAAAAATTCATTTGGTAAGACCCAAATATTTGAATTCGAAATGTTTGTTTTTTTTTTTTTTTGATCGTGATCACATCACATTACACTGTAGCAAGCACATCATCGATCATCGATATGAGCAAAAATAAAAAAATAAAGAAATTTCTGGTTTTTTTTTTTGTTTCTTTAAAAGAAGAAGAAATCATTACGATCGTATATTGGTTGCAATTTGCAATTATATGTGTTTTGACGTTTTTTACCATCACCATCATCACAACCACCACCACCACCACCACCATCATCGCCATCATCATCATCATCATCATTATCCATTATCATTGTATATGTGTGAGTATCGCCCAACCAGAAATTTTTTCTCGTGAACAATAAAAAAAAAAAATTTCCTTTGAATTTATTTTCACCAATATTTTTTTTTTTACCATTCATTCATTCACTAACTCACTGACTTGTACATGCACACACAAACACACGCTGTGTATTTCACATGAATTAGAATTCAATGATGATGATGAACGAACGAACGAACGAACGAAAGCGGAATAAACAAAAGTTTACAGAATAGAAAGCTTCAAACAAAAAATGTGAAAAAAAATTAACCGGAATTGTCAAATTTAATGATGATGAAAAAAAACCCGAGCGTGAGCAAGAGAATTCCGTTCGAAAAAAATAACATTTTTTCTGCAGAAAAAAAAATTGAAACGCATTAATCTATCGAATCAATCAAATCAAATCGAATCATCACCATCATCATCATCGATTTGTAATTCGAGTAGCAACAAAGAAGAAATGACAAAAAATTTCCATATTTTTTTCATCATCTGTATTTTGATAAAAACAAAAAACATGTATCTGAAATGGTTACATTATTATTAATAGTAGTATATGTTTGTATGTGCGGGTGTTTGTGTTGTGTATGTTGTACATGAAATAGCACATGAAGAGAATTCCCGGAAAAAAATTTTTTTTCCATTTCATTTCATTTTCAAATTATCTTTGTCGTCATAATCATGTTTTTCTCTTTTCGAAAGCGATCGTTACATTGATGGTTGTGGTATGTTGTTGGTGTTGGTGTTGGTGGTGGTGGTGGCAGCAATCATGATGATGGTGATGATTAAAGACAACCATTTTCTTTGTTTTTTTTTTTTTGTTCATCATCTTGGGTTTACTGAGAATTGTTGTTGAGCAAATTTTTTTTTTTTTTTTTTGATTCGAATCCGTAGCCGTGAATTCTTATTGTATGTGAACAGATGTGTTCAGAATATCATATTATTCGATACAGAAACCCAAAAAAAAAAAAATGTTGATGGAATTTTCTTTGGAAATTGTCAACTAACATTGTTTGGTTTTTAACCTGGTGAGGGCAGGAGAATCGATCATTGTCAAGATTTTTTTTTGAGTGATTGAGCGATTTTTCATTGGAAAATTTACATTGTTAGTACGGTTTGTTTGTGGCTTCATTGTCGGTTTTTTTTACTGGTTGTTGATTTAATTCTAGGGAAAAATAATTGCACATTTATAATGTGACTCATTTTTTTATCAATGTGAAGTCTTTTTCTTGGAAATTTAAAAAAAATTAAAGGTTTTTTTTTGTTTCAATTAAATAGAATGTAAATAACGGTTTTTTTTCTTCTGGATACTGTTCAAAAATGACGAACAAACACATGTGAATATAACAACATGTTTATTATTTGAAAGAATGTTTTCATCATCAAATGTGATAATTTAATCAAAAAATGTCCCGACGATGTTTTTGGCAAAATTTTAAAATGATTCTAACCGAATCATCGTATCGATCATATTCAACATTTTTATCGAATGCAACGAAACCGAAATCAATTGAAAGTAGGTATAAATATTTTATGCTTTTGGATTATGATGATTTCTGATTTTTTTTTGTTATTTCTAAAAAATTAGATAAATTAATATACAAAACAATAGATCAAACAAAATATCGACATCTGATCAATGATGATTATTCATCAATTGATTCAATATTGAAAGAATATGATTACTTGAAATATATGACCGGTTATGTACCATCGGATATTAGCGTGGAACAAATGTCCGATTTATTATCAATGGAAAATGAACGTCAACGTAAACAATATTTGCGATATTTATTTCTAAATGAAATTCGTAAACAAAAAGATGAAAGAAAACGTTCGGAACGAAAACAACGATATCAACAATATTTAGATACTCGTGCTGAACGTACATTCGGCATTTTCGATGATAATGGCCAACTTTCCTATCAATTGTGGTCAAATACAATGATTGGTAGAATATCATCAAGAAATGTATCACATATACGTACTACACAACGTTTACGTTATGCATCAATGTTTGGACAGAAATTAATTATCGATCTTGATTATGATGATCATATGTCATTAAGTGAATGTCGAATACAAGTGAATCATATTATGAGATTATTAGTGGAAAATTTACGCTCAACAAATGATCCATTTGATATTTACTTTACAAATTGTGATGATCAAAAACCAACAATGAAAAGTTTATCCAAATATTTCAATACAATGCCTTTTCAGGTTAGTGTAATCACAAATACTACATATGTTTAAAACAAATCGAAAAAAATTTTTCTGTTTTTGTTTTTTTTTAGTTAATGTCATTAAAGGAACAATTTCTAACAAAAAGTTATATGGATGTATTTGATCATAATCTTCTTGTTTATCTAACACCAAATGCCACGGAAACATTAATCAATTATAATCATGATGATATCTATATAATCGGTGGTTTTCTTGATAAATCCAATCTAAATAAACCAGTAAGTCATCTAAAGGCGTCAAATGATGGAATCCGACAATATCGTTTACCATTGGATCAATTCGTACCTTGGGGATCGGGTTCATCAAAACATCTTTGCATAATGCATGTAGTTGCCATTTTAAATCAAATGAAACAGACTAATGATTGGAAACAAACATTATGTGAACAGATACCGAAACGTAAAATGAAAGATTTCGATGAATTAGAACGTGAAAATCGTGAACGAAAATTAGCCTATATGAAACGGAAATTGTCAATCAATAATAATCATATGGAAATTTTATGATAATAACCAAAAAAAAAAAAATATTGGAAAAAAAATTATAAATACAAATTGATGATGATAATGAATGGAGGAGTATTAAGATTTTGATGATATATAAAATAACAATATACATTCAAAATAATTAATCAATCAAAATATTCATAACGATGAACGGTAAAACTAATTAATGATGCAATGCCTAATAATGAACCGGCAGCAAAAAATACACCCGTATATGATAATGTTAAATCATATAAAAGGCCAGCTAATGGTGGACCGGCAATAGCTGATAGGCCACGAACACAGCTTATTAATCCGAATGTTGTTGTCAATAATTCCAATGATAAAATATCGACCAATATGATCGATGTTAATGACATGTATGATGCTATTTTTTTTTTAAATTAATTAATGTAAAATTAAAATTGTAAATTAAAAAATCGATAACAATAAATGGTACATACAGATTGTGAAACCAAATAAAATCGAAATAGCCATCAATATCCAATATGATGGACAGAATGGTATGGCCATCACTGATAGACCGGCAATCAAAAGACAAACATTATTGATGAATAAAGCGGAAATTCGTATAAGACCGAAAAAGATATTTGTACCACTAAAACGATCGCTAATCAAACCGAATGCTAAACGGCCAATTACATTCGATATACCAATGGCTGATAGAATCCATGCTGCTTTTGTTCCTTCAACTTTTGATATATAAACGAAGGACGAACAAAAAATGAACAAAATTGTTTTGAATTCAATCAAATAAACTTACTATCCAAATGTTCGGTAGCAAAACGTACGACATAAACATATGGAATATAATATCCAATCATTCCGAATACATTCGATAGGGCAAGTAATGCCATTGGTGTAATTTTTAATACAGAAAAATCTAACACCTCTTTAAGATTGATACGATTTTCCATTGCTTCTATTTCGGTTAATTGACTTGTTATTGTCCATGTACGTGGCCTTTGTACAAATGATCGTCGTGAATGATTAGAATATTTTGAATTAACCGACATTGAACTTTTATTCACCGATAATGAACTTTTATTCATTGATAATGTACCATGATTATTATTATAACGACGATTACCAGCACTTGCAATCGATTGATTTGATTTACATGTTGAATTACGTTGTAAACGATTTTTCATCGCATTATCATTATCACCATCACCATTATCCGATTTTTGAATTATTAATGGTTTCATTAAAAGGCCATAAAATGTACAACAACCAATACAAATAGCCAATATTAATAATGATTGTTTCCAATCATAATTAGCCAATAAAAATTGACAAAATGGTGAGAATAGAAATGCACCCATACCAGAGCCACAGACAGCGATACCGGTAGCGAATGCACGTTTAGTTGTAAAATAATGGCCAACCGATACAATCGATGGTAGATAGATGAAACCAAAACTGCAGCCAGCTGAAAAATTGAAATTTCAAATTAAAATTAATCAATCAATTGGATTTTTTCCATACTTACTAACTATACCATAGGTTAGCAAAAGTATGTAGACATTTGGTGCACGTGTAGACAATGCTAATGCAAGTGCAGCCATTATACTGCCTATAATTGAAATCGGACGACATCCATAACGATTAACAAGAGTGGATACGAATACGCCGACAGTCATATAACAACCGCTTAATAAAGATCCAGTCAATGCTGTAATTGCTTCATTCGAACCGAAATAATCAAGAAAATGTGGTAAAAATATACCGAATGTATAGCAGACACCATCAACTGTAAGATTACACATGAATGATGCGAATACAACGATCCAACCATAGCCACCATTTGGTATACCATTCGATAAATCAGCGTTTTGTTGTCCATCATTATCATCATGCGTATTAATAACACATTTACTTGTTGAATCACCTGTTGCTTTTCGTATAGTAATCGTCGGTGTTGCTGGACTTTTCATCGAACCATCAATATTTTCAATGGTAGCCAAATGTTCAACATTCAATGATAATGGTGATGGAAGTTTTTTTCGTTTTGATGATAATTTTTTCTCAATACTATTTATCGTTTCATGATGATTGTGATTATGATTATGATTATGATTGTGATTATGATTTGCATTATCAATCTGAAAAATCATTTTAAATAATTGTTGATACGATGATTCAATTAAATATGAAAAAAAATTTACAAGACAACAATAGCAACTAAAAACCAAATATGAAAAACAAAACAAAAAAAAATATAGTAAATTGAATCAAATGGAATCAAAAATGAAAATGTAGTAAGCATTTCCCAAGGCAGCCGAAATAAATGATTGATTGATTGATTGATTGATAAACAATGATAATGATGATGATTATGGATTTGATTTGGATTTAAAATTTGCTGTGGTCATTATAATAATTTATAATAAATTTTTTTTTACTATGTCAACAACAACGAAAATGATGATGATGATGATGGCACTATTGTCTTCGAATGTTTCCGGTATTTAAATATAATTATTATTATTTCAACGAAACAAAATATTGATGATTGATCAAATGTTTGAAATATAATGATGATGATGATGATGATGATGTTGTCGTTGTTGTTGTTGTTGTTGTTGTTGATCGAATGATGGTCAGATTATAATAATCATGACTATATTGATGAGATGTAAAAAACAAATGAAAAGTTTAAAAATAAAAATGTTTGCATTTATGTTACAACAACGACGATCGCGACAAATAGACACAACAACAATATATTTGGTGGTTTTTTTTTCGCTTTTAGATATTCATAATACACATTTTATATGGATTTTTTTTTCTACTGGACAGCTAGAAAAATTTTCTTTCTCTCTCTCTCTCTTTCTCTCAATTCAATTCGATTTTATTCGGTCAATTTGAAATATAACCAGATTCGATGTAGGTGTGTGTGTGTGTTTGTGTGTGTGCTGAAATCGATTGGTATAATAGTTTTTGAACTAGCAATCAGTAATCGATTATGGCGGCCGATAGCATCTTTTCCATTGAACATATAAATCGAATGAATGTGTGTGTGTGTCGGCATCGTGTTCGTTATCGATATATCGATATCGAATGATATTATCATTCATTCATTCATAATAAATAAACAAAAATTCAAATAAATTTAGTAATCGGCCATGATAATTGTTCTGCTTTTTTTCTATTTTTATTATTTTTTTTTTTTTTTGATCATTCAAAATAATAATACAAATGATGATTGGATAATCAATAAATAAATCAATCAAATTGATTGGATATATATTTGATTGATTGGCACTGGAAAATATCCGATCTGGTAATTGAATATATTGGTATCGTTTTTATTTTTCGTTAAATGAAAGACGATATGTATGATGTTTGATGTGTGTGTGTATGTATGTGGTGAATGCAGAAAATTGTTATCATCAAAAAAAATTTATCGATGAAGGATTTTTGTGCTAGAAGAATGGATAATTTATCATTATTTTCTACTTTTTAATTCGGTCAATACACACCGGATGTTTCTCATTGAAAATTGATTACCGATTAAAGAAAAAAAAATGAAAAATAATGAAAAATGTCCTACTACACCAAAAACCACCATCCATCCACAATGTGAAGAAAACCCCCATATGACATTACATGCCATATATTTGCCGATCAATCATTCAATCGATTGATTGATTGATTTGAAATCAAATCGAATGACTATGTATATGGTACATTCTAATCATATGTCGTCATCAAAAAAAAAAAAAAAAAAAATTTTTTTGAAAACAAATCAAAACAAAACAGAAATGCCGACCAACGACCATATGATCGCCAACGAGCAAAAAAAAAAACGTTCGATTTCGGTATTTTTGTTTGATTCGTTGTTATTCGATAAACTTTTTATTTTTTTTTATTTTCGTCATCATTCATGTTTGTTGTCATAGGAAAAAAAATTATTCAATGAATTGCATTTGATGAACAAAAACATTCAATTCAAATGAATGAATAAAAAAAAACTCAATCAACCGATGATTAATATTGACCATAATTGACCTGAATTTTGGAATCATTCGATTGCCACTCAAAAAATTTTGACAAGTACATTTGTCCTGTTTGTTGATTAATATATTTGGAATTATTCCCAGTGACGTATGTGTGTTGTGGTTGAAATAATTTTTGATGACAAATTTTTTTTCTGTTTTTCAAAATCGAATGACGATAATAATAATAATAATAATAATAATTGAGCTTAATCCGAATCAAGACACGTTTGGATTTATTTCCATAAATTTCAACGGAAAAAAAAATTTGTTTTCTTTTTTTTCGTCAAACGAATTTTCTCATCCACTTTTTTTTAGGTATTCAAATTGATTTTGATTGTAAATGTTGATTTGTTGGAGAAGATCATCCATCATCCATATCGAACGGATTGATTGATTGGCTGACTATTTATGACACGATCACATCATCATCATCATCATCATTGATGATCATTGATCAACATGATGGTTAAATTAAATATATCTCAATTGTTTTCAATGTTTGACTTTCATCAATCTGATATTATCGATAGACTATAGTAGATTATATAGCTGCTGCTGCCACCTCGATTGACAATTTTTCATTTTTCATTTTTTTTTGTCTTTTATGATTAGTCTATTAATATTATCAGTATTTTAATCAATAATTAATAAATAGTAATTATAATCATCATCATCACCGTCAATATGATCATCATTCATTCATTCATTCATTCATTCATACAACAAACAACCAACAGCAACAAAAAAAATTTGGATCAAAATTTTGTTCGATATTTGAAAACAAATGCAATTAGTGTTGTGAGAATGGAAATGTTTGATATTTGTATCCGGTGTGTGTGTGTTTTGCGTGTATATGTTTTGATGATTATTTTGTTGTTTTTCTCGAATGAAATTATCATTTTTTTTTGTTTGTTTGTTTGTTTGTTTAATTTCAAAATTCAATCAAAATTATTTGTTTGTTTTTCAATCATCTGTTCATGGGATTTTCAATTTCATTTTTACGTATGTGTGTGTGTGTGTGTGTGTGTGCATGTAATTCAACAAACATAAATTCATTTTTTTTAAAGAGAAAAAAAAAGATAGAGAATAAGAAATAGAAAATGAAATGATCAAAATGAATTATGAAAATCGAAATAAATATGTTTGTGTATGAGGCGTGTTTGTTTAATTTGGTCATTTTGTTTGTATTCGTTTACGTCGTTGTTATTCGATGACAAAGCACCGGCTGTAATAAATAATTTTCTTTTGTGTGTGTGTGTGTGTGTGTGTGTGTTTGTGGTTTTCAGTTTGATTAAAATGATTTTCAAGTTTAAATGTGTAGGTCGTATCATTATGATGATTATAAATGGCTAAGATGACGACGATGATAATGATGAGAATGAGTATGATAGAGGTCGAGATCAATTTTAAAAATTAATTTTGAATCTAAATTAATTATGATTGTGATTCACATCATGATATGGATTATTCATCCATGATGATGTGAATAAGGTGAATTATGTGTGTGTGTGTGTGCGTGAAAAAAAACAACAATTGGAAAATATGAGCATATTCTGATGGAACAACAAAAAATCATTGGTTTCATATGTATCGTAGTGTATGTGGGTGTGTGTGTGTGGAATTCACTAATAAATTTTCATTTTTTGTTTGATCGATGCAACCTCTTTGTTTTGATCGAATATGATCATATATAGTCGATTGAATATTCAATAACTTAATATCGTATTCCTTCGTCATTAAACATGTGTGGTGCTTTTTTATATCGGATTCCTTCATCATCAAATGGTGATTTTTTATAACGGATACCTTCATCATCGAATGGTGATTTCTTATATCGGATTCCTTCATCGTCAAATGGAGATTTTTTATAACGGATACCTTCATCATCGAATGGTGATTTCTTATAACGGATTCCTTCGTCATCGAATGGTGATTTTTTATAACGGATACCTGTATGACAGAATAAAAAACCAAAGTAAATAAAGTTAAATCACACAAATTCGGTAAACCAATTTGAGAGGAAAAAGTGTAAGACCTCGTGAAAATTAGACATTTTCATCAGAATGTAAAAAAAACAGTAGAAACAATAACCGAAGCAGATGTCAATGGTTTTGTGACGATGGAAGACAACAACAACAACAACAGCAACAGAAGCAGCGTTTTGATGTCAAGAAAAGAAGTGCAAATTGAAAGAATGAAAAAAAGCAGTTTGCATTTGTGTGTGCTTGTGGGCGATTGAATAGCGAGTGCAAGGAAAGATAAACGTAAGCAGATTCATTTAGTGATCAATAATTTGGAAGAAGAAAAAATTGAGGTCGTTGACTTACCGGTTGCACTGTATAATAAATTCATTATGTAAATATTTGGTTGGACATTAATATTTTAAATTTGATGATTCAAATGTGATTGAAAAAAATGACTACCAGTGTTGTGGATATCTCTTTTAAAACGGATACCTTCTTTATCCCAAGGAATTGCGCCTAATATTATTTTTTGTGATAGTAATTTTTTCGAACGTGGTGTTTCCAATACAGGACGATCGGTTTCAATTAACCGTGATGATGATGATTTACTAGCAACCGTATGACCCGTTCCGGTTGTTGTTGTTGTTATCGCATGATGTTTTTGTCGATTGATTTTTGTTGCAATAGGTTCGATTACTTTCATTGTTGCCGATGTCGTCATTGCGGCCGTACTTGTTGGAAATAATTGTGGTGAAAGAGTGAATAGATTGGCTCCATCATTGCCAAACAATGATGCAGGCATAAAATCCGATTGATTATCATTATCTTCAATCGATCGTGGTGATTGTTTATTGGCCATGATTGAATGTGATGATGATAATGATGAATCTTCATCATCACTATTTCGACTCGTTTTCATCGACGCGGATGATTGTTGTGATAATAGATCTAGATTGTCATTCGAATCTGTTTTGAATAATTTTAGTTGATCAACATCAAACGGTGACAGGGATGATTGTTGTAAATGATTACGATAATCATATAATGACGATGTTGATGTTGTTGTTGATTTCAATTTCTTATTCTCTTGTTGCTGTTGTTGTTCCATATGTTGATTATTTCCAGACATTTTTAATGCATTTTCCAAACGTTTTAATTGTTCTTTTGATTGAATCTTTTCCAACAATGGTTTAGCAACGGATAGATTCATCAACAACAGGATCATACGTTTATTAACACGATTATTTTTATCGGAATTCATTGAATTACGATTTCTTCGGCTACCAATTTGAACAATTTTACCATTCTGTTTTTTATAACGTATTCCTTTTAGATCTTTCCAGAATGAATCCAAACGTTCAGCATATGATGATTTATGTAATGAATCACTATTATCTTTCAAATGGTTTTTATCTCTTCTATCTATTACCATTCGTCCAAGATGATTATGGCCATTACTTGGTTGGCCGAAAAACCAGCTCTTCTTTTCACGCATCGATGATTTAGATGATGATGATGGTCGTTCATTTACAAATTGATGATTTTCATTTTGTCGATCATCGATGACCAATTGTATACATTTTTTTATCAAATTTACATATAAATGTGGATTCATTATCATTTTCGATGTTGAATTTTGATTATTCATATTTTTAGCTGTTACTGCTGCTGCTGTCGTTGCTATCATCATCATCTTTGGATTCGAATATTGTTCATGATGATGTTCTTGTTGTTGTTGTTGCTGCTGCTGATGTCCTCTATCGACAGATGACTCTACTGCTATTGGATTATCACTATTTCTACCACTATTACTATTAACACTATCTTTATTTAGATCATCATGTCTATAATATGTACCATCATGATCGATATTTTTCAATTCAATTGATTCAAATTGATTGTTTAATCGTTGTTGTTGATGATTATTAAAAAAATTAAATAAATCACTATGAACATTATGATTATCATCAGCTTGATGATAATCGTCAAAATCATCATCACCATCATGATGATTATGATGATGATCATAATCATAATCTATATTCGTGCTGCTGCCACCACCACCATTATTCTGTTCCATTGGTATAATTATTCTGTTTTTTCTCATTGAAATCGAAATCGGTATGGCTGATGATGATATTGTTTGATGATTAGTTGCTAATTTATTACTATCCGTGAATAAATTTTCATCATTATCATCATCTACATTTTGTTTTCAAATCAAACATATATCAAAGTGGAATTTTTCGAAAAATTCGAATTGAAAAAAAAACAGGGTAAAAAAATTATTGAAATGATTATACAAAAGAAAAAACAGATAAATGGTGCTCTTTAACAGTGTGAAATTTTTTTTTGTTTTATTTTGAATTGAAATAGTCGATGAATTTTTGGAAAAAGAAAGTAATTTTTTTCTTGGAAAAGAAAATAAAATTATTACAAACCTTTACTAGCAAGATCACGTGTCAATATGGCCGATATGATCTGTTGACATGCTTCCAATGGTCTATTACCAATGATCAATGGTTGTGCCATCAATGTCCAACCAGGTTGTTGTTGATTATCGATACTACGTTTGGCCAACATTGAAATCGAAACATCATCGGTTGATGATGATAATGGCAATTTTGATGATGTTGGTTGTATCGATGATGATGATGATGATGGTGTAATCGATACACAATGTGTCGGTTGTACAGTGATCATCATCATCATCATCAGTGATATACATAGTGCCATTATTGTCGATAATGATATTAATGAATTACGTTGGGAAGCGGAAATGTATGCTGAAGAAAAAGAGGACAATAATGGTGTTAATGATGATAATGATGATGATGATGATGATGATGGACACAATACCATATCCGTTTCAATACAATTATCTGTGTTAAAAGAATAGGAAGCATTGTTGTTGTCGTTGTTGTTAAAGACAAACATCCGTTTATGTTGAAATTGTTTTGATGAACATTTGACATTTGATGTAGACATTTTTATTTCTGATGATAATTATTCAAAATTAATTAATTAATTAAATTCGAAAATCAGCAAAAAGTGTTTATGTGTGAAGTGGAAAAAAACGAACAAAGAGTGAAAAAAAATTACAATAAAATTCATACACAAACAAAAATTTTTGTCAATCAAAAAAAAAATGATTCGATATTTTTTGTTCTCGTTGTAGAAATTAATTTCCTTATTTTTTTTTTTCTCTCTCTCTCTCTCATATGATAAATTTGAAACTTGATGAAATGAAATTTATTCGTTTGTAAATTTTCATGCTTTTATATACCATGGCCACCATCATCGGATGGACCAACACCTAATACCCGACGACAACGATAACAACCAAAAAAAAAAAAAAAAAAAAGAAAGAGAACCACCAGATAGATACATAAGGTGGTTACAATAACAACAACGACAATAACCGGCTTGTCTTGCGCTAAAACAAGCAAATAGAAACAGCTATATTCTGGACATGAACAAACAAGAAACAACGATAACAACAACAACAACAACAAAAATATCGGCTATTTAATAGACCATTTTTCTACCATTTTTATTCTATGTTTAAATTTTGGGCGGATCTTTTTTTTCACTCTTTGATTGAAAAAAAAAAACAAATGTGGTGCCCGTACACACACACACACACACATCATACAAATATTGAAAATAAAATGTTATAGTCAGTCAATAATAATAATGATAAAATATATAACTACCTTACATGACATTACATATTGAATATGATAATAATGGTCAATATAAAAACATTGAAATATCAACAGTCAAACAAAACAAAACAAAAATGAACAATGAATGAATCAAACCTATAAAATTGGATCTTTTTTTCCCTTTCATCATTCATTCATTCATTATTATTGTTTTATTACATTGGCAAAATGTCACAATGTTCGATGTCAAATTAATATAATTATTATATATTATGACAAGATTATTTTTTGTTGTTGTTGTTGTTGTTTCGTTTCATGACATTTTCATTTTTATTTTCATTTTTTTTATATAATAAACTACACTTTATTATTATATGATCAAAAGTTAACAATTACATCTTCTATAATATTGAATGTCGTCATTGTCATTGTTAATGGGTTTGTGTGTGTGTGTGTATGGGATTCTATTTGGTCAATCAATGATGATCATCATCATTTCATTGTCAAAAAAAAACAACAACAACAAACACTTGAATAAACACTTGAAAATGCATTTGAACATCTTCATCTTATACATTTGAAGAGAATTTATCAATAGTGTAGAGAAAAATAAAATTGCCATTAAGTTTTGGGGAATCTATTTTTTTTTTAAATAGAATTATTCCATAAACTTTGTTTCCATGTCTTCATTGGTTAGATGGTTATATTGGAATAAAACCTACCATCATCATCATCGAACTTCAGTGACTTTATGAATTTTATTATGAACCAGAAAAAAATAAGAACAAAACAAAACAAAAAAAACAACAAAATTTCATTCATAATTGGATTGTCCGTAAAATGTGAGGCAATCCAATTATGAATGAGCGAAAACAAACAAACAAACAAACAAATGACCATTCAAATTAGAATGTGAATGTATGTTTCAATTATGTTTTTTATTATTATTATTATTATTATTATCATCAATGTTCCAAATAATGGAAATGGACAATAGGAACACAAATATGAAATGAAAAAAAAAGTTTTATTTTTGAAACTTTTTTTTTCATTTTATTTTTTCATTCATTCATTCAATGATTCTCGTTGAATTGTGAAATTTTTTTTTCATTTTGAAAATTCGAATGATGATTGTTTTTTGTTTTATTTTTGGCTCAAAAGTTTTTTTTCTTTTTTGAATGAAAATGAAAATGAATCATTTGCAAACAAACAAATCGTATGAATATGTTAATCAGACTAAAATCATCTCATAGTAAATATTCATTCAGATTCTTATGATTTTATCATTGATCAATGATCAAACAATCAGATCAATTTTTCATTTATTTCTTTTTTTTTAGAAAAATCAGAATCAACACACACACACACATTATGTACTCAAACAAACAACGAAAAAAAATATCCTGGTAAAAGGCGGATTTGTGTTCACCTGTTTTATTTATCTTAAAGGTGCGACACACACACACACAAAAGTGTGAAAAAAACCCATATAAACGCAATACGGTAGTAAAGTAATTACACACACACACACACACACACACACACAAGATCAAAATTATTGTCGAACCTTGTCTGCAAAAAAAAAACAATCAGATAAAAATGAATCGTGTTTTTCTTATTTATTTCAAATTCACTCCCTTTAATCACACATGCACGCTATAGAATTTGAATTGAAACATTTTTTTTCATTTTTTTTTGTTTAAAGAATTTTCTTTCTTTTTTTGTTCACAACAATGAACAAATAGAATTCATTTTTTTTAATGGAATCACGAAAATCATTTAATTCGTTTAGGATTGGCAACATGTTTTCAATAGATAGTGAATCCTTAGATAAATATTTTCGATCATGTTTGAAATAAAGCCAATATTTTTTTTTATATTTTCAATGGAATTCTTTTGATTTTCAGTTGTTGTTGTTGTCGTTGGTTAATTGGCATTCTATGATTTTTTTTTCATTTATGAAATGAAATGACTTGAATCATTTCGTAAAAAAAATATATGAAAAGGCTATATATGTTTATTTTGATTTTGTTATTCGTTTTTTTTTCTCATTTCATCTAATAGCAATTTTTTTATAAAAATTTAAATATGGCGAAACATTGAGGAATATTCTTGAAAGTTGATGTTGTTCCATCCATTCATATTCATTTTATTCACATGCGAAATTAAAAACATCACATCACAATATAAATATATGACATACAATGAACAAGAAAAAAAAATACATTGGCTCATTGAATGAGTGGATCAAACAAAATTGAACGAAAATAATAACGTTTCCAAGAATTAATCGATGGGGAAAAAATGATGTAGAAAATAACAACAAAAACAACAACAACAATAACTAAAATTGAAAAAATCAAATTATTCGAAACAAGAACAAAAAAAATAGAAATAAATTTTCAATTATCTTTTAGCATATTGTTCAATTCATCGAAGTTGCTTGAATATTCTATGTATGTGTGTGTGTGTTGTTTATATTATATAAAACATGGGACCTTTTCAAAATATTGCCTCATCATCATCATCATCATATTGGAACATGCAAACAAAACAAAACAAAACAAAAAAGCTGGAAATTGAAATAAAACGATCAAAAACATCATAATATAAAAAAAAGGATGAAAAACAAAATGAAAAAGGGAAATAAATAAATGAATAAAACATGTCCATAACAATCAATATATAATAATGGAAAGATAATTCCAAGAAATTCAAAGATTTTGCAAAAAAAACGAAAAACGAATACAGAATAGAGAAGCGATTTCTATTGACGCCATTGCTATTATGTTGTATTGAAATTGAGTTGAATAATAAAGTAAAGTAAAATGTCAAACCTCATTGATGATGATAATGATGATGATGATGATGATGATGATGAAACAAAAGACACACATTTCGAGCATATTTTTATTCCGGATGAAACATCTTTCATATTTTATCAACAACAACAACAACAACAACAACAATAACAACAACAAAAAGTATGTCAATTTTCCCATCACAGAGAAATAACAGAAAAAAACGAGGGTTAAATATTAGTAATCCTCGATAGAATCAGGTTTCAATAGATTATTCATATTTTTGTCTTGTTTTTTTTCATTGGTTTCAAAAAGAGATTTGTCGATTGTTTTGATATGTGAATTTTTGTTGGTGGTTTTTCCACACACACACACAACAACAACAACAACAAAATTTTTTCCCGGGAACAATGTATCCAATTTTTTTTTCTTTAATGTTTGGTTATATGGAAATGACCTTGTTTTGTTTATCAACATATCTATTATGTTGTTGATTATGATGATTATTGTTAAAGATGGATTGTTTCATGATAAATTTCATGGAAATCTATATTTTAGTAACAAGAAAAAAAAGTGGGTGGTATACAACCAGTATATGAAACTACTTATCAAGATTGTGATTGAACACACAAAATAAAGGTTAAAACTGAAAAATTTTAAATTATAAAAGAATCGATTTTCATATTCATCAGAAAAGAATCGAAAATCATATCGTATTCATGAGAATAAAAATGATCATCAGAAATGCAATTCATGTTTTTAATTGAAGAAATGATTTTTTTCATTTTTTTTTTTGAATATTGAAACTCACAGAAATCAAGGGCAGTAAAAAAAAATTTGTTTCCAAAAAGGTTTCCACTAATAACGAAACGATGATGATAACAAAATTTATTTCATCGATGATGATGACGATGATCGAATTTGAATATTTCCAATTTACATTTCTTTCTTTTTTTTTTTTTTTTTGTTTTACAAAAAATGATGATGAAGACCAAGTAGGTGGAACCGGAGCCAACGACAATAATGTAATTTAAAATGGAATAGATATGCTTTCATATAAAATTTTTGCTACCATGAATATAGTAGTTTATGATTGGTAGTTTTTTCCCCCCACCAATGGATCCTGATTTTTTTCCTGCAAGTATAAAAAGGGTTAGAATTGGGATGAAAAAAAATTATTTTTATTTTGAAAAAAATAAACAACAAAAAAGACGAACCAAAAAGAAAAAAAACATAGTCCATGATTGTTTGATTTAAAATTAAGTTATCCGAAGAAATTATGATTCAAAAAATGACCACAAATATGGTGATGATCATCTTTTTTTTCGCCATATGGCAATCACATCATATGATGATGACAACGGATGCGGCATTAATGTTGACAAGAGATGATTGTGCTGATCTTTATTCAATGATTGGTGCTAATGAACAACAGCAACCAGAAAATGCTATCGGTATGTATAGTTTGAATTTTTATGTTGTTGAAATTTGTCTTCTTTTTTTTCAATTAATTACATTGATTATAATTACAAATTAGAAATAATTCGTCGTATAACACAACATCAAATGGATGCCGATAGTCTTGTTCGTCTTTATGATCTTTGTTTACGATCCGAAGAAGGTATACGTTATCGACGATCAATGTGGCCACAACCATCATCATCATCATCATCATCCAGATGGTCATTTATGAATAGAAATCAACATAAACAACATAATTCCATCATACCATCGTTATCAACATCAATGAATAATCATCATCATCATCATCATCAACATGAACAACAATCACCATTGGAAACCGATTCATATGGACAACAAACAACAAAACAGGAACAAGAACAACAACAACAACAACAACAACAACGAGAATAACATTGAATATTTTGATTCATTAATATTTGATCTGAAACAAAACAATGAATAGAATAAGAAGAAAAAAACAAAAACATTATTTGAATATTTTGAAATCAAAAAATAAATAATTACAAAATATTACATACCTACATATAATGATCTTTCATCATTATCATATCAAAATACAAAATACAAAATACAAAACAAAAATTAAGACTATTTGACAAAAAATAAAAACAAAAAAGTCCCTGCAATGTATATTGATGATTAAAATGAAACATTCTCATTCACTTTTAACAAAAAAAAGCTTATTATGTTGTTTATTACCTGGAAAAAAATAGAAAATTCAATTCTCAAACATAATACTTACCCCTGTGTGTGTGTGTTTTTTTTCATATTCACGATAATAATATTGATTCAATTATATTAATTGAATATCAAAGTATTTTTTTTTTTTTTTTTTTGATCAATAAATAAGTATCAAAGAAAAATCGGATGAAATATTCTTCTTCTTCTTCTTCTATTTTCATTTTCTGTAACAAAAAATAAATAAATAAATAAAAAATAAATAAACAAAAAATGAACAGACAAAAAAAAAATTACCATAAAGCATCTTAGTTGTATGCAAACTAAAAATAAAAAAAAAGTTTATCGGGTTTTTTTTTCGAAAGAATAAGGGGATGAAACAAAAAATTATTTTTTGCTTTTCCACATGTATAAATTCAATGTCCATATACATAATTCATCAATTTGATGCATAGCAGAATGGCAGCGAATAATAATAATAATAACATCAAATGCAATGAATTTTTGTCTATTTTATGATGATGATGATTAATATGAGAAGATATTGCCACACACACACACAATCGAGTCTGAAATGTTTTGGTCAATAAATTTTGGCCAATGTTTGTTGTTGATATGATAAATTCTTCAATGAGATTTTAAATGTGAAATATACATGTTGAATTTTTTTTCCATAATATGATGATGATGATTGCATTTTGTTTTGTTTTGTTTTTTTAACATCAATTTTCATTTCATTTTTAGATATTTATCATGATTTAATTGATTGCTGTGAATGGGAGAGAGAGAGAGAAAGAGTAAAAAAAAGTGAAAATTAAAATTTTCTAATTTTAACTTTTTCATATAACCAATTACCTTGTTATGTAAATAAATAGAAATCGAAAATTAATTTCCGATTTTCCATCCTCTCTTTCCAAAAAGGTACATTTCATTCGAATCAAATGGGATGAGTTTTTTAAGCCTACGCAAATAAATATTCTCTGTGTATATGTTTATGGCAACGATAAAAACAAAAAACAAAAATTGGCCACTTACGAAAATGGTCTATCAAACGAGAAAATGAAAAAAAAAATCAAAAGCTGATAATAAAATAAAGAAAAAAAAATTAAAGAATACCATTAAAAAAAATGAATATGTGATGGTGGTGTTTATTTTGAAACTAATCACATATATGTAAAGAATATTCGTGAAATGTGGAATATTCACATACACACACACATCATATATACGCCATGATGATGGATGATCATTTGCGTGGGTTCACTTTTTTTTTGTTGGTGCATATTTATTTCATACTGTAATAATGACAAAAATAATAAAATTTTAGTACATCAAATGAATCAGCCACAGAGAACCGTAGAGAATATCATTACATTGGGTTGGTTGGTCATTGTTTGTATTTTTTTTTTTTTTTTTTTGTTTCTTGAATATGTTATCATCATTGGTTATGGCCAATTTAATATTTACCGTTATTTTTCTTTTCTAGTTAATTTTCTTTTTTTTTCTTGTTCACCAACAGAAAAAAAGTTGTTGAAAAAATGGATTTTTCTAGTTTCAGGACAGTTTTGTTTTTTTTTCATCATCAAACAAGATAAATCTACATGGTTCCAGAAAAATTGAATCATAAAAAACAAGAAAGAAAGAAAAACATTCATGTTCACATTCTATTTCGACATTTGCCGCCACATACACATGTGGTAATCGGATATCAATATTGTTTACCATTATAAATTATAGAGGAAATAAAAAAAAAATTTTTCTTTAAATTCCGGAATTTCCTTTATTCTATTCTCATCTAATACAGTAGAATGATTATTACTATTTAACATTTTAAACATTTTAAATATTTACATCACGATCGACCGAATGAAGGGGGAAAAAAAGAATATTAAACAGTGTGTGTGTGTATTCATCAATTTTTTTCCAACAAAAACGACAACAAAAAACACCCATATTCTTTCATCCAAAAAATTTTTTCTTCCTCCACCCGATAGGGCGGTGGCTCAAGTTATTTTTATATTCTCGGTGTAGTGTGCGTGTTTGCATTTCGTTTTTTTTTGTATGTCAAAAACAAAACGAAAAATTGTACGTATATACGTACAAATACAATTCTGGTGTTTCGTATTTTTATTTCATCTTTATTTTGTGTAAACAAAAAACAAAAACAAAAATTCTTACTTTATTCTCATGAATCATTATTATTGAAATTTTTCTGTTTTTTTTTATCGAATTGACGTATATATGGCCATGAATTTAATGGTGGTAGGTGGATATGTGGATGGATGGAAATAGTGAAACCTTTATTTAATTCCATTCGAAACATAACATTAACAACCGCTTTCTATGCTACTTTTATTAGTTCAAGTTCAAATTATTCACATTTCTTCGTTCCAAATTGTCATGGAAAAAAAATGATGGAATTTTTTTTGTTCATAATTATAATTCAAAATTCAAAAATAGAGAATTTTTTGTTGTTGTTTTCTTAAATTTTATCGTGATGACGATAATGATGATGAATAAAAATTTTGAAAAATACAATCATCAACATCATTATTCATTGCAAAAAAAAACACTAATGTGGCAAATATGTTAATAAAAGTGGAAAAAAAAATAAAATCACGGAAAAAACCTGTATGAATTCTTGTTGTTTTCATTTTGGGCCGCAAAAAAAAAATTTATTCTCTCCAAAATGACATCTCATGTATGTTCAGTGCAAAATGGGAATAAAAAAGAATTTCAAATAAGAATCAAAAATAGCTTGCCAAAATAACATATGAAAGAAAAATTTCTAAATAACCGACTGACTGATTATATGATTGGCTGAATACATTTATTCGTTTTTTTTCTACAATCATCATCATCATCATCATCATCATCAATGACATATTATTTTGGCATCAATTTGTCAACAACAACAACAACGACCCGAAAATGGAATATAACTAATCTATCTATTGCAGTAGTCAGCATTTGTCTGTGTGTGTGTGTGTAACAACCTGCAGCCAACCGAATCGTCAATGAGGGGGGAAGTAAAACAACAAATTAATGAATGAATGAATTTGACAAAAATTCAATGAAAAAAATAACTGCAAAAACAGATTAATAATAAACAAAACTTTATCGAATAAAAATGAATGAAAGATTCTGTCTTTTTTTTTACTCTTCAACAAATAAATCGCTGATAGTGGTATAAAAATTTAAAGTCATGATGATGATGATGATCACACACACACACAGACACTTCACCCCTCAACCAGTATTTTGTATCCACAAAATCATCAAAAATTCACGTTTTTTTTTCTCTATTTTGGCTTCCCCCTTTTTTTCATTCATCCATTTATTCATCATCATCCAAACACCACCCACACACACATACACACAAGAATTCACAAGACATCAACATCATCGACAACTACCTAAACTATTTCAGTCGATTTTTACATTTTTTTTCTTGTTTGTTTGTTTGTTTCGAATTCTTATTTGTTTTTGTTTTTTGTTTTTTTTTTTTTTTTTTTGGTTATGTTATTGGTTAACATCCAAAACAGAAATAACTGAACAACAACAACAACAACAAAAAACAGGGCAAAAAAAAAATGCAAAAAAAACAACTGCTGTTAGGTCACAAGTTATATTCACACACACACACACACACACACATTCAAATGTTGTAAACGAAAAAAAACAGACAAAATACACATTTGCTTGGATACAAAAGAATTGAATATTTGTTCAAGGGGAATAATCATCATTATCAACATTTTTTTGAAAGTCATTCATTCATATAGTAGTAAGTTTCTTTTTTTTCTGAATATTTATTTTTTCCCAAAAATAATTAAATAGGTAATCGATTCCCATTCAATATCCGGTGGTGGTGGAAACTATTTTCACTTTTTTTGTTTTGTTTTGTTTTGTTTTGTTTGTGTATATGTAGGTGTTTTTGTTTCGCATGATTCGATTTGTTTTTTTTGTTCTATTTAAATTGTGATCAATTAATTAATTAAACGACTAATTAAAAATTGAAGAACAATTTTAATTTTGTGAATTTTTTTTTTATCAACAAAATAATATCAACTATATAGTGTTTTTGTCGTGTGTAAGTGTGTTTTTGTGTGTGTGTGTGTGTGTGTGTATAATTGGCTATTTTGTTCCAAACAACAACACATTCCCATTCTATTGTTCCACCGTTATTATCCATTGAATCCAGCTCCAGAATCCATTCAAAATTGATTCATCCACAAACAGCACCTATTTCCTATTGCTTTTTTTTAATGTTTTCATTTTCTCACAATCGTTTCATTCGTGGCTAGAGGTGTGTATGGCTTGTTTGTTTTTTTTTGTTTGGAAATATCATTCATGTAAAAATTTGTTGGCTTCTCAAATGTGCTATTTTTTTACATAAACATTTCATTATAATAAACTCAAGAATCCATCAAAAAAAAAATCCAGAACTCCAAGTAATAGAATAATTCACAAAATGAGTGGGGTTAGGTAGATATAGAAATCGAATCTTTAATCTAATCATGACTGAATATATTCATAAAGTGAATATATATGAAATCAAATCATGAAAGTAGTGTGAATTGGATTTTTGTTTTCTTTTACATTTATTTTTTTATCCAGATATTTTTTTTTGATGGATGGCATTTTCTTTTTCTGGTTTGTCATCCAGTGTTTTTTTTTCATTTGGTTCTGTTTTTCATTTACCATATTCTCTCTCTCTCTCTCTCTCTCTCTGTGTGTGTTTTCCAATCTCATTTACATGATTACATGATTATGAAAAAATTACTAAAATCCAATAAATTTTTTACACTCCCCAAAAAATTATTCATGATTTTTTTTCTGTTACATTTGGCGTCATAAAGGTTGTTCAGAATGTAAATCCTTTTTTTTCACATTCATTATCAATTTATGTATTTCTAAGAGTGTAGAATTTTGAAAAACATTCGAAAAAAAGCAATCCATATTTTTGGTGTTCATACTACTTTTTCCTTATACAATTCACCGAATATTTGCCTAAATGTCTAAATTCGAATCTATCTATGTATGTATATATATAGTGTTTATGTTTCATCATCACCATCATATTGTTTATATAATATTCAATCCATTTGCAATCAATCCTAGCAATATTTTTACACGTTTTAAGCTTTTTTTTTTAAATTTATTTATCCTTTCATCGAATGTTTGCGTGTCTTACTCGACGACGACGACGACGATGATCATCATTTCAAAGTCGACGATCAATTTCAATTTTCGTTGTTCTGTAAATCCAATTGTTTGAATTTTTTCTTTTCACATCTTCTCTCCCCTAGATTATGTGATTGAAAATAGTAATATCGAATGATTTATATATATGTTTAAATTGAATTGAATCTTTTCTTTTTTTTATTGAAAATTTGTTTCATGTTGTTTTCTTTATTTTTCATTTTTGTTTGTTCAAATAGATAGTTCTCATCTAGATTATTATCGTCTTTATCAACAACAACAACAACAACAACATCATCATCATCACTAAACCCTCTCTCTCTCTCTCTCTCTCTCTATCGAACAGAAATGGCGAAATTCAATATCAAGTAAGTGTTGTCAACAAAAGCAGAATGTTTTTATTTATAAAAAAAAATAATCCGATGAATGAATGTATGTGGAATTCCAAGTATTGACAACGTATAATTCAAATTTACGGCCGGAAATGTTAAAATAAAAAAAAAGATTTCAATCATATCTAATAGAATCATACATATATCATATTTCATAAATAATATTCGATATTGTAATATTGAAGAGATTGAAAATATTATCGGCAAAAATCGGATTTTGTTGTTGTTGATTTTTTTTGTGAAAACAAAAAATTTATCTGCTAGTTTTGTTTTGTTTTGATTAAATTGAATTAAATTCAAAAGAAAACATGTATCAAATATTGATCATCATCATTTATTATTATTATTATTATAGGGAGATGCACATTTTTGGCATGGGTAATCCATTGCTTGACATTACGGCGACAGTTGATAATGCTTTTCTTGAAAAGTAAGAATTTTTTTTATCATTAAATTAAATTACTATCATTAAATAGAACAAGAATTGATGCTGACACGTCGAAGATGAGCTCGTTAATTCTTGTTGTTTGTTTATACAATGCAAGTAATTTTATTTCCAAAGTGTAAACCAGGTTATTTTGAAAAAAGTTTACTCACACACTAAACGACATAATGAATTAGCAGAATAGGATGTTATGAATTTTTTTTTGTTTTTTTCCACAAATATAGATATGGATTACCGAAAAATTCGGCCATATTAGCCGAAGCTAAACATGAACCGATGTATGAAGAGGTAATTAATAAATATGAGATTGAATATTCAGCAGGTGGTGCAACACAGAATACGATGCGGTATTGTCAATGGGTTGTTGGTAAAAATCTACAATTAACAACATTTATCGGTGCCGTTGGTAATGATTATTTTGGTAAAATAATGGAACAAAAAGCCAAAGATGATGGTGTTAATGTACATTATCAAAAAGTTGATGATGCCCTTACCGGTACCTGTGCCGTATTGCTTAATAATAATGGCAAATATCGTTCACTTTGTGCTTATCTTGGTATTTATTATTCTCAATTATTATTTGTCCAAATATTCATACGAAATTCTTTATCTTTCCCATTTTATTATGTTTCATCTTCCGACAAACGGCATTTTTTCTGGTGTTCATCTTATTTTCAAAATATATTCCATTTCATTTCATTTTATTTTAGGTGCTTGTAAAAAATTCGATAAACATTTTCTTCTATCCAATTCGGTATTTGTGGAAAAGGCTAAACTTTATTACATTAGTGGTCATATGTTGCCAGGTAAATATGCTTTTTGTGTGTGTGTGTGTTACACTTTATCAGGTTCCCTTTGTTCACATTATTATTATTAGTGTGTATTTGTTCACCTTTGAAGAAAATTTTGTTTTTTTTCTGTTTGTTGATAACTAATAACATTGACAGTTTATAGTTGAAATAACGTGAATCGAAAACCATTAACCATTATTTTTTTTTCTTCGAAATTTATTAAGATAAATTAAAAATTGACCATTTCTTTGAAATGAAAGGGCGATGATGTTGTGTTGAATTGAAAATATAAAGAATTAAAGTTTTTGACGTTTCTTTTTTTTCTTGAATTCTGATCAAATAACAATGGGTGTAACTCAAAGTTTATTTCATAAAATAAACAGTGAAGAAGAAAAATTGTTTACCATGGTATACCAATGTCAATGTAAATGTTAAGTGTGTTTGCGTGTGTTCGTGTTATATGGTGAATTTGAGAAAAAAGGAAGGAAAATTCAGGAAATATTTTTTCAAATTCTTAACGAAAATCTTTTTTTTCATTTATTTAAAATAGTATCACATGAAAGTTGTATGCATATTGCACAACATTCAATGGATTGGGGTAAAGATTTTTTCTTCAATCTAGGTATGTATAATAATAAGAATGAAAATAAATTCCAATTTCTATTCACTTTTTATCTTCTTTCTCACCTTTTTTTTTCTTTGTCAATCAATTTAGCTGCTCCATATGTAACACAAAAATGTCAAAAAGAATTGGAAAAATTAATGACATATGTTGATTTTTTCTTTGCCAATCTGGATGAAGCCCTTGCATTTGCCACAATGAAAGGATACACTGTAAGTTATTCTGATGAATATTTTTGTTTAAAATTACATTTTCATTTATTACTAGACAAAAGATCCGAAAGAAATCGCCAAACTTATTGCTAAAGAACCGAAACAAAAATACAATAATCCACGCATACCAAGCCAATATAAAGCTGGCCGTGTTGTTGTCATTACACAATCGGAAAATCCGGTCATCATGTTTAAATCCGATTGGTCCGATGTAAAAGAATTCCCCGTACCACAATTATCAGAAAAGGAATTAAAAGATACAAATGGTGCTGGTGATGCATTTACCGGTGGTTTTTTGGCCATGTATATTTGGGGTAAACCATTGGAACAATGTATTAATTGCGCTATTTATTGTGCAACTGAATGTGTTAAACAACAAGGCTGTACATTGCCTAAAACCATGTCTTATAAATTCTGAACAAACTAAATCAACAAGATATATATAAGATTAAGATTATGATTGACCGTAACCAAAAAAACAAAACAAAAAAAATGGTATCTAATATCTAAATCGTAACTAAATTCGAATATATCCATGACCCCACCCAAATGTTTATCAAGACCAATACAAAAAAAATAAATGAATGATTCCCATTACCCATTGATAAAAATGGAAATAACCAGTTTCCTCAAAAGATATAAAAACAATCAATTTTATCAGTCCATCAGATGAACGCACCACTTATTACACAGACACCAAATGAATCGTACATTTGATTGATAATCTTAAACGTTAATCAAAAAAGACGAAAAAGAGTTCAATGGACAATGATTTCTATATTTAATTACACGTTGTTGTGAATGAATAAAAAAAAGTCGAAAAAACATATGATGATTTGTGTTGTAATTAATTGAATTGTGTAAATTATTAAAACACACACATGTGGTCAGATTGAAATGATAATAATGAAAAAAAAATGTTTGACATTATTATATATGACAAAATAATATAATACAAAATTATCATCATCATCATCATCATTGATGATGAAATCAAATCAAGGTTAGGTTATTTTTTGGTTTGATGATCGATTTGTAATCAATTCGTAATCCATTCATAATGATTGAACCGATTCAATTGTTTCAGAAAATTCGATGTCAATTGCAATAAACGATTTAATCGTATCAATTCTTCTTGTGTTTTTGAACGTGGCCTTTGAAATAATCGACTATGTTGATGTGGCTGTTCCATTGGTCGTAATATTTCTGATAATGTTATTATCTCTTTCGATATACGATCACGATATTGTTCGAGTGCTAATAATAATCCATGTTGAATATTTCGTCGTTCATTCGAAATTTGACAACGATAATGATTTAAACGAAACATTCGTTGCCATAATGTATGTATATGTTGTGGTAATAATTGTGACCATTGTGATTCGATACGTTGTTCATCATTATCCATATCGAATGAATGTGACCACCGATCACAAGGTTTTATTTGTGTATTCCAACCTTCATTATTGGATGGCCAGAAATGCATCCAAAACGGTATGTTCGATGGTCGACCATTTGATTGTGTTGGATTACGCGAAGGTATCGTTTTGGACGGACCAATTGTCGTCATCGTTTTGGTGGAAATCGTTGGCATCATTGTTGTTGTTTTTGTAGCCGTCGTTGTGGATTGATCCCAATCTGAGACGGTTGAAGCCGATGATGATGATTGGTCAGTTTTGGCAACAGGTGAAACTGTTGTCATCGGTACTCGTTCTTCTACTGATGGTGATACCATAGTTGTCGATAAAGTAGTTGTTGGCTCTTCTGTTTCCATTATGACTGGAGCTTCTGTTGTTGTTGTCGATATTGTAATTATTTCGACCTTATTAGTTGTAGGTTGTTCATTAGCTCTTGATTCATTGTCACCTTCGATTACAGATATTTCAGTTGTTGTAGGAATCGAATCTGTCGCTAGTTCTGTAAGAATCGATTGTGTCGTAGTTGTGGTCGATGAAATAGGTTCCAACGGTGATGTTACATCCGGTTCTTCCATTAACCGAGTGGTCATTCCCATATCGATGGTATGTGAAGAAATGGCTTGATCGGTAATAAACTCTTGATCCACTTCTTCATTAGCCATAGTTGTCACCGTCTCAGTTATTGACATTTCATCTTCCGGTGCAATTACAGTCGAAGAATCGACACCATTATTCTGATCAAATGATGGAGGCATTTGTCGATCAATATCAAGACTGTTTATCTCTGTTTTTGGTTCCACATCTTTTGACATTGATGTCGTTGATGCTGGTGATTGAGTAGAAAATGCTGTTGCTGGTTGTTCGTAATTTGTTGTTCCATCCATTCCCGAAGTAGTCGTTATGAGAGTTGTGACTTCATCGACCGGTGTCGCCGTCGTCGTTACAGTCGAATATGGTGGCATTTCCGTATCCATGCGTAATTCTGTTGTCGTTTGCATTGGGAAAGGTGTCGTGGTCATCAAGTTAAAATCTGTGATCAATGAATTTTCAGTTGTAGTAATCGGAGCTTGTAGTTCTGTAGTTTCATCTATTGAATTGACCGTGGTCATTGATTCGGGAGATAATGTCGAGATTTCCGAAGTCGCTGTCCGTTCTATGGTTTGAGTAGTAGTTATATCAAAAACATTCATCGTAGTTGATTCTTGTTCATCTTCAGTCGATGATGATTTATCATCAGATGAGGTGATTGAGATATCGGTCGAAATCGATGAAGTTGATGAACTTGATAGCTCGGTAGTATCCATAGTAGATTCAGAACTGGAAATACCAGCATCACTCATGGTTGTCATTTGATCATCGATCATCGTAGTCGTAGAATCATTAATCGGTTCAGGTGTTGATGATGATGATGGTCCAGGTACATTCTCTGTTATTGTCATTACGGATTCCTGATCAACCGTCGTAGATGGCATCAAAGTCCATGATTCTTCCATGACAGTAGAGATTGTACTTGGCAATGTTGTCATTGGAATTTCAAAATCAACTGATGAATCTGTTCTATCCACTGGTGGTAATGATGATGATTCAGTAGTGGAATAATCAGGCGTTAGATTATCAACATCAAATGATGGAGTATTCGATTCTTCAGTTGTACTTGCTACTGTCGATGACTGCTGCTCAACATCAGTCGATGGAATTGAATTTTCATTTCGATCTTCAACGGAAATAATAATCGATGATTCTGTTGTCGATGTCGATGATGGCAAAGTTGGATTTGAATCTAATGTATAATAGAAATGATTATAATTATTTTTAAGATTAAGATTTTTTAGAAAAACATACAAGATTCCATCGGAAACGAAGTCAAAGTTGTCAATGAAGTCGAAATAGTAGTGGTAGTAGTAGTAGTTAGCTCTTCATCCGGAATAGGTAATTCGACACGTTGTCCCAAAGAACGAACATCGATTTGATCGATATTGGATTCTTCGGCATCATCATAATTCTCATTATTATTATCTGAATCGATGACAAAATGTTCTTGTTCATTTATCGTAAACACTGTGAAAAAGAAAAAATAGGATTAGAATGGAAAAAGATTTTCTCACAAAAATGTTTCAATAAACCTACATGGAAATGTGACTGAAAAATTAATGAAAAAAACATTGACAATAAAGATGACAACAAAAAATTGATTCATAGCTGAAGAATAAGATAAACGAAATCAAAGAAACATGTGAAATAGAATTCCCTAATCGATCGGTTGAAAATTGAATACGAAGAAATTAGGATTTCAACTGTGTGTTTGTGTGAGTGTTAGCGTGTTTTCACTGGTTATGGTCCAAGTAATAATGGAAAATCCAAACAAAAAAAAATGTAATGATCATAATTTATATATATGAAAAAAAAACTTGTTTCTTGTGGTTTTTTTTCAGCCACTAAATAATCATTACTCATCATAATTATTGAAAGTGAACAAAAAAAAAATTTTTATTCTCATCGGTATTGTTAATTGTATTGACCAGTGTACACAAAGGTCATTTCAAAAATGTGTAAAAAGAGGTAAGAATATCAAATAATAAAAAAGGTGGATCATACCAGGCACACACTCAAACACAGGGTTTCAACATAATTATCAATGTTAAAAAAGGTATTTGGTTTTTTTTGTTTGAACATTTTTACTTACCAAAATTTATTAAAATTATTTTGATCGACCATAAAAATATGGCCATCAATATGGCCAATTGTATAAAATGTATTAATCGCATGAATGTTTGATAACGAAATTCAACACCAAAACGGTATCGTTGTAGTTTTGGCCTTTTTTTGTTGTTGTTGAAAACCGGAAAAAAATAGAAAAACAAATAAACAAAAAAAAAAACAGGCAATTAGAACATGATGCTTATACTTTTTAAAAATGATGATTTACAATGGAACCAGAATAAATTTAAAACGTGAAAACATCATTTTTTTTCGTTTTTCTTATGAGTTTCAATTGGAAAGTAATGACGAGAAAAAAGAAAACCAAAAAAGCTATTAATTATTGTTATATTGTATATGTGACCGTGGTCGTTGTTGCGATGATAATTATAGATTTTCACTTTGAAATTTCAGTCTAAAATATCGTCGTTGTCATCGAAGTCTTAATGACAGGAGTATTAATGTGGTGTTTATATTATTATATTATCCCCCTTTTTTCCAAATGTCACCAAACGAAGCCTGAAGCCAAAGATTTTGCCATTCATTTCGACATTTTTTTATTTTTCCAAACATTAACAGGTAAATTAAACGTAAAGAAAAGGGGAAAAAAAGAAAAATTAATTATCAATCAATCAATCAATCAATAAGAGAAATAAAATCATCAAGGCAAGGATAATTGTGTCACAAACACACACACACACACAGTTATTATTACTTACCCATAAATAATATTGATGATCAATTAAAATTCGATAATATGATAAATTAATTGAGAATTGTGCGAATTAATCACAATGGACCAAGGTCAATTATCATCAAAATATCCATAAATTGATGGAACATGTTCCACATATGACATATTCTCTATATAAACATTCGAAAATTCGAATCTTTTTCTATCTATCTAATTGATGTGATGAATTGGAAATTTAACAAAAATAAAAACAAAGTTAAAATTAATTTTGTTCTGTTTTTCTTCGTTGTTTTTGTCTTTGTTTGTCCAAAGTTGACCATGATTATGATGATGATAATTGTTGAACTTTTTGTTCACATTTTTGACACACACACACACAACAATAATGTTGAACTTTGTCGATTTGGTTGTTGTTTTTTTTCTGTTCATCTCTCTCTCTCCCTCTCTCAATGTGTGTGTGTCTGTGTGTAATTCTTTGATTCTGATCGAGAAATTTTTCAAGGTATGTTTATTATGTTTATTTATGGAAAATAATTCGTTCCGCTTTTCGAATGTTGTTGTTGCTGTTGTTGTTGTTAATTAACTTGTGGTTTATTTTCTTATTCTTTTGTTTTTTCTTTTCCATAGTTTTTTTTTTGGTTTTACTATTCATGCGAAAAATATTCACATGGTATGACATTGACAATATAATCAGATATATAAATCAATATCGATTTTTTGAAGGGCAAAAATGTCGAAGGCGTTTTTTAACAGATGATTATCATCATCATCATAAACATAATGATGATGATAAAGTTGAAATAAAAAAAAGAGAAATTTTTATGGACATGACCTTGACATTGAACATTATTATCCATTATTCCCATTTATTGACCAAAGTTTTCAAAATGATGATAATGATTTTTCGGGACATCGACTTTAAAAAAAAGCGCGAACACAAAAAACACAGCACGACAACAACAACAACAACAATCAAAAAAACCGTAAGCCATAAATTATTTGTCAAATTATACCTGTCACATTTTTTTTTGTTTTTGTTTTTTCATAGACAAATAGATAATTATTCTGAGATTTGTAAGAAGAAAAAAAATATTGATTGACATATCTCCGGAACTGATTGACTGATGACCCGAATTTTGATGGACAAAAGAAAAAAGATCCTATCTATAGAATCTGAAAATGTGATAAACTTTGATATTTTGTTCGTTTTATATTTGTAATATAATAGAATTTTTTTTTCTCTTTCACAATAATAATAGGGATTGTAAATGTTGGTATTTGGCCAAGACCAACTTTTCCAATGATTTGTGGCAATATGTGTGAATATACATTTGAATGGAATTCACGACGACAACATATGAATTGATGATGATGATGATGACGAAATAATATATAAGGAGCAAGGCAAAAAGATTATTCTTTTCGTTGTTGTTGACATTGAATGAATAAATGAATGAATGAATTGTAGAACAAATCTTTTACTCTTTTTTTGCCAGAAAATATTCTATATGCTAAAAATGACTGTTTGTTTTTGATTGTTATTCTGGTGATAATGTCACAGAATTTCACAATGATATTCTTCTATTGTCATTTAATCTTTTGTTTTCATTCATTCATTCATTCATAGTTTTCATCATTTTTAAATTTATTCCTTAAAAATGCCCTCAAATATGGAACCATCAACTAAATATCATCATACAACTATGGCCATATGGAAACAAGAATTTGAAACCTTTTCGACAGATTTCATTCATACAATTCAAGCATTTTGTCGTATACATTATCGAAATGATTGTGAACAAGATTGTCATCTTGGTTATATTATACATACAAAACATAAACGAACATTTATTTTTGGTGAAACATTATGTCGTTGGCTTTCATTACGTTATGATGATCCTTGTGAACTGCAAGAATTACGTACGTTGAATGGAAAAATTATCAAACAAGTTGATTATGGTCTTGATTTTTTTGTTATACTCACCACTGATGGTTGTGTATATCTGGCCAGTTCTGATCCATATTGGGAAACTGATCGACAACTCAAATGGATTGACACCGGTTCCAATCATATTGAACAGATTGCCTGTGGACATGAACATTTACTTTTATTACGTTCTGATCAACGATTAATGGCTATGGGTTGGAATGGCCTAGGTCAAACAACCGGTACGGCTGAACATTCACATCGATCATTAGTTTATACTGGATTAGAAAATGTAAAAAAAATTGCTTGTGGTTGGGCACATTCATTAGCATTAACCTATACGGGTAGAGTATATTCATGGGGCCTTAATGAATCTGGTCGTTTAGGATTGAATGATGAAATTAATCGTAATACACCCAATCTTATTGAATTCGAGTGTGATGAACAATCATATCAAATTAAGGATTTTGTTGCCGGTGCTGCACATACATTATTCCTGATGGAAAACGGTACTGTATATGGTTGTGGATGGAATGATAATGGTGAGCTTGGATCACCTGATTTTGATCAATACGAATTATCACCAATACGATTACCGATTGAAAATGTAAAAGCCATCGCAACCGGTTGGTCATATCGTTTTACGATTGCATTCACTAACGATCATCAATGTTATGTATGGGGTGAGCTAGGACAAGACACAATGGGTACAATTAGATTATATCATCCAACAAAAATTATACCCAATCTATTATCATCATCATCATCGTGGTCATTTTCAGCCATATCATCACTTTATTTTAATCCACCATTGACATTTGGTTGGTGTCAACGTTACACAATGAATAAACTAAAAGTTAAACAACCAAATTTTAATAATAAATATTCACAACAACGTATTGAATGTGATCCTGAACATGATTATGTTAATATGATGGTCAAACGTTTTTCAATCACATCTGATCATTCATTAACATTTCCTTAGAGATAGAAAAATAATAAAAATTGATTTGAAAAAATTTTAAATTTAAGTTATTATTGTAATCCATGAGTTAGAGAGTGAGAGAGAGAGAGATAGAAAAAATTGAAAATATGAGTAAAAAAAATGAATCATCATCATTTGATATATAATGTAAAAATGACTAGCAATGTGTACAATGTAAACATTTTTTGTTTTGTTTCATAATCGAATCGTTACAAAATCATCCGATGTTGATGCGGAAGACGATGATGCGGAATATGAAGATGTTGATGGCATTTTACATAACAATTTTTCTTTATGATAACATTGTATACGTTGTACACGGCTACGACGGCTATTCATTGGATTTGATTTGATTATTAATAACCATAATGCTAAACAATGATAAAATATGGCCAATATGACCAACATGGCTATACCATAAAGGAAATTTTCCATCGTATTTGGTATCATTAGCTGATAAAGAATGGATTGAATTTCATGTTCAAGACAGCGTTCACCACCATAGATTAGCCAAAAATCTGATTGATTAACGAAACGTAATATGGAAAAATATGATAATAATCGTTGAAAATAATTAAGCTGTTCAATTGGATTGAATGCATTTGAAAACATTAAAAATGTTGAAACAAATGATGCTAGACATAGTATCATTAATATAAAATGGCCATTTGTAATTAATGCAACTAAATGGCCAATTGCTTGAAAACTTATTGATGCCAATAATAGGATTAAAACTTGCCAACAATAATAATGATGTACAGAAACGATTGAATAGATATCGGTTACATAGACGAATGCCATTATGATTGGAATTAATGTTATGGTTTCGAATAGAAATTTCTGTAAATAGAATACACCACAACTATACCATCCTATGGTGAATGGGGAAAAAAATTCGTTAATATAATAAATTATTTAAAATTCGATCATCATCCCACTTACCATTATGATGTTCATTAAGAAAATATTTTAATTCATTTATAAATGTAAACATTGTTTGCATTGATAATGCTAATGTAAATAGAATCGGTACATATGCAATATAATAAATTGAATTGATAATCTGTTTTTCTTCACGAATTTTATCTGCTGTTCGATTCGCTGAACAATAGGCAAGAAAATCATCTTCAAGATTAAGACAACCACTTGGTTGATTTATATTCGAATTGAAGAAAACCACTAATGATGTACCGATTGCCATATAGATGAATATAAAAACTAACCATTCTTTCCATTGATGTCTGATGATATAATGTAAATAACGTTGTGATAGAATCCACATGGAATATAATGAAAAACGAATACGATTAAATTGTACACCATCCGGTATGGCAATCGTGTCCGTTTGAATATCTGTTTGACGAATCAATTTTTCACTTCGTTCAGCCATTTGTTGGACAATAGGATTATTACCACCAGTGCAGGAATATTTTATTAATTGTTCAATTGGAAAACGATCTCGACCACATTCAGGTACGGATATTTGATCAAGATATTCTTTGATTCGTTCGGGTTTTCCTGAATAAATACATAGGCCATCACGGGCGAGTACATAACAATGATGAAACATCATTAATAATTCGGTATTTGGTTGATGGATACTGGCAACAATACAAATATCTGGATGACGATTAACTAAATTATCTAAAGTTTGAACAACAAGTCGAGCTGAATTTGAATCCAATCCACTGGTAGGTTCATCAATACAGATCAGGTTCGGCATCTGTATCGATGTTAATTCAAGGGCAAGCGCTAAACGTTTACGTTGACCACCGGAACAATGTTGTACCATTGTATCAACAGTATCGGTTAAATCAAGTTCATTGAGTATTTTCATAGTCAATTTTTCATGATCAACAAATGTTTGATCACCAGCACCATCGAGATTTTTCATATGACAATTCTTTAGTCTTGATGCATAGATTAAAATTTGTCCAACAGTAAGGCCAGGCATTAGATGTCCAGATACTTCTTGTGTAATGAAACAAGTACGAATTGGTACATATTTACTCATATGAAATTCTGTCGAATCGGCTAATCGTGTTTTCATACGGCCATTCAATACTTTAAGCAATGATGTTTTACCCGAACCAGATGTACCCATTAATGCATTTATCGTACCGAATTGTAGCTGGCCGTTAAGATTTTTCAATATTAATCGTTTTGATCGATTAATCGATGACGATGTCTCATCATCCGACGGTACAGGTCGATTTTCATAGATTGATTGAGTTGCAAATACTGATAATGATCTCCATCCAATAATATGACGACCGCGTAAAAATTGTTGTCGATGATTATAGATGTTTTTCCCATTTATATGAGATCGATCAAGAATTGTTTGCTCTTTTTCATTTTGATTATCATCCACATGATCATAATCAATTGGAATGGAATGAGCGAAACGTTTTTGTCTTTCAGATTTCTGTACAATACGTTTATCGATGAATGTAAATCGTAAATACATTAAAATGAATGCAGCAATACGTAAAGCCGTAATATTCAATGATGAAGGCAAAAGATTTGCGTAAATGTTATCTGGATCAATATTGAAATCGTGTAACATATATGAATATTCTGATTCTGTGTCACAACGATCAATACCATAGAATGCAAATAGAACACCATCGGCTAGATAACGGATTCCTAAACAATGTGATATGATCATCAACCATGGTTTATCCATTATTTCCAATGTAATTGAAATGCCATTCATCAAAATCATATTTGAAAATACTAATTGTAGACAAATGGTCATTATTTGCATATTATCCATGAATACAAGAGCGGCTAATTGACCATATGATTGAAGATAAACCATTAGAAACCAGTAATAGAGGATAAAATGTCCAATACGATTCCAATTAAAATGATAATCATCGATGATAAAATAACCGCCGGTAAAATATATGACCATTGTTGAATTGAAAATTAATGTGCTCATCTGAGCTAATTGTCCGAATTGAAATGCAAAGAAAAATGTTGATAAACTATACCAGCCTATGTAGAAAATTAAAAAAGATTAGGGTTACGTAAATCATTTTATCTACATTTTTTTACCATTTCGATGTTCATTAATAAAAACTTTTAGCAATTCAACAAGAAAAACGGCACTAAAACCAATGGCAGAAGCGGAAATGAGTATGAATAGAACCTGTTGATATACGATATAGGTGCCGGTAAGTATACCATCTTCTAATTCATCTTGACATGTACGATTATAGCCATCAGGATCATGTGGTCGACAACCATTTGGTAAAACCATATCACTATTAGTGGCGAATCCAGCAAAAAAGACAAATAATGAATTCGCAAAAAGCATGTACAATAATTTTCTTATATCAACGATGAATATAAGTTGTAAAAGACGATACATTTGAATACAAAGATCATCTAAATTGAATGATTTTGTATGTCTAGGCATTCCGTTCGGTACTTGTACAAGATGTTCAATCATCGAATCATCATTCATCATTATCATTTCATGATTAGTTTGTTCAAGGGTATTGTTCGCTAATTCACGAACTTTTGCGTTGATACCTATTTTTAAATTTAAATTTTTTAGATTCTGAATTTAGAAAAAATCACAATAAACTTACCATTCGAAGCAATGCGAAGAAATTCTTCAATAGGTGAACGATCATCATCCATTTCCAATTGTAATGTTTGCAGTAGATATGAACGCATTAGATTTGGTTCACCCGAATAAATACAAACACCACCTTTAGCTAATATATAAAGATGATCGAATAACATTAAAATTTCCGAACTGGGTGCATGTATTGAGACCATTATTGTCAAGGAATTATTCAATGATAATCGTCGTAAACATTGCATGACTAATAATGCAGCTTCACTATCCAAACCGGTGGTTGGTTCATCAACGAATAAAAATGGTGGCTTTGATTCCAATGACATTAATTCCTGTGCAATGGCTACACGACGTTGTTCACCACCGGAACATTGTTCAAATTTTGTTTCCAGTACTCTTGAATCGAGCATTAATTCTTCCAACACCTGGCGAATATGTTGCCCGGCTTGATGACGTTGTCCGAATGGATTTTTAAAACGAAATGCATAATAAAGTAATTCTTTGACAGTGAATGAACCAAAAACTATTTCATGTACTGATTGTGGTATCGATCCTACTAATGTCATTTGCCGTTTATTTGCCATAGTACATCGTTGATCAATTATTGAACGATTTAAATAGATTTCCGTATCGGATGTTATGTTTGATTTGGAAACATTACCGGTTAAACATTTTATCAGTGAAGTTTTTCCTGCACCACTTGGTCCCAATAATGCATTCAATGAATTTTCACGTAATGAACCATTCAAACGTCTGAGGATAATTTTACGACGACGACGTGGCCAACCAATCCATGATGATCGATCACCGCCACTGCCATCATCATCAATATACCATTCATTCACTTCATAACGAAGATTTTTCCACCATAATGCAATCGGTTTTCGATTAATATCTGATGATTGTGTAACTGGTTGTTTTGGAACGCCATTTTCATTCAATATGAATGTTGTGTTAATATAGTATGATGATGATGATGATGATGATGAAGATGATGATGATGATCGTTGTTGATCTTCCAGTTCCTTCGATATCATTGTTGTTTTGTTGTTATTTTTCATCATTGGCACGTTTTTGGTGATTGATTGAAAATTGACTTGAATTTTTTTTTATGGCACATAAACAACCACCCACACATGCACACACACACTGAATAAATGAGTGATCACAAATGTTTATGTTGTATTTGTTGACTTTTGTGAAAAAAAAACAATTGATTCAATGTATTTGTGGATTTTTTTTGGTCATTCTTATGGGCATATGGAATCTTCTTCTTGGTCGTCGTCTTGTTTATATCTTATGAGGACCATAGGAAAAAAACTTTGTTGTATTTTGTTAGTAGTAGTGGCATTCAAATTTTTTCAAAAAAAAAAAAAAAAAAGAAAAGACCGGATTTGTCACTGGTGATCGAATGATGATCGAATCGAATCGAACCAAACAAACAAACAAACGAACACATACACACACACACACACACACACACACACACACACACACACACACACACACATAGCAACAAATGTAAAGTTCAAATGAAAAAACCAAAGAAAAAAAATGGAAAAAAAACGGAAAAAAATTTAATGTTATGACCTCTTATTGTTATCAGTCATGGCATATAATGAGGATAATTATTTATATTCTGACAAAAAACAAATCAAAATGCCAAATACACATAAATAAATAACCAAAAAAAAAATTGAAACAACATTTAACGATGATAAACAACAACAACGACAACGATAGACTTTCAATCTAATCTAATCGAATTGAAACAAAAATCGAATGTTTCAAAGAAAAAAATAGTGAACGAAAAAAAAAATTGCTCCAAAGAGGAAAAAGAAAGAAAGAAAAATGAAAAAAAACAACAAACTCGACTCTCATCCGTTATCCAATTGGACGAAGAAGAAAAAAAATAGTTTCTCTTTTCATGAAAAAACAAAAATTTCATTTTTTAATTCATTATTTTTTCTTCTTCTTCAAATAATCTCCATCATCATCATCATCATTATCATCATCATATGCAATGAGTAAAAAAAAGGAAAGAGAGATTATATTCACATATTTTCAGTGTATGGCTATTCACCTTTTTTTTCATCTTATGATCATCATCATCATCATGATTATTATGGTAAAAAGAATGAAAAAAAATGGAAAAATGAAAATATTTATCATCATCAATAATATATGAGGAAATGATGGTTCCAGAAATGTTCAACAAGTGGTGGCTACATGTTAGGACAACAGCAACAGGTTTTCCTGCTTAATTTTTTTTTTTTTGTATGAAACAGCAGTTTGTTCCATTCAATTTCATTGGTTCGTTTAATGTTTGTTTGTTCGAACACATTAGGATCATCATTGAAGTTGGATCCTTCCTGATATATAGTATTTTTTTTTTTTTTTTTTTGATCTTTGCTTTTTCTCTTTGTCGTTTTTTTTCTTCTCAAATCTAGCATCCTTGAATTGAGCTTTGAGTTTTCAAGTGAACTTGTTGTTGATCACAATGTTTTTTTTTTTTTTGTTTGATCGTTCATAAGAAACAAACACTGTTGTTTCAGGAATAATTTTTGTCCTTTTTTCAAAAAAAATTAAAAAAAATGACCATTAAAAAGATAATGAACTTTACGCACACGAAGAAATAAACCTTGAATCGAGTACTTTTTTTTGATTAGATAGAAAAAAAATTCTTTAAATCACGAATGGATAATTGAAATGCGAATGGCGAAAAAAATATATATTTTTAGAAATTGAAATTGAAAAAAAAATTCCCCGGAAAACTAAAACTTGATGTAAATTCTAACTGGGAAAATTTTCGGAAAAATGTTTCATACTCGCAAACATATCATACACGCTTGAAGTTCGAATCAAGTTGAATTTTTGGATTTGAATTTTTCTTTAATCAGTTTCATTAAATTTCACATTGAAATCGACATTTAAAAACGATGCAATTAAATTTTCAAATGGAACCGGAACCTACCGGTGCACGTGCTCGATTGAATAATGTTCTCAAAGTTTGTCGTGTTGTTTATCAATATGGTTTCATTCCATATGTAATCTATTTGGGTATTAAAAAAGGTTCTGATCCTGGTTTGCCCGAAATCACTCTTCGAAGGTAATCGATGATAATGATTAATTGATTGATAATTTAATTTTTAAAATGAATTTTCTATTTTATCTATACAGTGTTTTGTGGTAACGAATTTGGTACTTATCCGAGAAAAACAAACAAAAAAAAACAATTCTTTTTGGATTTCCATTATGAACAATTTTTCTTTGAATAATTTCTGTTAGTTATAATAATAATCATATGTGTATCATAATTACAAAAATAAATAGAAATACACTGATATAATTGAAATTTGAAAATTACTATTTGATCATTCGTTCATTTTTTGTTTATATACAATTAACAATTTATCTGGCATATCATCTAATTTCATTTCTAATCGTTTCAATTGCCAACCATCATTATCATGACAATCAGCATTACCATCGTTATTGTTGTTGGTCTTATTTTCTATTCGATATTCTGCTTCGATATGTAATGCACCATTTCGTTTGGTTCCATGAAATGGTAACCAAAAATCTGCATGATTCGTACCAACACGATTACGTTGTTTATCCACTAGATTTGGTGGTTGTATTTTCAGTGGTTCACCCACTAATCTTAATGCTGCTTCATTACGATTTACTTGTTCGATGGCCATCGTACAGAATGGCCGTTTTAATATAGAATATTGGGTATATTTAAGTGCAACAATACATATTGTTGAACCTATCACACCGATAGCCGATGCTGTAATTACATAACGATTTAATGGTAAACGTAGCAGAAATCTAATCATATTTATGGAATTATCGATTTTATTTTTTTTTTCTCGATCTCGATGATTCCGAAATCCAACTAAATACACACATTTAAAGCCGGCAATGTTGAAATGGAAAAACACAGCCACACGACCACACGTTTTTTTTGCTTTCCTCTTGTTGTGTTTGCTCGCTCGCTCTTTGTTCATTCTCACGTTGGATTTTTTTCATTTTGCCGATTTTTTTCTTTTTTTTGGTAATAACTTTATTTTCTATATCCCCCGTATCTTGGTTGGTTCCCATCTTTGAAAGTACTAAAGGGAAACCGTTTTCCCTCTTTTCAAGAGATTCAATTATGCGTGCCAAGTGGCGTAAAAAACGTATGCGACGTTTGAAACGTAAACGTAGGAAGATGAGGGAAAGGTCCAAGTAGACTGGTGGCATCTCCACATCGATCATCATTCTTGAATCTTATGATTCCAGAATTCCATTGATCCAAAACCCCTTAAACCTTTGTATTTTTTCTCTTTCAGTTCAAAAATTTATTTTCAATTTCAAAATTTAAAAAACCACAAAATTTCAATTATCAAAATTTTTTGAAACTTTTTTGTTTCATTACTATTGAATTTTCTTACAATCTTTCTGTGTTTTTGTTTGAAAATTCGCATTTTTTTCCGATGAATAAAAAAATTTTAAAATGGTTCATATTGAACCAAAAAAAAAAACTTTTTTCGATTTATTGGATATAAATAGTGTGGTTGACTCGGTAGAAATATCCATTCGAATGAATCACGTGAGTTCTGTTCCAAAAAAAACAGAATAAAAAATTTTGCACCATGAATTTAAACATGGAAGATGATGGCTTTAAATTGGTTAAAAATCGTCGCCGTAAACGTTATAAAAAATCTATCGATACAATCAGACATGAATACATGAATGATATTGGTACACTGAATCTAAATAGTAAAAATGATATTGTCGAAAAAATCCAAAAATGTTTGTATGAAATATCGTTTTTTGTAAAAATTTTTGATACTAATCTGAAAGAAATTATTGCGTCTCATCACCATCATGATAATCGTCCATCCCGTATCGATCAGATTGTCTGTTTTGGCTTGGGTAATTTTACCCGTTCACGATCATCGTTATATCAATTTGCCTTACTCAAACATTTAATGGAACATGACGAATTCATTCATCCTTCAGCCAAATTCATAATCTATGATCCAATATTTACAGAATTTGAACGAAACATATTGAAATCGTTTGGATTTCAAATACTTCAAAATAATAATAATTGTCGTTATACGATTAATCGGTCATCATCTTCAAATGAATCAATTATATTATTTTTTATGCCACATATGGATTATAATCATTATTATAATGTATTGGATTGTAATCGAGAAAATATCGATCATATTATTATATTTGGTAATAGTTTTGATAATTGTATGAATGAAACATATTTCACTGAATATTCGACAGATTTACGTCGATTTCTTCAGCAAATCGGTTCCAAAAAATTAAAACTGATTGAACATCATTTATTTGGTAATAAAAATGATCATTTTTATAATGAAATTTTCTATCGTCAATCATTACAACGACTTTTTTTCATCTCAAAAACAATGATTCCTTCTGCGTCACACAAGAATTAAGTTGTTTTATATTCACTATATAATTTAATAAATGAACAACAACAACAACAATAACAACGATAACAAAAAACAAGAAATCTGAATAATTATTATTCTATCATCGATTGTAAGTTTATTTATTGGATTGAATATTCGAATCATATGACTGATATGTAAGGAATTTTTTTCTTTTGATAGATAATGTAAAATTATTTTGAATTGCCGGATAAATCAATCAATCAATTTTTTTCTAATATTCTTTTTGTTACATATTTTTTTTGTTTGACAGCATATCGATTTATTTTCTTTTTTTTTTTGGTCGCTTGAAAAATCATTCAATAGATTTTGATTATATGATGAAACATAATAGTTTTTTTTTTTGGCTAATGTGAAGAAATATGAATATTTTTCATGATGAAATCTTTGCTTTTGAATCGTACACTTACGATTGCCTATTCGAATGTAAGTGATTTCTTTTTCGAATCGAAATTATATTATTATTATAATTTTTAATACTTGAATTGTAAAATGAAATTGAAATTGTTTTTTTTTCTGTATAGACACTACCATATACGGGAATTAATCATGATCATCATCATATTGGAATTGAATATGAACTATTGAAAACATTGGCCAATATATTTCAATTTAAAATGATTTTCATTGATTGTGAAAATGATTATGGTATCAGACAATCTGATGGAAATTGGACCGGTATGATGGGCAAAATATTTAATCATGTAAATTATTGAAAAATGAAAGTTTATCTGTGAATGTGATTGTTATTTATTTTTAATTTTTTTTCGTACATAGGAAGCTGATATCGCTATCGGTGGTATCGTCGTTACATATGATCGAATATTATCAATGCCATTTTTATATCCACATTGGATTGATAGCCTTACATTCAGTACGACAATTCCACATAAACGTGTTCCGTTGGGTCTTTTTTTTCAGCCATTCACACCGATTGTTTGGCTATGTCTTTTCATTTCGTTAATATTGTTTCCAGTATTGAATCTATGTTATCAACATCCACCATATGATAATTATGCTTATAATCTTTTTTGGATCAATCTTTGTTTATTATTACGACAACCATATAATGGATTGCGATCACGATTAAATTTATCATCAAAAATGACCACAATTATATGGATGATATCATTGATAATGTTGGCAAATATTTATTCATCATATCTTTGTTCAAAATTTACCATACCCGATTATAATATGATTGATACGACAGATAAATTAGCCGATGAATGTGATGATAATCGTATTACACCAATGTTAACAATGAAAACGATGGTATATTCCCTGTTTAAAACGGTAAAAATGTTCGAAAAATTTTTTAATTAATTTCATAGCTAATTATTTTCATTTGTGGATAAAAATTCCAAAAAGGATTCATCGATTCGAACAATCAGATCTGTAGCGAGAATATTACGTGGAATTATGGATCAATCCGAAGGTGAACGATTAATTATTGATCAAACACAAAAAGAACGATATGCCCTAATATCATCATATGATCGGATAAAATTCAGCGAATTAAAATTTGGACCAAAATCATTCTATCTACCATCACCAAGTGGTGACAGTTCATTTTTTCCATTAATTGTTAGTTTTCCTGTACGATTACCCAACGATTATATTGAACCATTTGAAATATGGATAATGCGTATTACATCATCTGGTCTGATGGAATGTTGGAAAAATCGATTAACAATAGCCACACGACAATCACTCATTATGAATAGAAATATTAAACATTTCAATTCACAAATGGACAAGAATATCAATACCAATACGAATAAAGATTTTAATCTCAATCATTTTGAACGTCTTGTTCAATTATTTCTTCTGTGCATAATAACATCATTTATCATTTTTATGAATGAAATTTTTGTTTATCGACTAAAAATTTTAATCAAATCGCTGTGATATTGATAGAAAAAATTTGTTTTCTTTTAATTTGCCAATACAAGATTATACAATACAAATAAATTATTACAAAAAAATGTTTTTTTTTCTGTCACAAAAATTCGGCAAAATGTTAACCTATAGAGATAGCAGCGTTGATTTAGATGAAATCAAACGACGATATGTATATTTCATAATAGAAAGATAAAAAAAAGATAGAAAAAAGTGAGGAATAAAAAAAATTATGAACGGAAATGTTCCATTATTGTGCGGATATTAAAAAAAATGAAAACTGAAAGAGGCACAAATTTAAAAAAAATCAATGAATTAATTCAATGAAATAAGAGACTAGATGTAGTTCCAGTGGTTGATAATGTTGTTAATGGAGATGATTGTGACTGTGGCGGAGGAAGATTTGAATTCGAATGAACCATCATCGATGATGTTTGATCCATAATAATATTATTATTATCGACCACGGTATTTTGATTGTTATTGTTCAACATTGAATCAGTAAATTGTTGTTGTAAACTTCGTGGTAATGAATTAGATTTCGTACGATTCAATTCTAACGATGGAGGACGATGATTACCAGGTATTTCATCCAAAATCAATGATGATAGGCCATTATTATTACTAATAGCTGCGGTAGTTGTATTGGAATTATTATTAATTTCAATGCCAATAATTGGTGCAGGCCTTGATGTAGTCGTTTGCTGTGATAATGGTGTTGGTGATGAAAGTAAAAGATTTTCAAATTCCAGACCATCTAATGTAGTAAAATGAGCATTACTAGTAGTTGAAGGTGGAATTGTTGGTGGAGGAGGTGGTGGTCGTTCAATTGGTGGTCCAGGATCAATAGTTTGATTTACAATAGGTTGTTTAGCTACTATTGGTATGATTGGTGGTGTTGAACAAGATGAACGTCCACCACCATTAGAAACTATTGTATTATTATTGGTAGCTGCCGAAATTGATGATGATTTTTTCATCGGACGTTGTGGTAAAGCAGGAGGCGGTGGTGGTGGTGGTGGTGGTGTTGCTGGAGGTCCAATACTACTCGGACGATATCTACCGGAATTCAAAGAATTCGAACGATCTAATGTCGAACCAGAAGATCGTGGTGGTAATGGTGGTGGCGATAAAGTGGTAATGACATTTATATCATCATTATTATCACCATCGACAATTGATTCAATTAGATTTCCTTTATGACCATTGTTATTATTATTGTATAATGACATAGCTATTGCTGACGATGGTATCGAAAATGAACGATTAATTCGATTGGATAATTGATGTGGCTGAACACCATCGATCATATCGATAGAAGCTGCACCGGTTGCTGTATGGCGATTCGGATGATCATTAACATTAACATCACAATAATCCATACTATCATCCACTGAACTTTCATTATCAGGCAATAAATTACAAAGATCAAGATCAGTATACTGTGGTACGGAATAAATACTATCTTCGATTGGTGGCTGTTTTACAATCAATCGTGGTCGATGTTCAACATTAGAATTGTGACGTTTAATAACAACTGGATGTTGTTGTTGTTGTTGTTCACTAATGATAGATGATGAAGTCGGCGGCAATGGTGGTAATGGTTTATTCTTTAAAGATTTTGTTCCCGGTGATTGATGATTATAAGGTGGTTGAGACGGTGGTTGCGATAGTGGTGGTGTACGCAATGATAAACGATCATGATGATGTTGATGGCTGTGGTGTTGGTGATGATTATTATTAGGATGGTGGGAATGATTTGATTGTGACAACGTGGATGGATGGGCAATGATTGCCGTTGCTGTTGTTAATGATGAATTTGATGAAAGTGATGATGTGTCCGATGATGATGATTGCGATGATATCTCACCAATGCTTACATTATCCGAATGATTCGTACGTTGTGGTATAGGTGGTAATGGTTGTGATAATATTGATGGTCTGTGGTGATTTGATGCATTATTAGGACACCATAACAATGCTTGTGATGTTTCAATATTTGCCTGGTGTACAGTGGTACGCATTGTTGAGAATCGTTCCAAAAGTCTAGTATGTAATGGCCGAACTGCTGTCGGTGCTAATCGACCATGAAGCTGTAGACCAGATTCAACTAATTGAATCTGTTGTGCAATACGATCTTTTAGACGGGTTACATTTGTTGCTTGATCCGGATTTGCTGAAAGAAATTCTGATCCAAGAAACGCTTCAATATATTTGGCAACACCACCATTAACAGCTGCATCCAATATGCCTTGTAAACGCATCGATAATGGTGCAATTGATTCGGGTCGATTAGCAGATTCTTGTCCCCCACCGCCATAAGTGTGAATTAATTTGGATAGTTCAGAATTTTTATTCTCGATAGTTTCACAGGCATTTTCGATCGGCGATAAATATGAGACTAATGTGCTTGTCACTTTAAACATACGTAACATTCCTGGCAATGATTGTTCTGTCGTATAGATAGTTCGTTCAATCCATAATGATTTAAATTCATTATTCGGATCGAATGGTCCACGTTGAATTGGACGATCTTGACTGAATTGTCGTACGGAATTTGTTTGGTAATATTTTAATACTTGATGATCGACCGGACCAAATAAATCGGCCGATATGGGTAATTCAGGTATTGGTTTCACCGAAAATATCTGTATATATTGACATTTTGATTCGGTGATATTTTCATCGGTCGGTATAACTTTTGTCAATAATTGAGCATCAGGAAATTCTCGTTGAATGCGATGGGTAAATGATGAGATTTTTTCAAATTCTAGACCACGAAATATGAATGTAGAATTCTGTAGAAATGATGGAAATTTTAATCCATAAAATGACACACGAAAATATTCATTATCAGGTCGATGTTCGGTGAGTATTTTGTCCAATAATTCAGCATTTCGTTTCAATATGGCCGATAATTTTCGATATTTGAAATTACGTTCATAAACCTGTTGTAATTCTTTACAAACACGAATACCTTCTTCCCAGCAATGACCTTTTTCAAAATAATTTAACATTGTATGACAAAGTGATTCTTTACGTGATGATTCTGTTGACCATGTTAATTGATCAGCTTGTAATTTCAAAGTGAAACCGGCTTCAGCATAATTGCCTAATGTGAATAATAAAAAAAATTGATTGATCATAGTTGTTTTTAAAATAAAATCCTAAACACACATACCAAGTAAGGTGTGTATATTGGCCAATTTTTCCAAATATCTTGACATGATTGTCTTACGATTCATTGAATCAATATCATCCAAACAGAAACGTAATAATGTATATGTACAGATCAAAAGACGATCATTACAGCCGATATCGGGATCTATACAGTTTTTTTGTGATGATTTTGTTGATGGCGATGATGAAGACATTGTGACGTTTGTAGGTGACGAAAATTCACGTTTCAATTCATTATTATAATCAATTAATAATGTTAAAAATCTGGATACAGATCGAACTAGTTTTAATCCATCCACCGACCAAACTGGTTTTTGTACATCAATCATGTCCGTTAAACTAATGAAAATAAATCAAAATAAAAAAGCAATGGACGGTAATCAAGTAAAAGATTTAAAAAAAATATCATGTTAAATAAATCAAAATGTTTAATTAGTTTTTCGTTTGATTCAGCTATTCACAAACTTACATTTGAGTGAATAACTCTTTGAATTGTTGATCACATTCAATTCGGTGAGCGACGACATCCAATTTATCCAGGAGAGCAGCTTCAACCTGATAGAAAAGAATGAATGTTGAATAAATCAAAAAAAGACATTTGAAGAAAAAAAGAAATAGCGGTGGATATACCTGTTTAAAATTAGCATTAGCCATATAATCAACCATTAACATATCGTAGAAAATCGGTATCGTAGCATAGCGAAGTTCCGATTCCGGTATCAATGTTACATCAACAAATGGTCCAACTAGATTTGGTATGAATGTTATTTTAAACGGTCCAATTAGTTCCCAACAGGAAACTAATTCCAATCCCATTACGATACGCATATCGCAACCATATACATCCAATATGAAACGTTTTTTTGCCCATAACGATACCGATGATACGAATGGCGCCGACGACGATGGTGATGATGATGATTGTTCTAATTGTAATCGTGGCTGGGTTAGAAATGCAATGGCTAATTTAAAATACATTCGCCATATTGTTTCATCAAAATGTTCATGGCCAAGAAATTTTTTACACATAACAGTTGTACGTAACATTGTAAGAGAATGTAACATAATACGATTGATGGCCATTTTGATTTCAAGCCAATTATCCGAAAAATAATATAATGCATTAAGAAAGACGGCGAACAGATTTAATAATAATTCTTTACATTGAATTGTTGTCCGTTTTTCAAATAATTTTTCAAAATGTTTTGCTGACATATAATCGAATAGTACCATTAAACATATTATCATTGATCCAAGATAATCATTCATTTCTGTAGATGATATGTCCATTTGATTATGACCAGTTATTCTTGTAAATCGATGATGATGATGATTGTGATGATGATCAATTAGTAAATGATCAAATGATGTTGGTACAATACCTATCAATTCGATTATATGTTCAACAATCGATTCGACAGCACCGAATGATAACATTTCAATTTCTCGTTCATTCGTATGACGTTGCTGTCCTCCGACGACACCAGCACAACGTACAAGACATGGATCAAATTTTTCAGAATTATCAATTAAAAATGTAACAATATCACGAAGAATATTTAGAGAATATTTGGATTCTCCGATACAAATATTCAACATTCGTATGTACGTGTCCAATAATTCTAATCGTGCTTCATCGTCAATCATCCATATGTATGGATATTTAATCGATTGTTGTAGTAATGATAATTTTGCATTAATAATTGTTGATGTTTTCTTTTTCATCGCTGTTGGTGTTGATGAATTTGTTGGCGTTACCGATGATGATGATGATGATGATAATGAACCGGAGGGTGAAAAACATTCGGATAAACGATTATTTGTTGATGATGATGTTGTTGTCATGGAATGATTGTTAAATTGAACTAATGATTGAATTAATTTTGCCATTTCAAATGGTTGAAGAATTTGTGATAAAAAATCAAATGCATTTGGCATAGAATTTAATGCTGCTTCCTGTATGGCAACAATTAAATAATCATCTGATGACTTACATTTACTATTAAGTAATCGTTGAATTGTTTCAAAAAGTGAAAGTAATTCCATTTTGAATTGATCATCACTTTGTAGTACGGAATTTTCGATTATTAAATTATCCGTTATGGATGCACGAGTATAAAGAATTCTGGATTGAACAATAATTTTCAATATCCAATCTAGAACCGATAAACAACGTAAAATGAATTCTAAATCACGTTTCGTAACGATTGTCGATGATGATGTTGATGATAAATCGATAGAAGATGATCGTTCATTATTCGTGTGTTGTATGGAAACAATGACCATTTCAACAGAACGTCGTACACAGGCAATCAAACCCGTATATACTAATGGAGCTGAAAATTGTTTTTCAATATATTTTTCCAATGCTGAACGATAGGATACAAATTTTGGATCATTAAGTGTTTTGAAAAAATCGATTAATACACGAAAAATTAATAATATTCGTGATGATGATGATCCAGATGAATTATTTAAATTGACAATATTGGTAGCCGTATTGGTGGTTGTTGTGGTCATCGTAAATAAAGCAAATAATGCATCAAGAATATCTTCAAGAAATTTTACCATTTCTTCACCTGGAACACGACTCAATCGTTGCAATGAATCAAATACCTGATCCAATGGTAATGATGACCATTTTAATAATGATAAAATATCGGAATTTTGTGTCAATTTAGAAGAAATTAATGCTGTTTTTACATGAAACATTTCTTTTGATGAACGAGAATTCAATAATGATTGAGTCGATAATGATGATAATGACGTGGTAGTGGTGGTTGTCGTTGTTGAATTCAATGATAATAAACTTTGTGAATTCATTGATCCTTTACGATCTTTTAGATGATTTGGACCCCATGGAATTTGTTGCAGATAGAAATGGCTATCATCAATTTTACGTTCATTATCACATTTATAGATATATAATTCATGTTCACCATCCGAAAGACATGCACCATTTTGATCGGCTAATGGTAAAAATGCGAATCCAAGAAATTTACGTTCACGTTCTCTCGATGAACAATGGCAAAATGTAAAACGTAAATGTGCCATTTCAAATTGTTCCAATGGTACATTCACCTTTAAATGTTCAAACCATTTTGGTGAATTTTGATGATATTGTATATGCGAACGATAAATAGTAACCGGATCGGCATTGATACCCGAACTAATTGCACGTTCTTGCATACCATTTTCAGTGATAAGACAAACGGATACTTCAATATTTTTGGCTATTGTTTTACCTTGAAAAAAGAAAAGATAAATTGATAAAAAAATTAAAGGAATTCAGAATAAAAGATAAATACCTCCTTTCTCGAATTCAGCCGATTCTAATGTTAGATAGAAATCATTACGAAAATGACCGGCTGTAATTAGATCACCAAAACAACGTTTCTGTATCAGAACAAAATTATACGGCGTGGTGACTTCTGTCACTACCGATGAACGGCCGGAAAGATTCGATTTTTGATTATGCGTCAATAGCAGATAATCGGCCAATGATAATGTCGGATAATGTTGAATATTTGAATTATTTTTCAACTGTACATTATTTGTATTATTGATCATTAATTCACTGATAAATTTTGCACTAACAATCAATTGATAGGAATTTGTTGCCAGCATTGACAATTTTGAGATCGATGAATTCTGTTGTGATGATATTGATGAAGAAGAAGTTAATGATAATGATGACGACGACGATGATGATGATGATGAATGGCCAATCGAAAGGGCATGTACATTTTGACGATTATGTTTTAATAATGATTCAAGTATCGATACAGTAAGATCACCTTCATACAATCGTACTGTTAATGGTAACAGCATTGATTCATCGGAAAATAGTATCCTAAATAATAATGATTCATTCTGAAATAATTCCGGTGATGGCCGTATTTCTTTATCACGGCTAACCAATTCTAATAATGGTATCACAGCAAAACCAACCGAACGTTTAAATGAATGTGTCATTGCTGTCTGTTGTTGCGATGATGATGAATCAATGGATGATGAATCGGGTGTTGTTGTTTTGCAATCACCATTACCACTATTATTATTGTTATTGTTCGAATTACTAGAAAATGAATTCGATACAAACGATGTAAGTGATGAAAGTGAATTTGATGCTGCTGCAGCAGCTGATGATCCAATCGAACTGGCCGTGGATATTGTATGGAAAACCGATTGACCAGTTGTTGATAACGAAGTCGATAAAACGGATTTACTCACACTATTACGGCCATTATCATTGGTTAATGTGCGGCTAAAACGCCAAACTTGTATGATTAGATAATAATTTGATGCATCTGAATGTTGTGATGAATTTTGATGATGAAATGAATGATGATGATGGCCATGTGTAGAACTAAGATTTTGTGGTGTTCGTTTGGAAAGAACATCAAGAAATAATGCTCGATTCATATGATTAACAGAATTTCGACTTGATGATGAGGAAGATGGTAAACGATAACAGAATTTTTCGGTCAATACTTCATAATTGGCAGTATTTGTCGACGAAGAATTCATCATCATTGTGGTCGACGACGTTGTTAATGTTGATGATGCTGTTGTTGAATCCGAATGATTCATTTGATTATGGTTATTATATCGTACTAGATATATTTCAATCTGTATTTGATCCGAATCTATGGTATGATGACCATTTCCATTGGATGTTGAGCCATTACCAGTCGCTGTATTGGAAATGGCAAAATTAGCATCACGTATCGTGAACAATAGATGACGACGAAATTTCCTAATCAAATTATTTGAATTTGCATTTGTTGTCGTCGTCGGCGTATTCTTTGGTGTTGTTGTTGCTGTCGGTGTTACAAATGATGAAAATGAATGCCGTTGTTGATTAATTGATGTCGTTATATTGGAACGAAATTTCTGATTAAAACAACGATTAATTTGATTATAATAATCAAGTATTCGCGGTAGATATTTGCATTGATCTTTTCTAGTTGGATAATAAGGGAAAAATTTTGTACGTTGTTTGATTCGTTCATTTGAAACAAGTGATTGACGATCATCGGCATGGAATGTTAGAAAATTGATATCAATTTGAAATTGATTTAGTTTTGATGTTTGTTGCTGAAGGATAGTTGTACCATGTGTAAAACTGGGCATTATATCCATAGCAAGATGCTGATTTCCTTGATTTAATTTACTTAAAATACGTTCATATAAATCTTCAAGATTTGAATCCAACATTGTCATTGTTGTAGAGGTGGTAATATTTTTTATCGACTCAATTGAATTATTTGATGATATTGTATGTTGATGACCATCATCGCTGGTAATATCATCATTACAACCATGGCCATGATCATTGTGATTATCACCGCCATCAATATCATCATTATCATTATCATCGTGATCTTCATCAAGATAAAGTCTTGCGAATGGGTCTTTTGGATCGGAATTTATTTTCAACATTTGATTACGACGACGACGCCATAATGTTGGTGCTAGATCACGACCTAATGTTGTCGATATTAATTCGAATAATTCATAGATAAGATTTCGTACGATTAAAAATTTTTCCATATTCACATTTTGACGATAATAAGTTCTAATGAGTATATGATACCATTCACGTAATGTACGTATCACCTGTAGATATAATGGATCTAATAATGTATAATAATAGAATGTCATTGGATTAATATTATTATGATGATGACCGGATTGGATACGATATTGACGATAATCATCGAATACATGAACATAACTGGCCGGAAATATACCCAATTGCTGCTGATGATGATGTTGTTTGCTAGTAGTAACATCATCATATGGACGAAAACCACGATACCATTGATGGCCATAATATTCAACAATAATAACGATATCACCTAATAATAATGGTAGATATCGATTTTTTCCATCTTTCGATGATGATGATGATGATGATGAATGCTTAGGTTGGAAATTATATATGGCTATACCAACCAGTTCCGGTTCTATTAATGACCATTTATTATGATGATGATGATGACTATTATTATCCATCATTTCGGTGGATGATGATGATCTATGATGGTCAATCGTATTGAACAATGATGATGAAGAGGTACTAACAAAACTTGTATATCGTCTTCGACGTAATCGTTGAAAGTTATCATGTATAAATGATTTATTATTATTACAATTCTTCATTGTTTGATTGACTACCATTGATGATGATGATGATGTATGAGATTTGCCATTCATAATTGAAATATTATTATCCAGATGATAATAATGATAATTTCGAAATATTGTCTGTTGATTTGTCATAGATTTAGATGATGATGATGGAAAACATTGTTGTTGTTGTTGTGGTTGATCAATAATTGATAAATTTGTCAATTGATTTAAATTGATTGAATTCATTGAATGATGTCGATTATGATGATTTGTTGTTGGTGGTTTATTATTATTACTAGTATTCATCATCATCATTTGATTATGTAAAATCGATGTATTGTTGATCGATGACGACGACGATGACGAATTCATCATCATTATTCATATACATTGGATCATATGATATTGTTATTATTATCGACCAGAAAAAATGAAAAAATGGCACAAGTTTATGTTGTTGTTTTTTTACTTCTCAGAAGTAGAAGCTGTCAATTGTAAATAGTTTCCATCATTTGAATTTGAATTGATGATGATGGTGATCAATCTATGTATTTTCCACATTCACAATAAATATAGCCTAGAAACCGAGAGCAGAAAATGAAAAGAAAAAATTTTTTTAGATTGAAATCAAAAATGTTATTGAAAAATCACCAGACACACAGGCACATAGCATAGTGATTACGGGATAATCTCAAATCACACACACACACACACAAACAACCAGAGGATAACGGAAAGAGAGAGAGAGAGACAGAGACAGAAAAAACTGAAAAAATTATGAGAGCAAACGGCAGCAAGTAGATGCAGAAAAAATATTTCAAAAGATTTGAAACTCTCTTTCAATCAATCAGTTATTTAGAAAATGGTCAATATGTACGGAGATGTTTAGGGTGTATGATGTGTACCAAAATATCAATGAATTCAAATCCAATAAAAAAAAAAAAGAAACAAAACAAAAAAAACGATTCATCAAATGACACAATTTACCTACAACAGAAACAACAACAACAATAACAACAAAAGAAAAGAGAAAATAAAAAAAAACGATCAATGGATCAATGTTTCGATCACCACCATTTGTTGATTATTATTATCATCATCATCGATCAATTTTTAGACAAAAAAAAATTCGACAATAATTATTAAAAAGTGTTTATACGATGCAAAATGTCTTTTTTTCCTATTTATCTCATAACCTTCTAACCTAACCTGAACACTCTACCTATTTTGACATTTTTTATTTTTATTTTTCTTATACAACTAATTCAGATTCTCATCAAAAAAAAGCTCAAAAGAAAAAAATCAAGGATTGCCAGATAAACAAAACAGAAAAAAATCATCATCACAGAGAGTGAGAGAGAGAGAAAAAAAAAGAAATATGAGATGAGTTAATAAAACAACAACAACAACTGTCAAATTATTACAACCAAAAGAAAAATTTAGTTAAAGATGCTTGACATTAAATATGTGCGTGTGTGTGCATAATAGCTACTATAGTACCTACTAAACTAAATAACAAATATAATACAATTTTGAATGAAAAAGAAAATAAAAAAAAATGCATAATATTTTCAACTGAAATGAAATAAATTGCTTATGTAATAATAATAATAATGAGATAATCATCATTACGCTTTATGCTTGAAAATTACATTTCAATGATGCATGTATGATTTTATAAGGTTAAAAAAAAAATTTTTCACATACACAATACTTGCAATGGCATACCTTAACCCTGTTTATCATTATATGGATGCTGATGATGATGATGATTGCATCCCGGACAATGATATAAACAAACCGAGAAAGAGAACAAGAAGGGAAGGAAAATAAGTGAACAAAAAAAAAAATGAATTTCAACATCTTTGTCAATCCATATAGAGTTCATTCAATCAGGTGACATTCATTCTCATGTTCTAATAATCTTTCATCTGACTGATTCATTAATAATTTTATCTCAGTGATGATGGTGATGATGATAAATTGAATAAAAGAAAAATCTGAAATGAGAGATAGATAGATAGATAGATAGATACACACAAACATAGAGAGAATTAAATTAACCTGTTTGTATTAAATGTGTGTAATATGGGTGATAAAGCATGAATAAACAAAATCAAAACAAAACAAAAAGATGAATGAAAAATTAATGTAAATAAATGGATGACCACATGTCGTGTGTATCCACCACCATTATGTATGAACAAAAAAAATATTTTAATACAATGTCACAACCTACTTATAACCAAAAAAATGGGGGAAAAACTGGACACGGTTACATACGCTCAATTCAAAACTGTTTGCATAATTGGCTATTTTTGGAAGCATACATTTCACATTCAAATTATTAAAAAAAGTATGACAAAAGATACCTGGGAGTTGAGAAAATTGAAGATGAGAATGAGAATAATGGATGATGATGAATTCCTACTATTTATGTGGTTATTGTTGTTGAGGTTTGTGTTATAATTGATGATGATGATGATCTGTTCAGCTTGCTGCTTATTTGATATTTATCATTTATTGTTAGTAGGTGTGTGTGTGTGTGTACGTGTGATGATTATGATTATATGATAATAACGGTGGTTGCAATTAAATTTTTCTTTTGATTCGTCAAAATTCAAGGTTGTTTTCAGAGATGCGATTTTCAAAAATAAAAATGATGATAATCAAAGTTATATTATAATAAACGCTGAATGGATGAATTGAAAGAATGAAAAAAAACACCGTTAGAATAATTCGTGATTTGATTGAAATTGAAAATGAAGAATTTTTTTTCTTATCAAAGCTTCATTGAAACAAATTGAGATCATTGTGTGTGTGTGTGTGTTTTGGAACCAGAAAAAAAAGTGAAAAAAATCATAAAAAAAACAATCACAAAAAATCTATTTCAAAAAATTAATGGATACGATTTTTTTAAAAAAAAGTCAAAATAGACAATGTTTGTTTACCTCAAATGTTGTTGCTGTTCCAAATGGAACGATCAATTCATTCATTCGATTCGATTGTTTTGATTCCTGTCTGTCTGTCTGTCTGTCTGTCTATCTGTCCAACAGTATATGCAGATATTCATCATGCATACATGCATGCTTTTATGAAAAGCTCACACACACACACACAAACAATACACTCGAATAAAAAGAGAGGGAGGAGGAATGTATGAATGAACCTTACCACTAGCATTCGAATTTGAATCTCTATTCTTTTTCATTCTACTCATAATACTCTCTTTTTTTTCTATCAAATTTTTTTTTGTTCGTGTTGGACACAATGTATGCACAAAATGGACAATGTATGGTCAACACAAAATAACATTACGATTAGGTTCTATTTGATGTTATTGTAGATTCTGATAATTTGAAAAAAGTCCGTAAATACGTCGAACATTGTGACCAAACCCAATCTTTTATATCTAGCAACAATCAACAGAGTATTCGATGATGATTGGTTTATTTCGACTCGTCCAAGATTTTGTGTGTGTTTGTGTGTGAAATAAGATCGATTTAGGATGGGTACGATTTAGTTGTAATGATGGTGGTCATCATTTCCAATAACCCCCCACATTCAATAATAACATCACATCATTTATCGCATCGAAAAAAAATCGCAGCATCATCAATTTTAGGATTGATTTTTAAAGTTTGAATTTTTCACTTAATATCAATCAAATCAAAAAATGATACGAAGAATTTTTTTGTCTAAAAAAATTTTTAAAAAGTAAATGAGATTTGTCATCGCTAGATGGTAGCACATTATTTGTAATGAAAATTTTGCAAATATTTTTACTCACTTTCATCATCGATAGATGGCGGTATAAGGGTGGAACGAAAAAAAAATTTCAATCATGATTTTTAAAAAGTTATATATGATCACGATTATTTAAGGCAAGATTAACAAGTTATTGTCATTTTTTGCAAAAAAAAAAAATTCTCAATTCTCATTCATACGAAATGATAAGAAAAAATAAAGAAAATTCAATGAATAAGAATCATCATCATTTTGGAACCCGGATATTTTTCAAGGCCAAACAGAGAGGCCAATCATCCATCACCAAAGTGTTGATTTGTAAATGAAAATCTAACATTGCATAAAATGTTAAAATTTTTCGTTGAATTTGGATTCTTTGATTCTTCTAAATAAACAAAACAAAACAAAAAAATACTAGATTTTTTTTAAATATTTTTTCAAGAAAAAAAATGTATTTTATTCCAACAAATCCATATAGAGTTCCATGGCGAATGAGAATTCTGATATCTGGGCTCACAATGTAAATTCAGGGCTACCGACCTCGATCACAATTCAATTCAGTCACAGTCAGGGCCGGCCCAGGCGCCTGTGCAGACTGTGCACCGCACAAGGCCTCGCGCTACTGAAGGCCTCGCGCTGCCGGAGGCAGCGCGGTTCCGGAAACAGCTCGCAGTCCCAAAAGCCTCGCAGTTCCAAGAGCCTCGTAGTACTAAGAGCCTCGCAGTTCCAAGAGCCTCGTAGTACTAAGAGCCTCGCGGTTCCAAAAGCCTCGCGGTTCCGAATTTTGGATGATTTAATAAAATGAAAATGTTTTTTGTTTTGATACATTTGAATATTATGGTAATCCTGAATCAAAAACATGTACTTCATCTAGTCAAATATCTATTAATAGTTGTGCGAATTGTTTGTAGTGGAACCAATATAGGAAAAATAAATAAACAAACAATGTCGATGGCTAAATATCTAACCTAGTAAGTGATAAATCATCAAAGGAAAATGAATAATGAATGCATTGCCTGACTTCTTTAAGATGGATTTATCAATAATTCCAAATTAAACCGATTTTCAATGGATCATGGATCATTTATCCCAAAAATTTGGTGACGAATAGGGTATGCACAATCCCGTTTGTTCACCAGTCGCCTCATAATTTAAATTCTTGTCTAAAATTCTAAAATCACAAATCAAAAAATTGACTGATTGATTGATTATTTAAATTGGAGAAACAATTAAATGAAAAAAATGTTGTGTCGACAAATTTCCAACAATCAACATCATAAGCGATTCCAGAAAAGAAGTACAGTTGATTCTGTTGAATCAATATTCAAACAATTGGAATATATAAAACAACTTTCAGAAGAAATACTGGAAATCTTAGAAAAAGATTATTCGTTGGCGAAGCAAAAATATCCAAAGGATGATGATCCTTTTAAAGCT